AATAATATGATGAGTTACTGCTTGATATCTTTAAACGCGTTTTACTGTGGTTCTTTTTACTAGTACTTCTTTAACTTCTTTATAAGTTTAAAGAGTGGTGTTATATGGATAGCGTATCCGTCTATAAATTATTGATAGTAATTAATTAATCTGATGAACTACTGTAGTTCTTTCAGATTTCTGGATTAAGGCTAATCCTGTATGGCTTGCATCTTAGCTTACTCAGTATAGATTCTCTTTATAGATATCTAATGTTCTAGGAACTCTGTCTTCTATATATAGAATTTATACTTCTTCAGCTTGTATTATAACTAATATAGATATAGTTTATATAGAATTAGTCTCACATATCTTATGTATTCTTTCTTAGTCTTTAAAAAGATTAATATATTGTCTAAATAAGTAATCATAAACCTATCAAGATATTCTCTAAGAATCTTGTTGATATATTGCTGAAATGATGCTGGTGTGTTAGTAAGCCTAAATAATATAATCAAGTACTTAAAGTATCTGTACTTTGTTTTAAACGCGGTTTTCCATTCTTTATCTTCTGTAATGCGTATACAATAATATATATTTATAATATCAAGTTTAATAAACTACTTTATTTCTTATATCTTATCTTGGATTTCTGAAATTAAAGATAACAGGTGCTGATCCTTAATTATGATAGTATTCAGTGGTTGATAATCCACGCATAGCTGTAAACTATTGTCTTTTTTTGATATAAATAGGACTTTATGTCCTGCTAGTGACTTTAAAGGCCTGATATTATCTTTAGCCAGCTGGTTATTGATATATTCTCATAATGCCTGCGATTTTTTTTTAGATATTAGATAAATCTTTCTATATATCAATAACTTTTCTTTCTTTATAGGAATAGTATGGTCATACTTTCCATGCTAAGATAATTCAGATTACTCTAGCTGCTTGAATAAGTCCTTGAATCTCTTATATTATGATAGAATCTGCGCGTTACTCTTGACTGCAGCTAGAAGTTTCTATAAATCTTCTAGTTTCTAGACAGTTATCTTAATCTCTGTGTTAATACTGTTAATACTATACTTACAGTACTTTTCTGTTATTATTAGTGCCCATTCTGATAATTCTATAAACTAATCTTTTTATAATAGCTTAATTACTGTTATTACTTGTGTGATTATACTTGAAGTATTATTTTTCTCTAAGTTACCTCCGATGCCTGGCGCGTTAGGCTTTTGTAATAATCTTAACCTCCTCTTGCTAAGTTATTTAGTCCTTGCTTCAGCTTTATGCTAAGTAGCGGGCCGTACAGATCCAGATCTTATATCTGGTCCTTGCTAGTATCATCTTGGATAATCATAATTAGTAAATTAGAGACTTTCAGTCTTCCAATTAATCTGCGGGTTATGATTTCTGAGTTATAAAATCTTTAATATAATATTATACTGTTTTAAAGATGTCACATTAAAATCTATATACTTGTAGTAATCCTTTATAATTATAAATATAGTTTCTGACTCAACTGTTAATATAAGAGTTTCTAGATTCTCTCTATTTAGTCCTGTAATTGGTTCGGGTTTTGTTTTCTGTTGTCCAAGTATCTCAAGCTGTTGTATAAATCCTGGGTGTATGAAGTTCCCAGTCGCTCCAGAATCTACCAGTACTTGGGCTAATTAATCTAATATGACTACTTAGATCTTTAAGTATGGTCCTGATTCTGTAGCTGTTAACTGTTGTTCCGGCTAGTTAGGTTTTAACTATTATGGATGTCTTCTTGAAAATCTCAAGCCTTTTATCTTTACTATATAGTATATTATATATTAATTATTAAAATATGTTAATCAATATATTGATCTGTGGTGAGGATGTCTCTGATACTCTTTACACACATATTTAAAGATATTATATAGATAGTGGCTTATCTTAGTTTTAACTACTTCCAGTATTCTAGGTCAGTAGTTAATAATATATTTCTAATTATAGTATATTAAGCATGTATTCGTATAATATATAAGTTAAGAGAGTTTATTATATTTTTAATAATCTTTACTTCTTTTAAAATAAATATATAAATATGGTTTATTATATCAAGACTCTGTTCCAGTAATATTTACCTTTTAGCTAATCTCTGATAGCTGATAATAATAGTCTGTATTATCTTGTCTACATGTTAAACAAACTTTTAGATAATAAGAATATCTTTATAAATATTATTCTTAAGTCTTATTTTATGATTCCCAATATTTTAAATCCTAATATAGATAATACTGCATGATTGTTTTAAACTCTAGACAGAATCATGCTAGATTCTCTGAGATCTCTTTTAAGATACAGTCTAATTAATAAATAATATTTTCTTGATTATTCTTCTGGTTCTTCTTGTCCTTGTCTTACTACGATGGACAGAGTTTACTAAGTTCTGATAAGGGTTTTTCAGGAGTATTAAGTATCTTATTAAGTCTCTTCTTACTGGGTTCAAGGCCTTCAAGCAGTATACTGTACTCTTTGTCTGATAGTTTATCCTTATTTTAAACTATATTAAGATAGTTATTCCTCGGAACTGGCTTATAATTATTATTATTAACTTCTATGGTCCAAACTAATGATACAGATAATTATTAATCCTCTTATTAACTAAGTAATATTGTTGACTTATCTAATATGGCCTGTTATCTCAATTAATCATAGTATATTCTATCCTCTAATAACCAACTATACTAAATAATATATAATTTCTTGTTATCTAGTATCCGCGTCGCGGAATCCGTCCAAACCTCATACTAAATAACAGTTATATCATAGACTCCTCTGCCTTGATCCTGGTTCATAGCTCTCAACTGCTTCTAAGGCTGTTTCTGACTATAGTCCTTTAACTAATGACCTGCTTTGCCGTAGCTAAAGCACAAGCGGTCTTGTTTACACTGTTCAAGTTCCTCCTTAAACACTCGAGTCTCTTGAGTCTGATGCTGTGCAGCATCTAGCTCCATAGGCTTCAGCCTGTAGGGATCTTCATATCCCAAGCTCCTAGATTGTGCCGACCTTCTGTTATTAACTCAGTAATCTGGCTGGTTATTGCATTGAGATGTAGACCCGCTGGTCCACCAACCCTCTTATTATTTTATATTAAAATCATATAGCTTGTTATCAATCTTCACTACTACTTTAATCATCTTGACCAAAGTATTCAGTTATTCTTATCAAATAATCTTCTCTTAGATCTCCATCTTGAGTCCTTCTTTAAATCATGAGATATAAATATCATTATCCCAGTCTAAGTAATTGATAACTTATTAAAACTCCGAAATATACACAGATACTAATCCCATCTACTTAAGTTATTATAACTTTTACTCAACATTTCATACTACATTAATATCTCTGAAGGTTTATTCAAGATATTGTTTAAATCTGGTATAACTGGTAAAAAATCATTTTATATTATTATCCTGGTTACTTACTGACTTTTCTTGTCACTCGCGGATATACGATTCAAACTAATTAAATACTGTTTTAGTAAGATAAGTAGACGCGAAAAAGATCTTGTTCTCCTTATTCTTGAGTTTTTCCTTATTTATGTTGAGATACAAGTCTAACTGGATCAAGAAAGCCCTGAGCTTTGCTTGTTTGCCGTCAAATGGCTCGGGTGGTCGGACTTTGACAGATTTAACTAATAAGCAACCTTCGAGTAACTGGTTCTTTTATTCTAAGGCTGTGATGCTTTCTTGTAACTGACCAACCATGTCCATCAGTTCCTTAGTTATCAGGCCCTGCTGCTGAGGCGCACGCGATGTGTTTAATATAGTCAACATGATGACTGATTGTTACTGGATAATACTTGTACTGACTGGTGCTCAATATATCAAACCCTAGGATCGCTTCTCCTTGTTCCTGTTAGCTTAGCTCCCATTCCAATACATACCTTGTGAACTGAATCAAAGATAATCAGGCTGTTAACTATCTAAAGGTGACTTGATCTGAGCAGAAGAAGAGAAGTAAGGCCAGATAGTGCCGCGCAGCTATCCGTAAGTAAGTACAGACAAGTATTATTATTAAGCTTTATCAAACGTGTGGTTACTTAAAGACAATTAGATTGAGCACAAAAAACAGAACTAGCTAGGTACATGAAGGAGTGTCCTTATATATCCGCCCCTTGTATACCATTCCGTATACCATCCCGTATACCCCAGGCATATACCATATACCTGATCATATACCCTTTCATATACCCGCAGTCACGTGACTCGTGACACGTAGCGGCTCAGTTCGGGTCCTTCCTGATAAGAGTTGCATCCTTCCGAGTACAGCCCTTCTGCCTGACGTAACCGCCTCACTAGTCCCTTTAGCTAGCAGGGGTCCGTAACAGTAGGGTTGTAAACTAGTCGTGTAAAAGCTTTAGATTCTCATATTTAGTTTTCTTATAAATATATTTTCTGATAAATCAACAGCTGATCTCTTTACAGTATTGTATAAAGATAGTAACTTAGTTCTTACTAACAGGGTTAAAGAAGAAGGGGTCTACAGTTTATAGAATTATATTTACTATTTCTTATACTTAAGCAGGTTATGAAGTAACTCTATACTGATCACGTGATAGAATCTACTGTATTAGAGTATTTTCTTAAATTTTAGAGAGTTTAAGATTATGATTACAGTATTTTAATTAAAATTAAATTCTTTATATACAGTCGCGGAGAGTTTTATATAAGATATTATAAGTATATGCTATTAGATGAATTTTATGTTTTTTATTATTTTTTAAATATTTAATTGTAAGTTGGATCCGGCCCTCTTGCTCAATTAATTCTTGACAATTTTTCTTTCGATTTGGAGGCATGGTGGTTGGTTGAATAAAGAGGTGCCGAACACGGGATGACTTTTTGACGCGGTGGTCGGATGACCCGTGCGGTCGGTCGACCCGTGAAATACGTTAATTCTGTAGTTCGATGTATGGATCAAGGTAGTTGTACCATGTCAATACTAACTCATTTAGAATGAACACTCTAGATATTAGACGTCAACATCTTATAGTCAAGCATAATAATAACCTAGGGACCAAGCTTCGTTCTATCCCCAAAAGAAATAACCCCCAGATCAACACAATAAATCACCAACATTTTATGAGAGCGTTGAAATGCTGATACTTGTGCAGAAATACCTAGACTAATACTGCATGCACTGTTAGCACATGAGCCTCCGTATAATAGGTGCAGAAGTGGTTTTGCTCACCAGACAAGGCTCATGGTCCGAGCAATTTTGTCTCAACATTTTCGACAAAGAGCCTCGGCTTATCCCCTCGGCCGTCAATAAAGACAGTGTCCTGAGCTAAATCGATATGACCCCCCAGATGCACAGTATATGAGTACTCTCTTGGGAACTGGTCTTCATCCATGTTTTCCAGGAGTACATTATGAATGTAATCCCGTTGTTCTGGCATTGCAACCTGTCCCTGAAACATCGCATATACAAGAACTGAGTTTCTAAGTTCTGTTCCCTTCAGATTCTCCTGACATTTCCCCCAAAAGTCGGCCATCATATTTCGGGTGTGGTTGATTGAAGCATCCGGATCAGTTGTAGGCCCAGGCAGGGGGGAAATATGGGCTAGTACGGCACCCTTTGAAGTTGCCATGATGACTGCCATGCAGCTGTTTAGATCTTGGGTTCCAATAGCTTTGAGACCGGTGTCAACGAAAGAAACAAATCCAATTCCGTTCATCGGTACTTCAACTGCCTCTTCGTCCTCCAGTGCTTGTAGAAACGCGACGCCATCCTTGACTTTGGGGTTCTTTTGGGTTATGAGCTTTAAATTATATACTAGATATTCTACAGTAAGGCACGCTGCTATATATATACACGGATCCTTTAATAAGTAATGGCCTTGAAATATAGGTAGATATTGGGCAGGGAGTGGGCAGGCGGTGGGCAAGGCAGTGTGTAAGCACGTGATGATGCTGGCGGTAGGTGGGCCTTGTGACTCCGCCTCCACTCTTCGCCTCCACTCTTCGCCTCCACGCTTCGCCTTCCCCAGTCGTGATCCTCCACATCTCGTTCCCCAACTTATCTAGGCCCCCTTATGTCGGCTACGGTCGACAGTTTCAACTTCTTAATAAGCTAACACGTCGCTGTTATTATTCCAAGCTACCATATTGAACACCATGGCCAATCCGTACAAAGAGCTTAGGCTTGCTATTGAGAAGGGGGACTCTCTCAAAGTCAATGAACTCTTAGACAGTGGTCTTTCGATGGAAGTTGGACACGTTTTAGCTGCAATACAGAACAAGGATACCATTATGCTCAAATTATTCCTTGATCGTGGATGGGATATTAACACGGACGTGAGTAATATTATTCCATCTGCACTGGTGTAAGTATGAGAAGGCTCTGTCATACTTTTTTTTTCCTTCTAATTTTTTTTATCAGACTGACAGTTATCATAGGTATACCTTCGAAGACATGAAGCTCCTTAAATGGTTTCTGAGCCATGGCGCGAACCCGAACAAATCATGCCGTATCCGTGACTGTACACCGCTCTCATTTGCTGTCAGAGACGCGTCTTTAGATATTGTTAAGTGCCTCTTTGAGCACGGCGGTCAAGTTCAGCATGGGCAGCTTTTACACTACGCGTCTATGCGAACCAGAGATAGCAACTGTGAGGTGTTAAGATTCATCTACAATCTAGATCCGGGCTATAATAAGCTACGGATCAATAACCTACTGGATGAAGGATCACGAAATTATCTCATGAATGAACGGAGTGGACTTTGCACCCCCTTGCATTACGCTGCTATCTGCGGCTCAGTGGATAGAGTGAACTTTCTTCTGGATAAGGGCGCAATTCCCGATCTTCTGGATCCTTATCGCCGCAGTGCGATTAGTTATGCTATTTATAATAGGCATGACGATGTTGAACAGCTCTTGAAGGAGAGGTTGACCGGTGAGACGACACGCGCTATCCTCGTGGATGGTAGTCATATTGATGGGATTAGTTGAATGGTAGGCTCGGAGTTGGTGTGTTATTTAGGTTCAGTGGACCATTTTCTCTCTTTAGTGCAGTCGGAGCACTTTCTACATTTCTGTCGACTGCAGTGGCGAGGCTCATCACATCACATCACATGGACTGAACATGGGGCTACTTTGAGACACTAGGGTGGATGACGGAAGGATTAACATGTTGTTTAATAGCTAACTCGTGTTCATTCATTCAGGTTGTGTCGGAACAGGCGTTTAACAGGAAAGGCTAAGCAGCAGGACTGTAAGGAAGTGCATTATGGTCTATAAATTGATAGGTTAACTTACTGGCGTTTGGTTCCTACATTTACCAATCTGCGTGCGCGTACAGCTTTTGCCTCAGGCGATAAACGATTAATTCCAACTCAGAGAAAACCTTGAAACTAGCATCTGCACAAGAGGAAAGTATAATTGATACCAGTATTTGATTTTTAAGCGGCTACAGAAACTACAACGGTTTTTAAATGCGAGGGCAACCTAGTCTCCTTCAGCAGGCTTGTTTGTTTGCCGTATATCGCAGTATCAGGATCTTTATTCGTTAGAAAACAGAGAACAACAGCCTTCTTACGTCTGACCTGATATGGTTTCGAGAGCGTCGCTTAGTGATATACGAGCATTTGGGTCCGTCCTTGTCAGGTCATCGCCGACCGACTGTAAGAGCTTACCGAAAGTACTGGATCCAGTTTTCCTGGCCATAGTGCAAAGTAATTTTCCATAAGCCCAACAGTCTGTAGCGACACGTTTGTCGAACGGTGTACTAGCAGGAGCTGTCGCAGCTTTTTGTTGAATGATCTTTTGCATCTCCGGCGAGAGCCATTCCCATTCGTACCCACCAGTCCCACTGATATCGATAAGGATGGCATTCCTGTTCGCGTCAAAAACGAGATTCGATGGTTTGATGTCAAGATGAGTCCGTCTCTGTACGTGCAACATCCCCAAAGCTCTCCCAATCTGTAGTGTCCATCGTCTCAGCAATGAATCATCTTGATTTTTATCCTCCGAGAGAACTCGCTCAAGAGTCCCTTCGGGATAGTATTCAAGGAGAAATCCCGTAATAACCGGCGCCGATATTGTTGATGGACGAGTCTTGTATGGAGTATCGGATATAACGAGCCCGATTAGCTGTGCGATGTTCGGCTGTCCGCGAAATTGTGCGAGGGCGGTAATCTCGTTTAGGACATGTTCTGTGTCTCCTGGTTCATAGATAGGACGGTCGACCTTCTTGTATGCGAACTGTTCTTCCTTGAAACGCACAATGGAGACGGTTGGAGCGATGACCTCGTCATGCTCTAGTTGACTAGCCTCAAAGGTAGGTAGGGCTTGAGATTGGTAAAGAATTGGGTATATAATTCTCCCCGGGTCTTCCCCAGTGTTGAATGATATTCGATGAGCGACAGACAAATAGTAATTTGTTCCTGTCTGGTAGTCGTTTCGAACGTGACGAATTGGGATCGGATCATGGCTTCGCTCAGCCAAGGTTAGAGTGATGCGAGTCATAGTATCGTCCATCAGATCTAGTTGGCTAAGTTTAATAGCATTGACGAAATCTTGAAGCATAGAGCGACGCTTGAGATAGCGTAGTTTTGATACCGACTCTGGTAGAGACCAAGCTATCTCAACTTTGATCCACCATGAAGAAGAGTTGTTGTGGAGAATCAGGGTCAGTGAAGGACAATCACCATTCCAATCTTGGAATGACTTGAATTCCACCTCGGGAGATGAAGAAACAATCTGTTCGGGCATCTCGTTGGATGTAAGGAAGAGAATTAAATCGCGATATATGAATATCCACAGTCGAAGTTGAGTGGGAGACGATTGGTTGTAGCAGGGGTAAAAGAAGCAGCAGAGTTGTGCGTAAGCGTAAATGTATATGATGGGAGTATGATAGTCTGCAGCTACTCAGCTACATGCCACGGGAGTTAAGTATTTCTCCTGATATTTTCCCCGGAGATGAGCTGGGCTGGGCTGGGCTACCGTCTAATTATCTGCGCGGTGCTCGCCGACGGTCATATGAAGCATGAGACAATATAGGCACTTAGGATCTCGTTAGTATGAATCTCAAATAGTATCATACTTGTACGTCTTCGTTCACCACACTGGTTGCCTTAGTTGATCATATCGTCCAACCTGACCCAACAAGGGGTTCAGTTTCCGCCATAATTTACCATTTCCGGATTAGCGCCATGGATACCTGCCCTGGTTATAAAACAGATTGATCTTCCTGAACTTCTTGTTGCATGGTCACTTATCTTATTATCGTCATCCTGATCACATCAAAGTCTTGTCTAATCTTCCTGACGTTCGCGAGGAAATACTCAAAGACAATGCCAAACGGATTATTATCCGAGCAAAGACAGAAAGCCTGTACTCCGAAGACTGTCGTGCCACCGCATACAGAATTGTCAGTGAGATTTTCCCTGGCTGGGAACAGGACAGCCGGATCCTTTTCCTTGCTATCGAAGTTTGGCACAATCGGATTTTTATAAACATCGATGTCAACCGTGATAATTACAACTACGATACAGCGCACAAAGACAAGACGATCCTTCCTGTCTATGTGCTTCGAAGACATAGGGGAAACTGGGTCCTTTTGCGATGGCCCAAAGAGGATGGGCCTGTTGCTGCACAATTAGCGGAAGTTTACCGTGTTACTGGATATGGTGCTAAGACCCCGTTCTTTGAGAACCACAACTCACGTATTGTTCATGCCAATCCACGTGAATTTCTCAAGTGATGGTTCGCTTTCCACATGTTCGCTTCGTTAAATCAGCTGGCTGGCAAATATTAACTCTTATGAAGGAAAAATATTTGGACCAAGCCTTTTCCGGAAGACTGGATGAATCGTGAGCCAGGCAATCACTGAGTAGCTCTCCTTCTAAAAAGACAAGATTAGAAAGGCCAACCTAGTCTTATCGATGTTATCTTTGTATTTCGAGGATACGATTGATGATTCTCACTAGTTGCCAAGATTCAAGGATTGTTTCTTTCCATTAGGGTCCTGCCAACAGTACCAATCCTTGTTTTTAGATGATGAGAGATCGAAGATGTCGTGAACACCTTGAGCATTGCAGTGGGGCTCCGGCACTACTATTGATCCGGTGCTTATCTCCTTGCTGCCTCGCCTGTATCTAGAACTGAGAACAACATCATCTGTCTTTATCCTATGGTATCATCTTTGAAAGATGGGCCTGCGGAAGGCCTTTAGGGCTTTGTATTTTCAGTTTACATCAAGTTGCTTATCTAGCTGGACCACAACAGTATTTTGGGTGGTTGCTATCTGTTATCTTATCTATTACAGTCGCTGTGTAGTGCATTACCTGTCCCTTGAAGTGGTCTGTGATCTATCCTGTTAGAATGATCAGTAACCAACATAGAGATAGAAATAAATATGATGGAAATCGTTGTTCACTCAGTGGGACATTTGCTTCAATTGCTGATGGCTGCCAATCGTCTTGAGAATGAGAACTAAGAGCCACGCACTGACCTTAAGTAATCGAGGCTCCCCCGATTTGCTTTATCTTGCAATTGGCAAACTCGTCTCTCCAATAACTCTTCAAAGTATTTACCTTCATGTTCTCCACCTTTGTTGCCATTCCCGATCGTCCCGAGTCCTCCGGCCCCAGCCGACCGTCAATTCCACTTTCTTCCATCTCCTCTGCCTCCTCCACTTCCCCATCTACCACACCGGGGCCTCCCCATCCCAAGCGAAGCCAGGTCACAAGAGCTTGCGACTGGTGTCGCGCCCATCGCATCAAATGTGACAGCAGCCTACCATGCCGCAACTGTCGCAAACGCGGAGGGTCCTGCACCAAGAAGAGCTCGGGCGAGCCACGGACTCTGCCGCATGCCACGAGGTTGTTTGTTCATATCATAGTGGGCTTAAGATAAGGAGGTGAGGCTAATGCCAGGCATGTCACGTAAACAGGGAGATCGAACGGCTTCGACAACGCGTGCACGAACTCGAGGAGCAGATGGCCCGACACTCCCCCGCGCCCCACGGCCCCGGCAGCTCGGCCCCTAAAAGCTAGGATGGCATTTTGACCCGCACCGCCCACTCGTCCCAGACCCAGTGGTACGGCCCTTCGTCCGCCTTCTACTTCATCGGTCGCATGAGTGCCTACCTTGGTGCTGTCTCCAACAACCCCAGGACGACCGCCATTTGCAGTCCAATTCCGCCAGTCGCACCTTTACCAGTCCCACTTCCCCCCAAAGAAGTCCCGACGAGGAACACGAAGAGAATGAGGAGCGGTTCGCGGACAATCCGGAGTCGGGGAACTACTTGACCAGCATGCAGGAGGATTACCTCCTAGGGCTCTTCTGGCAGTCGTACCACCCGACTTATCGGATTATTGACGAGGCCGAGTTCCGCGAACACTACAGGTCCCTGTGGGCCGAGTCGGCCACCACACGATGATGCTCCGCCCTGGTCGATATCATGCTGGCTCTCTCCATGCAGTACGGGCTCGCCTGTGCGCCCCACAAGAGGAGTCTGCTGCTTCTCGCACTGATAGCGTGGGCGTCAACGATGCGAGCATCGCGGGGCGATGGTACTATCGCCGCTCGCAGGCCTTGCTGACGTCGGAGCTGGAAAGCCCATCCATCACCACCCTGCAATGCCACATCTTCTGTGTTGTTTACCTGTGTAACGCCTCTTTCCAAAACATGGCGCATACAACGTTAGCGCTGGCAGTGCGTACCGCCCATACTCTTGGACTGCACCTTGAGCCACCCGAAGATTTACCGCGCGCCCAGTGATAACTGCGGAAACGGATCTGGTGGACATAGTATACCGTCGAGAGCAAGACTTGCATGAAGCTTGGACGCTCATGGTCGGCGCCGGACCTGATTGCGACATGTCAGCTCCCCGCTCATGACCATGAGCTGGCCCGGCTGTCGGGGTCTACCATCGCCTCGTACGACAACGTCACCTGGCTGACCTACAGCCGCCTTGTCGCCACGCTCATTCTGTCCGCCCAGGTTGTGTATCGGGCATTCTACAACACCTGCGGCGAAATCTTGGCGAAGCACGAGGGGACCTGCAAGCCCTGGAGGCAGCGGCAGAATTGCTCACCGCGCAAATGAAGAGCCTGCGTGCCTGGCTGCGGGAGGTCCCTACCGCGATGAAGACCAAACGGAAAGACGGGGGAGCCTTTCTCGACAGATCAATCGACCAACTGTGATAAGCATGGCGGGTTCAGATAATGGGCAGATTTCTCCGAGCTAAACATACTAAAATGAAAGTCTGGATTTACCCTGTAATAATAATCAGTGCAGTGTGAATAATGCACCTGTCGCAAGGAACATTCTGCCTGATGTGAACTGACATGCAGATTACCTCATTAGAGGTAATTAGCATGCAATGGCTCTGGGAGCAAAATGTGATTACCCCAACATGACATTGCTGAAAGTGACTACGTGCTGCTCTACAAGAGATGCAAGGCCATCCTAGTACAATCTGGAAAAAAAAATTACATCATTGCTTCCATCAAATGCGAATAATCAACCTCTTGCTGCCATAATTGGCTGCATGAGAAACTCATCATACGCGAGCTCTTCTGCTGTTGGTCTTTCCTCCGGCAGCCATCGAAATATTCTGCGCAAGAAGTTTAGAAAGAGATCTTTGTCCTCACCAGAAAATTGAAGCTCTCTAATCTCAAAAGACTGCTCTGGTATGCATATAGAACCTTTCCAATTACCTGGATACTAATGTTAGTGACTGGGTCAATAGTGACATTTCTTTTTCCTTTCTTGAAAAGAAAATGTTAAAACCATACCTTCTTTATCCCAGAATCTTTCGCACTTCTTACTTCTCTTTAAGAACTCTTGGGGAGGAGGGCCCATAAGAGAGACCATCTCAGCCAAATGCTGCTCATCGCTGAGAGTACCGTTATTTTTGGCAAAAAAAAGATGATTCCCTTCCGCAAGATCCCAGACCTTTCGATATATGTTAGCCAGCATATTTGCTATAATCACTTGGTATAGCATTTACATACCATATTACCGATTGACCAGATATCAACTTTGTAATCCCAGTCCATTTCCAAGATGACTTCAGGTGCGCGATAGATATCAGGCATGATATCACCACTATGCGTCCCCTCTCCAATTCTAGCTTCTCCTAGATCAGAAACCACAGGAAGACCTTTGCAAGAAGGCATTGGACGGGAATAGTAGATATGACGGTCACTCAAGATCTTATTAGCAATTGGTCGTTCAACTTCATCTTCCTCCATTTTAGATAAGATGGAGCTATTGTCTACCCCTTGTAGTATATTATTCGGCGAGATATCTGTGAATGTTAGCTTAGATTCTCTTTTTACTCTGCTGTTATAGCCTTACCGGTATGAATAACATTGCTTTCATGTATTGAAGACAACGCTACCAAAACAAGCTGGGTACTTCTTTGAAGAAGATCCTTTGAAAACTTCATATCAGGTAATAAGTCTTGGAAATCAGCGAAACTCATTCCAAGGGGCTGATAAATCAGACACATAAATATTCCATGTGGTCCAACAACCTCAAATGAGTCAAGAACCAAACGGAGCATCTTTTTTCTATTTTCATTGCAGGATTGCTTCAGATTCTCAGATATCGTAATTTCTCGATCAGAGCTTTGACCCTTTGCACATATCTTAAGAGTATAGTAAGATCCCTCTCTAGAAGATGATATAAGAACAGTGACTATGAATTAATCCAAATACTTACCGAAGATCCCGGCAGAGCCAAACAGTAGAGGATGTACCATATCCAAGCTTTGAAACCACTTGATATCTCGAACCGAAGATTTCTCCAATAAAAACTGGATAATAGTTCTCCGGTTTATATAGGGGCAGACTCTCTTCTTCTATCTTCTCCAGAGGATTTAAGCTTACGTAGCCCGAAGTAGGAAACTGCCGTGGAGGAAGCCCTTGTGAGGAAGTCATTGTTCTTATCGGAATATAATGTAAATGAGATGTATGAGCCTGGTATGAATGGCTAAAGCGTGGTAAGAGCTGCCTGATGTTCCAACGTAATTTTAAATGATTGGAAACCAGACAACGTTCTGGTTGTCGAGAAACAGATAGAATGTTTCTGTCTGTTATCTCTGAATGAAGGGGCGAACGTGCGGGTAATTACTGTTCAGATAACAGCTTGGGAGTGCGGGAAATGGAATAAATTCAATCCAGCCACCTGCTTGTGTAGGCCACATTACATGCTTATTAGCCCGTCACAGACATCACTGAGGTCAAGAGCCATCAACGTTCAACCACCCCTCACAAAATGGCTAGGGACCTTGATTCCTGGCAGTATAGCATGATTATTCACATGATATGCAAAGTACTGAGGATATCACAAATTGCCCAGGCATTGAACTGTAGTGAATGCTCTGTCACTAACACGCGCAGGAAGATGAGATTATTCAGCAATACAAGATCCCCCCCTCAGTCTGCGTCAGCTGGCCGGTGACTATAACTCCTGTGATGCTTGATGCTCTCCTTGATGGCCTCACTGAAAAACCCACTCTATATATTGAAGAGATGGCTGTCTACCTACGGGACGAATTTAGTGTGCTGCCTTCGTCATCCGGTATCAAACGTGCCAGACAAGGAAAAAAGCCCAGCAAAAAAAAAAAAAAAAAAAAAAAAAAAAAAGAACAGAATCCTGAACTACAGGATTTCTACCAGCATAAACTGTCTAAGTTTCGTTCCTACCATTTAGTTGTTATTAACGAATCGGAGTATAATAAACATGTAGGATATCAACAGAGCAGTAAGTCTCCTTCGGGGGTGACACCATTTTAGGTATCTAAGTTCCATCGGGGCGAACATTACCAGATAACTACCCGCATATATGCAAGACGGTGCCTTATTATCCCGCAAATTTACGGGATCTACTGATACTAAATTCTTCGAATTCTTTATCGAGCAACTTCTGCAGCATTGTAGGAAGTGGCCAGAGCCGAAATCAGTACTTGTTATGATCTTTTCCGACCGTGTTAAGCACTTATGCTCTAATGCTATTTCGACATGCAGGCTTAACTGTGGAGAGACAGCCATGAACTGCACTTTTTCGAATTTATGTTATACACGTGATATTTTACTCACCTTGCTGTGCAGGCTACTAAACCTCTTGCGTGCAGGGCTATGATTTCCTCTGGTTTCGTGCTCCGAATAACGAGATGGGGCACACCGAGTACTGCCTCCACGAGTAGCCCAAAAAGAAAGGCTGTCAACGGATTGGTGACGAAGACGTGAGACATGAAGCAGGGAAGTTTTATTGATCAGCGCGTCAAACATCCCCTCCTCCTGCAGGATTCGGAAGACGTATCTGGCCTTAGAGTAGACAGATGCCAATACACAGCAAACCCCAGTCGAGTTGGAATGACCAGGAATCCACCTTCTTCGCCTTGGCCACGAACCAGTACAATTATGGCGACCGATATAGTAGTTGTAGCCTGGCCGGTGTAGATGTAGCGAGTAGCCTCCGTATATTCCTAGCAACTGGTATCATGCTCACCCGGACAGACAACTATTCCGGCATCTTTCATGACAAGCCAACACATCGTCCTTTGGACTGACATTGTATAAAAGTACGTCCCAGGTAGTATTCATAAGAGGAACCGCTCAATTCCAGTCGCATGACGATAGGATGGTACCCGTAGATAACAAACTAATACGCTTTCGAATTTGAGCAGATCGCATAGCTTGGTGACCAAGGCGTAGATCGACAATGACAACAATAAGGCCGTATTCGTCAAGCCAGGGCAAAGTATGGAGTCGCATGCGAGAGTAAAATGATCTAGAACATGACTTGCTTCAATCTTGTGGACATCTCCTTTAAACTCGGAAACCAGCTCTCTCATCTTTGCTGGCACGTATTCTGAGGAAACGAAGTTGGTAACTCCATCATATCTTCCATAGGAGCCTAAGACCGAAGAAACAACCAGCACAGTCCGTGTAATACAGCGTCCATTCCATATCAATTCCAAAAACGTCGGTGGAATCGTCCTTTCTGTCCATTCAGCCTACGTTGATAGATCGGCGTGGATGTTTCTCCGCTCAGGGACATGCTAGGAGCACTCTGACCTGAACTTGTGTTGATGGAGTCGGACTGTTCATAGTGTTACAGAACGGTAACAAATTGTAAACGGTCGCTAGGCTGAGGGCGTGTAGTGTAATTGGTCCATGGGCTTAGGTCCTAGAAATGGACGGGACGTTGTGTCGTGCACTGCTTTTTGCAACCAATGCTCGAGTTCTTTTCCGGTTGACGCGGACGTTGTAGAGAAGATTTCTTGCATCCACCTAGAGCCAGTAACATCGCTGGAAATGTATATCAAGTCGGGTTGTTTGATGAAATGAAGCAGGTAAGTCAGCCCTAAGGGGCTACCATCTCCAGTAGATAACGTGCTGTATCTTTATCCTGCTGCGTAAATAAGATCAATGGGTATCAAAGGTAGTCGCGTATATAGAAATAAATTTCCTTCGTCGGAGATAGAACTTGCCTTTCAATCTCCTTATCTTTTTTGGACATCTTTGCCATAATTCCGTCAGGCTGAAGTATGGTCTATATAACTATCATCCACCGTATTGGAATCATCCGAAGGAGGTTGTTATCGACCAAATAGACCCAAATGTTCTTGGTCGGAATATCCATCCACCCTGTCAATGGAGGGTTTTTTAACACCGCTATATGGAACCGAATACCAGAACAGATGAAGCCATCAAGCAAAATATCCCCCCTCCTTTGGAAGTCATATCCTGGGAATAGATGAACCTTTCTCCTTCAATTACCGAGAGGAAAACATATCGGGAAATGCGTAACTTCCACAGTATCCTAGTTGTTAGGAAGTATGGGTACAGGCACCGTGCCAGCCACTCAATTCTTGAATGGTGGGATCCGTATTCGATTCAATTGGATATTTCCTGCTTCGGGTTAGAATATTGTCTCTGTGTCGAGGAAGAAGTCGATACTCACAGCCCATTTCCTCAGAAGACTTAGGTTGTATGTACACTTTCCCTCCTGTCTTGGTCAGGCCCTGACTGGATGGTATCAACCTTTCTCACAACTATCATACTTGGAGAGGATGGCACTGTTCTCATCTAGTCCAGCGCTTGTAGGTGTCGTTTGGGTAGAGATGATATTGGGTCCGATGTTAGACCAGCGAATGATCATGTAATTCGTGGCTGGGATAGCCGTTTGAGGTCTGTAGATGTGCGTTGTATCGAAGGGTTTGACCTCAGGAAGTGGGGGGTGAAATGGTATATATGATAGACTTTGTAAGGTAGATGGTGGTGTGGAGAGAGTAGGGCATGTCAAGAGGTGTCCTTTGGCTTGTGTATATACGGTGTCATTTGGGTATTTCACTTGGTTCTTATCACCAGGACTTTTTCTGGTGGTATTCAATGGGTAGGGCATGGAGAGGAGGTGGTTGTCACTACGCTATGGCGAATACTCTTTCTGTCTGTCAATAGATGAAGTTAGTAACTGGAGGGTCATTTGAGGTAATCTTCTGCAGCTATAGTATACTGCACTGCTACGTATTCAATGGAATCCACCGTGAATCGACTAATTTAGACCGGTTCGAATCTCGGGTAGAATTACTGATGGCTGATGCCTATGCCTGCTTGTGGGCCAGACACGGATATTTCACTGCAACAAGTATAGGATCAGGATCATTATGCAGTTGATTATTGACAACACCTTTTGCATATGTACACTTTACTCCAATGCCATATAGGCAGTCCCGTAAACAAAAGAAAGTACGCCTGTACGTAGGTATCATAATCTAATCCCAGCCGCTAATCTTCATCGTGCCGTTCTCCTGCAGGTTCTGGTGCATCTTGAACGCCTGGAAGAGCAGGTGGGGCTCGTGGCCCATACCCTTCTTCATGCACTCATACTCAGCCCGGTCCAAGTAGTCCGTCAGGATGGGCTTGTAGTCGGGGTGAGAGCACTTGTCGATGATCACGCGAGCACGCTCGCGGGGAGCGAGACCACGAACGTCGGCCAGACCCTAGGTTTGTTAGCAAAAGTTATTTATCACCGGTATGGGACTGCTTACCTGTTCGGTCACAACCACGTCGAGATCGTGCTCAGTCTGGTCAATGTGGGTACAGAAAGGAACAATGCAACTGACACCGGTCGGGTCCGTCTTGCTGGGCCGGGTACTAGGGGTGTGCATGATACTGTACTTGGAGCTGCGCAGGAAGTCCGCCGAGCCACCCAGGCCGTTGAGCATGCGCGAGCCCATGACACAGGTGCTGTTGGCGTGGGCGTAAATGTCCACCTCAACAGGGGTGTTCATACCGATGCAGCCCAAGCGACGGATGATCTCGGGCGAGTTGGACACCTGCTGCGGGCGCAGGAGCAGCTTACCGGCATAGCGCTCCCAGTTATCGTAGAAGCGCTTGAAGCCGTCGGGAGAGAAGCGGATGGACGTCGCAGTGGCAAAGTCAAGGTTGCCACTGTCGAACAAATCCAAGAAGGAGTCCTGCAGCACCTCCGTCCACACCTTCAGGTTGGTAAAGTCGGCACCGCCCTTGCTCAGACCGCCAACAACCGCGTTGGCAATGTTGCCAATACCGGACTGGATCGGCAACAGGTTCTTGGGCAGACGCCCGTGGTTGACCTCGTGCTTCAAGAACTCAATCAGGTTAGTGGCAATGGCCTGAGAACCCTCATCCTCCGGGGCATTCGGCTGAGTCTGATCCGGGTAGTCCGACTCGACGATGGCCACGACCTTCTCGGGGTCGACCGGGATGTGAGGAGTACCGATGCGGTCCTCCGGTTGCATGATCAGGTACGGCTTCCGCAGCGGCGGAACATCCGACATGACGATATCGTGCAGTCCCTCGAACGACGGGCTGGCGGTGTTGACTTCAATGATAATCTTATCGGCCATCTGGACAAACTCGGGAGAAGCACCGACGGAGGCACCGGGGATGATGCCACCATCCTCGGTGATGGCGGAAGCCTCGATGACCGCGACATCCAAGCGCTTGTTGGGCTTGTTCATGGTGTACCATCCCTGCATGCACGATCAGCAGACACTCAACAAGAACCGACCGCAGCGGCTTACATAGACGAGATCCGACGGGAACATGCTCAGATGCTTGTCGAAAAAGTTGATCTGCCCATTGTTGATTCCCTTGGCGATTTCCTTGCCCACCTGATGAGGACTCCGGCGCTCGATCATGTTCAACCGAGCCCAGCGGTTCTCTGTTTCCGCCCCGGAGGAGGCACCCACGAAGAGGCTATATTTTAGCTTTCCCTCAAGCTTGTTTTTCTCAACGTGGTCGGCCAGCGCCGTTGGGACTTTCCTGCAAACCGGAAAGACACAAGGTTAGACTCTGTGGCTACCACGCGCGAACGGGACAAACCTACTTGGGATAGCCAACACCCGTGAATCCGGACCAGCCGATGTACGATCCATGGGGGAACAGGTCAATGAGGTCTTCGGCCTTGGCCAGCTTGTTCAGGTAGGACGGCCGGCGGATACGGCTCTTCAAGAGAGCGGAGGCGGCCATTGTGAGGGGAAGGAGGGAAGAATGATCACCGGGGAGAGAGAGAGAGAGAGAGAAAGAAAGGGGTGTAGAGGGGAGAGGGAGGGAATGGAGAGAGGAAAGAAAGGGAGAAGTTAAGAAATTGGGGGGAGAGCCAGATAGAAATACGGTACGGAACCCCCGCCACGTTCCACTGCCCCGGTTGAGGCGAGGCGGAGAAACACCACCTTTCGGGGATAAGGAGTCTAGTAGGACTTAGGAGACCATGCACCAGCTGTACACACACTAATCTATCATCTATCCCCGCTCGCTGACTGGCTGTCGATCAAGCAGCTGGTGCAGCTCCCATGCAGGAGGGTGTATGTTGCTCCGCGCTCAGGACGGAGCAGTCTAGACTAGGTGCAGCTTGTCGGATGGCGGCCGGCCGGGGGGGATGCTGTCAGAGACGTATTTATCCAGCGGCCTGGCCACCTCGACCTGGGGAAGAGGGTCTCAATGGCAGAGCATCCGAGTCGCCAACCCTTCTACTACACTGGGTCCTCCTTTGACCCCTTTCTAAATCATGGTGTTGGACAAGTGATGGAAGGTGAGTGTCCTGGTATCGCCTTGCAGAACCCCCATTCATGCTGACGTCACGCCGGCGAACTCTCGGGCCGGACCCTTTTTTAGTTACATAGTAAGTCGCGTTGCCTTCGCTTGCCTCCCCACGTCACCTTGAGCTCAATTGTCCTTCTCGTTGCCACTGAAGAGTCCGTCTCTATCCGGACGAACCGTCGGAAATCTATCATATACACAGTACATACACTCTGCGCAGTCCGTCGTGAGGAATGCCTCTTCGCGCGATGGGTAGGTAGCCTGGAGAATGGCGCAAGTGCCCAGGCCGAGATTGAGCCAGGAATGCGCCGACGGACTAGTCTCGGGCTGTATCGGTTATCGCTGCTCGGCCACACGGAGCTTTCAGCCCAGCGCGCTCTCTGGCAGCTCTCCAGTCGAGTCCCGCATTCCCTCAGCCCGCTAGCAGACGAGCTTTACTAACGCCCAACCCCACGCCGATTTCAATCACACAAAAGAAAGTCGGTTGATCAACAACTCCATGGTCCTAGTTACACATACACAGTGAAGATAAAAATGAAAACATCCCAATTGACCCCGTCCCGGTATCCCCCCCAACCCACGCCAGAGATCCCCCGACGGCCCGGCGGATGCCCTCCCGGTCGCATCCCCACGAACCGCCAGCGAGTTTCGTTTCCCAACAAGCAGAAAGCCATTCGTGCAACCGTAGAGACCGTCTTCGCGGTTCATGTAGTGTCAAGTACCCCACTGCCAGTAACGGAGGCGGAGACAGACAGAGCGAGAATGAACATGGTACAGGTGCGGATGACACCGAAGGAAGGCTGCGAATGATCACGCCCATGTCACCCGCGTGCAACACTCAAGCAGACACTCGCTGCAGCAGATATGCCCTCACTGCTCTTTCGACTCGGCCGCGGGCGCTTCCACGTCGGCCATCTCGCTGTCTTCCTTGTCGCCCTTCGAGTCCGTTCCGGAGTTTTCGGCCGCTGCGGTACCGCTGTCGCCTTCGGGGCCCTTGATCCAGGAGCGGAATCGTTGGTTCGACTCATCCACTTGATCCTTGCTGAGACCGTGTGCCCAGTGTGGGTTGTTGACAAACTTCTCCGTAAATCGGTCCCGGCGTCGCTCCTTGACCGCCGCTTCTTCCTTGGCAGCGTCCTCCGCCGCGTCCTCCGCCGGCGCAGTCGGCCGCCACCACCAGTCGTAGCTGCTCGGTTCGTACAGGATGTGATAGCTGTTGGCGCAGATGCGAATAATCAACCCATCCTGGTGTACCAGCGGCCGGTAATAGCGGTTGTATTCTTCCTCCTGCTCAAGCTTGGCCGGAAGGTTGCGCTTTAGGAAAGGCATGCGCATCTGGGAGAACGGCACCCCCTCAGTCGGATCCCGCATCGTGTACGCAGAGACATAGTACGACCAGCGCGCCTCTTGGCTCAGCTCCTCATTCTCCAACGTGGCATCCTCGGGTGTCAAGAGCTGCACTGCCGTCTTCTTTGTGCCAGGACTCTGCAGGCCAAACTGGTTAGATCGCATCTCATCCACGTCGAGAGTAAGAGCACTTACATAGGTAATGCGATAAATATCACCGTCTTTAACCAGCCGTTCCACCTGCTTACGGTACTGGATCTCTTGGTTGTGCGTGGTCTCCTCCTTGTCCCGCTCCTTAAAGAACTGGTTGATGATGTCCGAGCTGCGGTCCTTCGAGTCCCCGTTGAAGATCGCCCCGGCAAACTTGGAGATGCCCGCAAACATCTTCTCCAGATTGTACAATTGGTAGCCGCTTCGCAAGTAATAGCGACGGAGGGTCTCTTCCAGGTGGGAGGGTTCCATATCTCCTTTGATGACCTCTTCGCACATGCGCACGATCTGCTGGTAGAGGTTCGCTTTGGAGTCGCAGTCGTAGAAAAAGTCCGTAGGGAACTTGTCAATCAGGTTAAGCTCCTGCGCCGGTTTGGTCACCATCGCACGGCGCACATCGTCATGCGCATCCTTCTCATGAAGTTTGATGCGCAACAGACGCGAGTAGAGGATCTCGAAGGTACGGAAGAAGCAGTAGATGTTCAGGTTGGCGTACAGGTGATGGGCTTTCTTCTCGTACGTCTCGTTCAGGTTGTACTCCCGATGTTGGTTGAAGTTGCCCTGCCCAGGATGCTCCATCCATTTCAGTTCCGCCACATCGAAAGGCTCGGTCGGGTCAGGAATCGGAGTTGACGGGATTAGGACAGCATCCGGAGTGCCATCACGGCTGGCGGGTGTACTGCCTTCCTTGTCGCCACGACGTACTTTCTCGCTGCGACGCTCTAGAACGTCGCGAAGGAGGTCGATCTTCTTACCATTGATGCCCTTTCGACTGCGCGGGGTCGATGACTCCTCGGCGACCAAACTCTCATCATCGCCTTCATCCATCGGTGATGTTCCACGAGAGAGTTCGTTCATGTACACGTGGAAAGTATCACGGTCCATGCCAAAGAAGACGGGGATGAAGTCCTTGATAAATGTCATGACCTTCTGTGGGTCGGCGCCAAATCCAGCAGAGTTACGGTCAATGAAGGTGAGCAGCAAGTGGGTGGCGTCAATGATAACAGCCGGGTCGTCAAAGGTGAACTCGAACTGATGCTTGGCGGTTTGGTAGCCACTCTTGCGCAGGTTCCTGCTCTCTTCGAACTTATTCTGAATCTCTGTCTGGATATGCTTCGCCACGAATAGCTTCTTGTCGATTGCTTTGCTGGCGATCGCCTGGTGGTCCAGACTACGCCAGTATGCTTTCTGCATCTGCTCGCGCCAGATCTTATCCCACTCACGCTGTTCGGAAGGTCAGCCACGGTTCATTTGGGGAAATTCTGTTGCCTTACCTGACTAGCCTTCCATTCTTCACACTTTTGCTTCAGACGGAAAAGAACAATGGGCAAGACATGGGTCGGTCGCTCAAACATCTCTTTGATGATCTTTTCGCCGCGCGTTCTGTCGTAAATCTTTTTGATGACCCGCTGGTAAATGGCCTCGCTCTGCCCACCAAGGCCGGGCGGAAGTTTGAACGCAACACACTCTCCCTCAGACATGACCAAGAACTGCTGTACAATAGGCTCGATAAGCTGGATAGTGCGCGTGCATGCCTCAATATGGTGGTCATAGTCATGTCTATCCTCTTCAATGCGGTGCAGGGCATCCTCAAACTGGTTCTTACGATGTGCGACGAATCCAGAGTCCTCCGAAGCCCAGGTAGGATGGGACGCCCATTCGTCATTAAGAACACTGTAGCACAGCTGATCACGGCCGCTGCAGGGCTTCTGTCGCTCACGCTTCGGCAGCAGACGATAACTAGGCCCAAGGGACCGGCAATGAGACAGATTGACAAGCCCGGACTCTTGTTGCTTCGCCTTGACGTCGATGATCTTGTCTTCGGGCTCGTCAACATGCATGAAGCGCTTGAACCACGCCATGAGCTCCGGATTGGAACCAATGTAGCTCGCCGCCCTTTTCACCAGAACGTGCCTGTCAATGAGATCTGTAGAGTACAGATTACAAAGCTTAAGGAACTCGCTAAAGGTCTGCTTGTTTCCAATATACTTCTTGACCCGATCAAAGAAAGCGAATTCCTCCTGAGTGGGTGTCAGGGAGAAGGTCGGCTGAATCGGCTCCGGTAAAGCGGGAACCAGTGTGGGAGAGACCGTGGGGACTTCCGCCTGAGAAGGCTTTGTATGATGGACTTTGGCCCTCTTCAAGATGGTCAGCAACGCTCCCCCGCTGATTTCAAGTGATACATGGGAACGGGACACTTCAAGAAATGCATGCAAATATCAGATTGGATAGCAACTCACCTTGTTGGCATTACCAGTCTGAAGAGCCGAGGACCTAACCTGCACATCCCCCATACGCGCCGCATCAGTAGCAGAAGGGCCGGACATCGAAGGGCCGAGGGAAGACGGCGCTCCTGGCCCACCGCGACGTTTCTTACCGTCCTTGGCAGAGTCCTTGACGTTGAACTGACCTAATGGGGGCATCTTTACGTCGCGGTTCGGCGTCTGAGAAGGAAGAGCGTTGGCACTCGGATAGCTCGGCTCGCCGCGAACATTGCTCATAGGAGCTGCTTCTTCTGCCTGGCGAGCTGCGGCTTGCTGCTTTGCATGCGCTGCCGATTCGGGCAGAAACTGCTTGAAGTCCTCCAGCAGATCGGGGGCCGTATTGAATAGCTGAGTGACCTGAGCATATACATCCCCAATTGGCTTTGACTCGCGTTGATAGGTCTGCAGAATCTCAAGGAACTGTTTGTAAATCTCAGGAGCACTTGCAAATCGGTTCTATCAGAGATTCCGACGTCAGCGTGATTGTCACTCTGAAAGATTCTCGAGAACGGCAGGGTTCTTGTGCTCACCTTGATCTTGTTGACGTAGCTAATCGCATGGTTGAACTCCACCGGTCCCCGTTTGGTCAAATCCTGCGAGCCTTGAAGCATGCCAGTGCCCACGCCCGCTAAACTGTTCATAGGCTGAGTCAAACTAGGACCCTGTCCGGACGCTGCTGATACCTGCAAGAGAGAAGGACGTGTGAGACCCGCAGAGGCAGCAGATGCGGCACCCTGAAGTTGAGAAACGCCTCGTTGATCTTGCTGATGGGCCATGGCGGCAGCTCCTGCAGCGGCTTGCTGCTCTTGCTGGGTTGGGTAGTCAAAGTGGTGGTCTTGAGTCTGATTCTGACCAGCTTGCTGGCCGAACATACTTGGTCCCATCATGCGGGAGCCAGGAGAATATGACCCAGGGAGGTTCCCTTGCTGCTGCTGGGGCTGGGGCTGGGGCTGGGGCTGTTGCCACCCAGGTCGAGCCTGGTCAAAGTATTCAGGACGCCCATGAGGACCCATCCCACCGGACGGACCAAGCTCCCCGGAAGAATCCAGAGAGTGTCTAGCACGGGGCATGCTCAAGGTATTGGTACCTGAGGGAGTGGTCACTCGAATGGCATCCGGATTGTCCTCTGTTCCGCACTCGATCCGATATCCAGGAGGCAGGAAAGTGTTGAACCCTTGGATGAGAGCGGGATGCCCGTTGAATAGCGTAGAGACGCGTTGAATTACTCCAGGCGTATCAATCCTGCTGTCCAGTCAGAAGGGCACATTTCTACCAGGGTATCTGGCCGCTTACGCCTGACTCTTGAAGTCTTTCATAATATCTAGAAACCGATTGTATACATCAGGTTGGTCGACAAAGCGGACCTTGACCTGGTCTAAATAGCTGAGAGCATCCTGTTCGAGAACCGTAAGCGAAGGTTGCTAGCCGCAGGGCATATGCCCGAGCACGGCAGTGACTCACGTTCAGAATTGGTTGCTGACCCTGAGCAAGTGCGGCCACATTCCCCGGAATCTGAGGGCCAGAACCATTGAACCCCATCATGGCCTGGCCTGGCGGCCCAGCCGGATGTTGGATGTATGATCTGGGCGTACTTTCACCATGCTGCATCTGCGGGCCGTAGATCCCACCAGGTCCTCCAGGTGTGGGCATAGACCCTTGCGGGCCATTTGCGGGGTTCGACCCGAGGTTAGACAGGAGCCCGTTGGGCCCGTGGATGGAATTCGGTACTTTGGATGCTACTGGCTGGTGGATAGGGATTGACCCCGTGTGACTCTGTACTGGGTGATGTTGTTGCTCACGCTGTCGTTCTAGCTGCTGTCGTTCAATTTGCTCGCGTTCGCGCTGTTCGCGCTCCCTGTGGACCATCTCCTCCTGGCGCTGTCTCTCAATCAGCTCCCGTTCTCTAGAGTCTCGCTCGCGTTCACGGTTGATAGACTGGGGGGAGGGATGTTGCATGGCTTGCCCGATGCCCGGGAGTGAGTGACCAGCATTATGACCAGGAGCGGCGGGGTGTTGCCCATAGGCGGAAGGCTGATGTGGACCAGCGTGGCTCTGGCTCAGTTCCGCCAGTCCGGGAAGGGAATGCCCTCCTGGTTGGTTCGCAGGATGGTAGGGACCTAATAGGAGCACATAGATCAGCCAAGTATTCAGCCATTCGCAAGGTCTTTCGCAAGAGAGCGGAAGAGGGGGAAATATTTCTAACCAGCTGGGGGTGGGAGAACCGGTCCGGTGGGCTGCGTAGACGGGCCTTGCTGAGGCGGTGGGTTTTGACTAGATCGCGAAGATACCACGGTCAGTCATCGCTACTCTCAAAGGCGCACATATGAAGAACAGTGCGCAAGGGTTTAGCAAGCATACCTAAATGAGCCCAAGGGGCGAGGTTGTTGGTTCATCTGATCCATCCCCGGGTGCGCTGGCGGGCCACCGGGGTGCCAGTTATCGTTCCCAGAAGAGTTCATGGTCTGTGGCGCATGAATATAACCCTTGCCGCAAAGATTCCTACTCGGAGCACTAGGCAACTGTGGCTTCGACGTGGAAGGGGGTGATGGACCTGCTAGTGAGGTTCTTGCACTGTGGTTGCTCTACACACGGCGTGATTTGTCTTCCTCCAGCTTGATTTCACAGCGACATCACTATGCTGGAGACTCTGCCAACCGCAGACGAACTATACAGACGCAAGAAGCCGCGAGATGACAATCAGCCAGATCTCGGAGAGAGGGCAAAAGGCACGACAAAAGGTACGACAAGAAGGCGGAGGAGAGAAAAGTCCAGATTAGCCAGCGAGCAGCAGATCAAGTCGGTGATGATGGTTTGCGCGCAACCGATCACGGATGGTCTCCCGACAGAAGGCGGAGAGGGCCTTTGACGGCACTAACCCCTTTCCCGCATAGTGCCGCCTCACGGAAGGACAATCTTCCGGCCGCGGCAGTCACTGCAAATTGATTGGCCGGGGGAATGACGCAGCCCCGTGGGATTGGTCCGACGTCATTGACTGGGTCGGTCACACAGCCGTCCCATGAGACGGTCCGAGTTGAACCGTCGATAGTGACTCCAATACCCTGGCACCTTCACCGCGCTATCCATACTGTAAATCAGTCTGGTTTTTATGATCGGGAAAATTTTTCTGACATTCATTCACCAAGGTAACGCTACAGTTCAATTCGGCTCTCCTTAGCGACAGAGTGGGCTGAGGTCGGGCGCGGAACATATATATCTCTGTTAAAACAGAAGATAATGTTATTAAGACCAGAAAACCCTTCTATCCTTGAAACTCCCATAGATTCATATCTACTCAGTGATACTAGGTAGACACCACCATCCATCCGAGCTATCTCAAGTCTTGCTCTAGTTGCAGCGGAGGTGCCATAAACAGCAGAAGAGCCCGGCGCCTCCCCCCGGGCGGCATAGACATGCATATCAATTGAACAGGCATCGGGCAGCAAAAGGGACAAGACACCCTCTGGAGGTCCCACGTAGTCTTCTCTATCGGTTCCCACCAAACGCCCCCCCCCCCCCAAAACGATCATAGAACATTACCGTGTTCATTGCAATAGACGGGTTAGAATGGACACCTCGTCAGGTGGATGGAAGATGGCTAAAGGAAAACGGATAAACAACCAAGCACTGCACAGCCAAACTCCAACAGAACGGGGCAAAAAAGCGTGCTAAACTGGAACTGGCAACTTGATTTTGGATTTGCGACTGCTGCTGCTAGGAACCTTAATTGTCTTATATCTGCCCCATCTTTGATTCACATCCTGACATTCCTGTCCATTAATGATTATGGCCACTTTGTCACATACTTACAATGCAGAAAAGACAAACAGCTGTACGCCCCTCAGAGTCAGTTACGGACCATCCAGATAATCGGAAAAAGGGGAAACTCACGTTATTCGTGGCAGCAATAGCAATGCTATCCTCATAAGGATGCCAGCTCATGTGCAGGATCTTCTTATTGAAATCGATCTGGTCGGCATCCGTCTCCTTCTTCATTCTTCCACCAGGACCAGCAGGGCTGCCAGCTCTGGAGCCATTCTTCTTCCCGTTGGCACCCTTGTTCATAGGCGTTGGAACGCCAACCTTCTTCGCCTTGAAAGCAGACTTGTCCGCCTGCAGTACTATCTCCGTTTCCTTGCTAGCATCTGTGGGGTAGATCATGAAGTTGTTGTTGTAACTTCCTGTCATAACATTTTCCGCGTCGCCGGAGAAAACAACCTCGAATTTATCGAAAATGCTATCGTTCTCGTATGTGTCACACAAACGCGGTCGCAGATGCTCGTGAATGGGAATCGTCTTCACAGGCTGTTTCTCCATGTTGACATCCCAGATTTTAACAGTCAGGTAATCTCTTGACACAATGTAGCGACCGTCGTGTGAGAAGCGCACGTCGGAAATCGATGAAATGATTTCGGAAAAGAAAGAACGGGACGACGCATCCTCTTCTTGCTCAAAGACTAGAGTGGGGAAATAGTGTTAGTACATAGCTTCTGCAAGTAAGCAACGACTGCGGGAGATCACATACGCTTTGAGTGTTCATCGCACAATGCTCGCTGCCGCATATCGGCAAGCTTGATTGTGCCCTTTGAACTGGCATACATGAACCAGTTGCAACTTTGTGGATGAAATTCAGCAGCCGTAATGACTTCCGTGAGCTCCTCCATGTTTGCAGGCTTGATGTCCACAATATTAAAACTTTGATCTTGAATATTAAGATTCCAAAGGTTGACCCGGAGATCGTCGCTGCTTATGAACGTTTCCCCATCGCTATTGACGGAAATGCTGTTAATATGGTAAGCATGCGCGTTCGCGTAGGTCCTCCGAGGTACGGCTGCCACGACGGTATCATGATGCGTCATTCGTGGGAGCTTCAGCATGGATGGATCCTTGAACGCTATACGGGGCGCACGGGGAGCCCCTCCACCACCGACACCCGCAGGGGTCAGCTCGCTCGAAAGGTTGTTCTCTGCAACAACCTTCAATGACTTATCAAACACCTTCCAGAGCTTTATCGTTTTATCATTCGTCGAAAGAAGAAAGTGGGACGCATTTTGCCGTCTGCACCACTTGATTTTGTTGATTTTTTCTTCGATCTCCAAAGATTTGAGGTAATCGAACTCCGGCTCGTGGGATTGGAATTCGGTGTGGAATTTGTACTCGCAAGTTTTTTTCTATACACTGTTAGACACCTCCGTCCTGACAACAAATCAAAGGCGAGGGCATTGGTACGGTTTCATTCCGCTCAAATAAAACCACTCGTCCTCCCTTATCTCCCGTTGCTAGATAGTTTCCGGTGTGGTCAAACTCAACGGTTGAAATAATGTCCGCTGGAGAGTAAGCAATGTCAGCCAAAGGTCGAGTGTCATAGTGCCCTTAGGGAGTGCTACTGAGAGAGCTCTAGGTTGAGGAATCAAGGGCGGTAGGACCTACCTTCCGTAATGTCCTCCACATCTCCTTTGTCACCAAAGCATCTAGTTACATATATTAGTATGGGTGATCGCCATGAATATGCCATGCCATTGTGGTTCAAAAGCGGAAACAAGAGTGCCCCAACAATCTGCCAACACGACCCCGCTCCTAGCCCAAAGGTAGCCACAAGCACGACAAAAATCACAAGTTGGCGCATCCACCATGAACAGCTGGCACGGCTGCCACACAGAGCTTCAAGGGATTTTACTCACTGCGTGAACTTCCAGGTAGGTGTACCTGGCTCCCTGTCTACCATTTTCTTTCAAATCCACCCTGGGCCGGGTTGTCTATCAGCGACCGGGAAAGGAAGATTCTAGGAGCCACAAATCGAGAAGCTCGTTTGAGACGGCCAAGGCGGGGTCTGCGGATACCGGTCTCGTGCTGCGAGGATTCGAGCTGGAGAACTTTTCACTGGACGGTCTAGTTCGTTCAAGGCGAAAAGAAGAGGGGTAGCGATGAGAACCACGACGGACAGGCGACAGTATTCGTGATAGGAACGAGCCTCAAGTGTAGATCAGGAGGGTTGGAGAGTCCGACTAGGGAATGGCAGAAGCGGAGAGGTGAGGAAGGAAGCAGGGCCGCGACGTCCGACAGGAACGTGAGAGGCAGAAGACCGAGCTGAGTCACTTGCAGGCCGATGGAGACAAATGATTGACAGGTAGAGCCGATCAGACCAGACGAGAAGAGTAGCTGGGTGGGGAGGAGTTTTGTTTTTAAGTCTTTTTCCTTTTTAACTTTGGTTTTGGAACACCCTTCTCTCTGGGGATTTAATAGTGGGTGTTGTGCTAGTGTCTAAGAATAAATGGAAAACACAAGGACAAGCACAGACCAGCCGTACGAAGAGACGACGGTCGGCCGAAGGGTAGAAAAAGAGGGGGGAGGGGGGAGTTGGCGAGGCGGGAAGTGGGAGGGAGAGGATGACGATGATGGAGCGAGATGGAGGAGTGGTGGTGGAGGAGGAGAATGGTGGTGGTTGAGGTGAGGCGGTGGTTTGGCAAGACCCGTCTGTTGGTGGTGGGGAGCAGTGGCTGCCCGTAAACCCACACGCAGCAACAACCCAACTTAACTCGGCCGGGCGCTGACATCAACCACTGTCCCCTCCATTGCAACTCTCCCCCCGGCCATTGTTGTTGTTCTTCTCCTCCTCACTCGTTGCAGCCATTGTAGTATGCATGCCTGGCTTCTCCGTGAAAGGTACTCATGGGAAGAATGCTTCCGAAAAATGGCATCCAGCGGCAGCTGGTCTTCCTCTGCCCAGGCACCACGGCTGTAGTCTCTTGATTCAGCAGACGTTCACAAAACAACAAACAACTAACCATATACTACTATGAAACTAACGAAGGATGGAGGGGCCCGTTGGATCCCGTCCGAACTATTCACCCAGGAACCAGAGACAACCAGAATGCCTCCCGACCGGGGAGATTCTTAATATTATTGCAGCCCAGCACCTCTCCATTCAGATCGGTTTCATCGTGTGCCGCGTTGCCTGGAATCTCAGGACTCCCGCAACCACTGTTCTGGCCTGAGGCTCTTAACATGCACATGCACATGCACTTCTTCCTACTGATCCCGACTCCCTTGGACCGAACACTAACCCAATATCTCCCGTGAAAGCGACTGAATGATCTAGGTTTTCTTGTCGTCCCCCTTTCTGGTCAATCTTACAATTTGTTCGGATCGTTTGCCTTCGTCGCTGTTGCTGTTGCTGGCGACCTGGTACTCGTACTACGACTGGCAGCACTGACACTCCCCGCCCGCGACAGACCATGTCTAACAACGAGAAGCGGGGCAGTGACGACAAGCCCGCAAAAACACACCGCAACGACGCCAATTCCTCCCCAGGTACCAATGAACGCCCAAACAGCCCTTCTCTAGCCAGTCGGATCCAGAACTCAGCTTCGGGACTCGCGAGGAATGTCTTCTCCACCCCTGGCTCGTCAGCAGATACCGCCCAATTGCTGGCTAACAGCGGTAAGGCCGGGAATTCATCGTCCCACTCGGCACTAGCAGCGGCCCAGCAGTATAGGGAAAGCTCTACCTCTGCCTCGCCTTCGACTCGAGAGTCTTCGATATCTACCCCTGCCGAAACATTCCGGTCATCATCCACCGTACGAACCGGGGGGTTCGATCTCCCTCCGCTTACAGAAGATGAATTCCAACGTACTTACGGCATGGAATCCTTCAGCAGCAACAATGACAGCTTCATCTCAGGTCTAAACGCGGATGAGTCCAAGGGTAAGGGCAAGGGACGAGCGACGGACAGCGATTCTACCAACCCTGTCACGTCCGATCAAAGGGCTTTGCCCGACCAACCATCTCTCCTGTCCTCCGACGGCGACGCAGTCGTATCCCTACTCTCTGACCATACCTTCGATCCCGAGTTCCCTCCTACAGCCGACGAGCCCGCTGAAATTGTTGAGACCGAGTTGTCGCCTGTACAACTTACACCCACAGAAATACAAATGATCGAGTCCTTCCGTCGTCTTACACCCCCAGCTGCGTCCGCAACCCCCCAAGACACATCCGCCCGCAACCTGACATCCCTCAGCCTGGTTCCAGATATCGGTGATTTTCTTGCCACGGTCCCATCGGGAGGTAACTCGGATGCAGCCACGCTGCGAGATAACGTTTTGACGGGTCTACCCGGTGCGGCGGATTGGCTTACTGTCGAGGAGCGATACCATGATGAAGTCTGGGGCTACCTGCGCCCTACATTGGAGGCTGCCGCCAAGGAGATGGAGTCCAATAATAATACCGGAAGAGCGGAGGAGGGGCCTGCTGTACGACGGTTGAAGATGATCCTCAAGCACATGCAGCAATGACCCGGCTTGCCGAGAACTTGGCTATCGTATCATAATGGTCCCTACGGTCGGAACGAATCGGTTTCCCTTGATAGGATACATATATACTTCCCCTTTATGTACACTGGCCCCGAAAATTTACTGCAGCCGATGGAACAGCCATTTGCTGTTATCATGCTGAGAATATTTCGAAACTATGATGACCTGATTTGTCTAAGAACAATTGGAATAAATTGTATCTTACATACTGGAAAAATAACATAAAGGACGCGAAGCCGTAGTCCTGAAACCATCATCACCATGGGCATGCTCAACAGGAAATCAACAAAAATGGGTATGTGTCAAAATGGCTGCATGGTTGTTTTCTCTTCCCAACCGATATATCTTCGTTCTATGTCATGTTTTTACAGCTCGAGGCTAGGGGTCTGACCCTTGACACGGCCGATGACAATATGGGCAGCGTACTTGGGGATGACCTCGTCGTCATGGAGCATCGCAAATTCTGGAGTTTGGTTAGAATGGTTCAACATCATCGGCTAAGAAGCAGTACATACCTTCTGTGGCATCACGGCCCATGAAGTTGAAGAGGGCGTTAGCTCCACCCGGGTGCTCGTCCAGCCAGTTGGTCACATCCAGCACGACACCCTTGACTACAATCCATAGGTCTTCCTTCTTGTTGTGCTTGGCGACCTCCTCCATTGAGTATTCCTTTTCAGGGATCGAGAACTTGGCGGGCTCCTTCGGCTTGGCCGTCTCAGCGGCACCTGCAGGGGTTGCGGCCGATTTGGCGGGCTGGGCCGAGGCAGCGGGAGTTCCGGCACCTGCGGCGACCTGACCACCACCGCTTCCGGCCCATTCAACAGAGAACTTACCCGGAGTGGCCGGGTCGATGTGCAGGGAAATCTGGCCCAGTCGCTGTGCGGCAGTGGAGGCACCGCCAGAGAGCAGCTTCTGGAAGAGGTACTGGCTAGCACGGTCACCCGCGACCCGGCCATACACAACACAGCCTAGCAGGGAAGAGCCGCCCAGACGGTTGGCACCGTGCACACCTCCAGCAAGCTCACCGCAAGCGTAGAGACCATCGAATGGCTGCTGCTCCGAGTTGAGAACCTCGGCGTGCTCGTTGATCTCAATACCACCCATGGTGAAGTGCAGAACAGGCTCCATCAGAGCCACGTGGAAGGTGTCGTCGATGCTGAAAGGCAGGTTGTGGAAGAAACGCTTGTTCCAGGGGTCCTTCTTCTTGCCGTCGGCAATGAGGTTGTAATCGTCGAACGTCTTCTGGAGGGCTGCTTCGCCGCAACCAATTTCCTTGGCCAGCTCCTTGCCTGTCATCTTCTTCATCAGACCACGGCCAGAGTAGTGGCGAGTGTGGAAGTCGAGGACGTTGGACGCCTTGCTGTTAAGCACGAGGCGGATGGGCCACTTGCCCTTCTCCTTCTCCTTCCACATCTGTCCCGAGACGTAGTCACGGTGGCCCAGCTCATCCGAGAACCGCTGGCCGTCTGAGTTGAGGAGCAGACCACCCTCACCACGCAGGGCTTCAGCAGCCAGGAACTTGAATTTGGCGGTCGGGTCCTTGGGATCCACGAGACCCGTGGGGTGGACCTGGACCTTGTCCATGTCGATACCGTTGGCACCAATTTCCATCAGCATCTTCTGGCCATCACCGGTGGCGTGGGTGCCGTTGGTGCTGGACAGACCGAAGGTGTCGGGGCGGTGCTGCTTCAGAAGGGAGCCGTCACCGAAGTCAGCGGCGTAGCCACCAGTGGCCAGAACGACAACACCCTCCGCGGTATGGGTCTCGCCATTGTACTCGTAAGTCACACCAGTCACATTGTTTCCAGACTTGTTGATGGAGGTCACGCGAGCCTTCTTGAGGATCTGGACACGGTCGGGCTCAGCATCAGTAAGCTCTTCTAACCGTTGCATGAGGGCGTATGTGATGGCCATGCCGGGGAACTTGGCATCGTGACCACGATGCGTACGGGGCTGGGAGTGACCGCTGGTCGAATTAGTACGAATTGCCAGAGTCATCATGACACGAAGAACGAGAAACTCACCCGAGCCGGGAAACAAGGGTGAGGTCGAGGTTGAAAACATCCTGCAACCACTCGACAGCAGCAGCGGACTTGTATGTGAGGACCTTGATCAGATCGGGACGCGCCTTATCTCTGGCGGATTTGAGGGTATCATCGTAGAAAGTCTTGACGCTGTCGGCGATGCCCAGGTCGACCTGGGTGCGCGTCAGGGCGCCGTTAATACCGGACGTAGCCTTGGTGGAGTTGCCACCGAAGAAGGCTGCGTTTGTCAGTTTCTGGGGTATTCCGATAAAGAACAATGATGCGACTGTAAATTGGCAAAACAGCGAGATCCAACATACCCTGCTTGTCTAGAACAAGGACATTTCCACCGTTGAGGTAGACGGTGTGGGCGGCACTAAGCCCGGACACTGAGAAACGAGGCAATGGTCAGCAATGCGGGGAAAGCTGTTTCCTTGCGGTGAAGAACCACTCACGTCCACCGCCGACAACGATCACTCTAGGGGCGGCTGCCATCGTGGAGGCGGGATAGAGAATAAAAGGGGAGTCAAGAGAGATGGCGAGAAGATGGAAAAGAAATCAGACACAGAAATAGAGAAGGAGGGAGAGAGTTAAAAGCAGGCAGGGAAGATAGATCTTTAAGCAGCAGACGATCCGGGGGAGAAAGCGTTCAGAAGCCGACGGGGGAGAGAGTCGCTCACTCGGCCGAGGCTCATCATCCCCCTTCCAAGTTCAAACCATCTGGTATGTATGTACCGTACGATTACCGTTCGCTGACCCGGTCCGACCTGGGTCCGGTATGACGGTTTCTTTTCGTTTTTCACATTTTCCAGATGTTGTCTTTGTCGGTGGATTCGATGGGTCTGGTCTGGTCTGTGCTGGATGGGCTGGAGTTATTCTGAGGTTGTGGTACTAACTACATAGTACGAGATTCTACCCTAGACACACCCCCATCCCTCCTCAACTACAGAGATAGAATACTCCATCAAAACCAGGGGACCATCACATGCAGAGCGTCATCAGAGCAATCAAGTCCAGCCTGGCTCTCTTCTCCCATGACATGGACGACCGGACGGCCCTTTCACATGCCCGCCCACCAGCAAATGACATCGCAGGCTTAAGTCAGCCGGCACGTCATGCTCGGCCCTGTAAACTCTCCCCCGGATTCGAATCGTCTGAATTTTGGGCGTATCGATGCTTGTGCTCCATCGTAATCCTTGGATACTGTGCCTATGCAGTGGATTCTTCAGACAGTTGTAAGAAGATTACACCCATTGTGTATAGATTTCAAAGATAGAGGGATGTCGACAATACTAGCACCCCAAGTTCTTAAAAACCAACAACAACAACAACAACAGCAAGAAACCATACCGGGACCCCGGTCGCGTAATGCCACCACAGTAACCTAACCTTACCTTACCCCATACAAACCACAAAGAAAGCAGATGCCAAGGGTGGACATAGACCTGGGGAATGTCCACCACAACTTACCTCGGACCGAAATCCATCATACAACCTACCCAGCCAACCCGCATTGGATTCAATTAACCCACGCCGCCCGCTACCTAATTAATCACAGTCTCCTTAACTACATCTCTCACGGATATTAATTACCTACATTTATCAATATTTATCCCTAATTCTCCTAAAATATGTAGATACATATGCAGAACCGAGTGATCACCTGACCCGGCAACTGAACGCCCCGCAATCCACCAATCAACTTCAAGATGATGAATTCCGAAATGCACCAATGACGTAGGCTTATCGTTAAATGAAATTACTCTTTTGGGGAAGGGCTATTGCCGTCACTCACTGCTTCTCAAACAACTCTCTCAAGGTTGTACTTGGGGGATGTATTTTATGTGCGCGCAACTAAAATTTATTAGTCAATGGGTATTTATCTATTCTTAGTGTGGATTTTCGTTAAGCAAGGTGTGTCTATACCGGTCAGTACATGTTGAGTATTGATGGAGATGGGGATGGAGAAGGGGACAGACAGCTCTCGGGAGGAGATAGCCCGGGGGATTACGCCGTACTTGACTTGACTTGACCGAACCGGTGTATGGAGTTGAGCTTACCTTTCAAGTAGCTGTGTGGTGTGTTCGGGGTTGCGTGTGGGTTTGCCGATGGTTAGGCTTGGTTGGAGTGTTTTGGGGGTAAACTTGTAAGTTGGTCCTGGAGTATGGGGTATGGGGTCTGAAGAATAGTTGGAAAATAATGAGATGATTGTCTTGATCAAGCTAGTGTGTACCTATGTCTAACTACTCATCATTCAAGGTTGAAAAGAAAGATAGCAGCACCGAGAACTTGAAGATCGGCATTGATCGAGGTTCAGTCAGGGACTTCTGCAGCAATTCCTTCATGTGCATCATCCATGTCCTCCATCCTCGCCTTAAAATGAGCTTTCAAACGGTCCACTGCCAACTGTGCCAGCCCTCCGACAGTGCGCGACTTGGCAATGTCAGGCACACTGACTTCGAGTCCCAGATTGCGCCGTACCCAGCTCTTGATCTCGATGGAGGCAAGAGAGTCAATCACAATAGCCAATTTCTGTTCGTCGTCAATGTCTTCAGATCCAGTCAGATACATGCAAATCACGCGAACCGTCTCCTTAATAATCAGATTCCTGGCCTCCTCGGTGAACACAATAGAGGGTTCCCTTTCTGCCCGAAGGACTAGATCCCTTAGCAAGTTGCTACTTGCGTCGTCAGACTGCTGCTCTGAACTGGATTCGATGCTTGTGTAGGATGCAAATCGAGCGTCGCGATCATACCACATGGGTCGCACGGTCGGGTCGGAAAGCGGTCTTGTGTGTCCAAGTCCGACTATTATGGGGGTTGAAGTCTGGATCCCGGGCCTCGTTGGGCTGGGTGCATGAGACTGTAGGATACACATCTCCAGCCCCTTCAACACCTCATCCTCTTTTAGAAGCCATGCTCCAAGGCTCTTAATTGATTGTAGAAGCCGTGGCTGTCGACTGATTAGGCCAATCTCTCCAACAGCCCCAAGTGTCAGGACCGAGGATGGCAGGCTGAGTTGTCGACGATAGTGTGAGAATGCATCAAGAAAGGTGTTGGCTGCTGCGTAGTTGACCTGAGTCAAATTTCCGCAGAGCCCAACCACGGAGCCGAACAGAACAAAGAAATCCAAGTCTTCTTTTGTGACTGCTATGTGCAGGTTCCACGTGCCCTGGACCTTGGGGGCCATCGACGCCTGCCAATCCTCGTAGCTCATTTCAGCAAAGGGACTATCCTGTTGATCCCAAACCATCAGCATACCCGACACCTTGCAATCACTATAGTAATCTCTTACCCTCAAGCACAATGACATCTGCAGAACTCCTTTCAAAGGCTCTTTGCACTTTGAAACGGCACGCTGCACATCCTCCAAGTTTGCCACGTTGCCCTTGACACACTGCACATGGCACCCTGCCATCTCGAGCTCAAATATGAACTCCCTATCCTCCTGTCGTGCTCCTGCATCGCGAGAAAGATAAACTAGATGGCGTGCTCCTCTTTCTACCATCCATGTGGATACTGCACGCCCCAAACCTCCGAGACCGCCAACCAGAAGATAGGATGCTTGTAGCGGGAATGACGCACACCTATCTATCATTGGGCTCGGTAGCTGGTAAGAGTCATGAGGCATCCTTATAACTATCTTTCCCATATGGGTGCCTTGCTGCATATACCGAAATGCGTCCGCCACGTCACAGGCTTCAAATACTGTGACGGGGCGAATGGGCAGGATCTTACCCTCTTCGTACCATGATATAATCTGAGTAATCTCTCTGGATCGAGTCTTAGCTGGCAAAGCATCTAACTTAGCTGTCGGCGGGAATACTGACCGGTGGAGCGTCTCTGGATCTGCTTCTGCTACCCCAAGCAGGTCGACACCAAAAAAGGCACGATTGTTAAGGAATGGCTTCAGGCTCAGTGCGCCGTTGAGGATAAAATCCCGCTTGCCTAGTTCAATCATCTTTCCGAATGGGGCGACACATTCCCAAGAAGCATGCAGCAAATTTCCAGCCAGAGAGTTCAGAACGATTTCCACCCCACGCCCGCCTGTCGCTTCCATCAAAGACTGGAGAAAACTTGCGCTCCTAGAATCAAAGATGTGATCGGGGGGGATGTCGAATTCATGGATGAGGTGGTCTCTCTTGGTTTGGTTCCCTACTGTTGCAAAGATCTGTTCGCAATGGTTAACAAAGTACCACCAGGAGCAAAGAGTTCCCTTTCGCATACTTCTGCACCAAGTAGCGTGCAGACTTGAATGGCGGCCATCCCGAATCCGCCACATGCAGAATGAACAAGGACAGTCTACGTGCGGTGATCAGTCAAGTCAACTGTATCGGCTGAGTTCAAACGAGACGTACCTGGCCCTTCTTGATCTGCCCGACATAGACCAAACAATACATTGCCGTCATATACACAAGCGCCATGTTTGCTGCATCCTCCAAGGAAAGCCCTTTATCTAGCTTTCTACAGCGCTGCCGATCAACGACCAACCGAGTACCAAAAATTCCCGGGCCCAAGACCAACACCCGATCCCCGACTACGAGGTCGGTGACATGATTCCCAACTCGCCGAAGCGTTCCACTTCCTTCCACGCCCAGCTGATCTGCGTCGCCAAAGAAGCCCATCGCTACTAGAACATCCTATATCAAGAGTTAGTCATTAGGTGGCGTTGTTGCAAACCGAGAAATACCGACCCTGAAATTCAAACCAATATAGTGGATGTCAACCTCAACATCATCATCACCTAGGCCCTGTTCGCGACATTCTAGCCATCTTAGACTGTCAAGTAGACCACTCTTGCGAAAGTGCAGTCTCTTAGGAAGCTCTAACTTTGGTTCTGATACTATGGTTCCATTCTCTAGTCCCCAATAACACCGAGCGGTGTGGATGATGCCATCGCATAAGGCAAACTCGTAATCCAGGGATTGATTTGATGCCTCTCTGGATTGACTGATCTTTCCGAGTACAGTTCCAAGGGCGTCTGCTGCACCCAGATCAAATGATTCGACTTCGAGTAGGCAGAAATCGATCATCAAATCGTGCCTGGTAGACCGCACGAATCCTGGTGCCAGGCCAAATTTCGGGTTCTGACAAAGGACTTGCGTGCTCTGGGTAACCCACAGTACAAGGCATCGACTAGCCTGTACCAGATAGTCTCTCAGGGCATTATATCTTTCTTCAGCCAACCCATAGAGAAACGAGCTCTCTTGGTCCAGTAAACAGATAATGTACCCTGTCTCACTAGGCGGATCATCTAAGGTTGTCCATCCCACCGTATGCCCTAAGTCTGTGAGTCTAGAATAAACAATATTCGCCCAGGTGCTCAGGGACCTGGTATCAGGTACCAACAACGAAACCGTTGACCTTATATTTGGACCGGTAACAGGACTTGTAATCATGGTGGCAGAAGATCGGTAGGGTGCATCGAAGTCATGGCATACTGCCTCAGTCCCCGTAAAGCCAGCAGTCTGTAGCTCCTGGTGCCATCTCTCCGGGCTAATGTAAGGCTTGTTTATACGTCCGTCCTGTTCACCCACCCACCATCCAGGCAATGTTCCCTGTTGTATGATGAGCTCAAATGTCCGTGTTGGTATCGAACAGTCATAATTCTGGGGACTTACCATAATGTAGTCAGTGCATATCATGTCTATCAACCAGTATTTAGATGTTTAGTTTAAAGGCAGCGAAGAACTACCAGGTTCATACCTGAGTGCAACTCATGGAGAAGAAAACGTCCATCCGGGGCGAGCAGCTTCCGGACGTTCTCAAGAGAATGCTTTAATATCGGGGTTGCATGGAGAACCTGGATGATAGGTTAGCGATTATAGGAATCACTCTCAGGTATGCCTAACGTTCGATGCGATGACAAGATCAAACTCGTTAGCTGCGAAGCCTTGCTCGAGCGGATCACGGCAGATATCGAGGACCTTGTATTCTAATTTTCGGTAACGTTCAAACTTACTGCGGGCTGCCGCGAGGAAGCTGGGGGCTATATCAGTAAAGACATATCGGGCATACATAGGTATCCATGACACGCATAATGATTGTAGTGCAGCTGCTGTGGCAGCTCCGGTGCCCCCTCCAATTTCGAGGATGCGTAGTCCTGGCTTTGAGTGACGCAGCAGAGTCAGAAAGACATCCCAGTTTGCATATCTTTGGCCGTAAGCGTAGTAACGCCCCAGCCGATTGTCATCCAGTAGGAGGTCCAGTGCAGAAACCTCGTCAGAGATGATTCCTTGGCAGTTCGCATGGATCTGATCCATACATACAGCTGGAATCGTGCCGTCGGGGCTCTCTTCATTGGCTAGGCCAATGCTCAAGGTTTCAATAATAGCCTCCTTTTCTGCATTTGACATCCCCGCCCACTTCTCACAGTTGGAATCTAACATCTGGCTGTCGCACAGAATCCTGTCTGCTTCTGCCAAAATCCAACTTCTCCATTTGGTTAGATGTGGACTTTTCGGGTGTATACCCTTGATTTTGTCGGCCGTTTGTAGTATATAGAGGAGCGATAACTTTTTCACTGTGTCTAGGTATTCGACCTGGGCCGCGGACAACTCAGTGTGTGGCAGTAGCGATTGGGGATGCTGGAAGTCAATGTCGGGCCTCCACTGCATCTGGGAAAATAGTGGGATGGACTCGGCTTTCCCCTGTTCACCCCTTGAGAAGAGAATCCCACGCGTCATGGAAAGTACTACTTTTCCATCGAGCACAGCAGTTGCATCTCCTGTCAGGTAGTTGGCGGATTCCTGTTTGACAGATATACCAACCTCCATATGGTGGCCACCCCTCCTAATGGACATTCGTTCGACCGAGGCAGGGATTGCATTCTTGACTATGCGGCGAGAAATGCCTGCTGCACCTGCAACCGTCATGAGCTGGAGACATTGGTCAATCATAGCCGGATGAATCAGGTAAGGACTCTCGTTATGCTCTACTGTATTCACGCTGGCCGAGGCTTTTCCGCCCAAGGGGTCGGCAGAGATATTTTGTAGACCACTAAACTGCGTCCCATAAGAAAGGCCACGATCAAACAGAGCACTGTAAAACGTCTCGGAGGATAGGCGACGCGCATAGCCCTCTACTTGCACATGGCTACCTTGATCATTAGCTCCTGCTCGAACGTGACCGCTGCAGTTCTCGATCCAGTCCTTGCTGTTGTAACTTGATATGGAAAATGCAAACCACTCTGAATTCATTAAGTCGTTTACCTTATTTGGCCGTAGAGACGTAATAATTTCCATAGAACTAGAGTCACCTATGACTAGGGGGCTCTTGAATAAAACGTCCTTGACTGTATATCCCTCAGTCTCCGAGGTGAGTTGTTGAATTGATTCACCTGCCATAGTGATATACCCAGCTGCAGGGAACACTACTTGACCTCGAAGTACATGCCCAGACAGCCAGGGGACGCTTTCCAAGCTCAGTATGTTCCTCCACGAAGGCTCCAGATCTGTAGACTCGGGACAACGTGAACCGAGCAATTCATGAGAGGGCGTTCCATTCAATCTCCACTCCCTTACTAGTCGGCTTTCGTTCCAGTATCGCACTCCATGCTGCCATGGGTACGGCGGGAGATCTGTCAAAGGGCGGCCTTTGCCATTCACTGAGATTAAATCCACAAAGGCTCCATTGATATGAATCAAGCCTAGCGCGGATAAGAGCTGTGCCTCAGAACTAGTGTCGTAGCGAACAAGCGTAGGTATGTAAAACGGACTTTGCTTCAGCCCTTGGCACTTGAAGATCTGCTTTAAAGGCCCCGATAGCGCAGAATGCGGGCCAACCTCAATGAAAACGTGGTGTTTGTCATTAGCTAGCAGGTTGCTCACTGCATCTGCGAAGAGAACAGGGGACTCGAGGTTGCGTCTCCAGTAGGCAGCATCAAGTTCCTGAGGATCTAGGATCATTTCCGCAGTGACACTTGACAGCATCGGCAACATTTGAGGGTTGTTTTGTAAGTGTCTGGAGATAGAGGCCTCATAAAGAGGCCCCACAGACTTCATATAATCTATCTTAGTGTTAGAATCAATCCGTTACAATGTGATTCAATAGCCACTCACGGGAATGATAAGCAACTCCTAATCCCAGTCTCTTGCAAAAGGTATCAGGAAGTTCATCCCTGATCATCTTCACTATCAGGTCAATCTTGCTCGTCTCCCCCGAAAGAGTAACGCTCGTTGGGCTATTTTTGCAGGCGATTACCACTCCATCAATGAGATACGGAGCTACATCGTCACTGGAGAGGCCAACACTTGCCATCTCGCCCAGCCCTGTTTGAGATTTGGCAAGCTTACCGCGATAGTAAGCGAGTATGATGGCCGAACTTTCCGAGAGAGCACCTGCTGCGTAAGCTGCTGCGATTTCACCACTGGAATGTCCAACTACAGCTTCCGGTTTGACTCCCCAGGATGCAAGGAGATTGACAAGCCCAACCTGCACTGCAGTGCAAAGTGGCTGACAGAATTCCGCCTCGTTAACGCGCGACTCGGATGTGCGGATAAGTTCCTCTTCCAATGAAAGTTAGCGATCTGTTCATGTTTACCGTTGTAAAAGGAATTCACCTTGAAGAGACCATGTTGGTGGGTCTTCAACCATTTTGAGGCTCTCCTCGAGCCTCATAATATCTGCCCGAAAGCTGTCATATGTTTCCAGGAGTCCCTTTCCCATGCCTGCCCACTGGGACCCTTGCCCAGTAAATACGAATGAAAGCTGAGGCAGGGATTGAGCATGAGATTTCTGGAACATTGAGTTGTCGATCGGAGTCTTCGAAGAAGCCACACACACTGCGCGGTGTGGCAAATGCTCCCTTCTTACCCCGAGGGTAAAGGCAAGATCATGAAGTTTATCAGGGTTGTTATTTGCATAGTCACTTACCTGCTGAATACGGGTCTGCAAACTCCTTGGGTCGCGCGCCGATACAACAAGTAGCTTGTTGCCTTCTAATGGGCTGAAGAACTGCGGGCCATGATGACTGAGAGAGAATTCCGACGTAGAGTCCAATATGACATGAGCATTCGCGCCACCTACGCCAAACCCATTTATACTGACCCTTAGTCGTCGATCAGCGGGCCAATCCATGGGTTCTAGAGGCACCGTTAAGCCGGATTCAAGAATCCGTGGGTTCAAGGACTCAACGTGTGCATTCGGAGGAATAGTCGAGCGCTCAAGTGACAAAATAGCTTTGATAAGACTGGTGATACCTGACGCACCCTCCGAATGACCAAAATTGGGTTTTACCTGGTTGGTTCAGCGACTGAGCTTCTCATGTGCTGAGTGTTGCTTACCGCGCCAATAACCACCCCCTTGGGTTTGAAGCAGTTTGCAACTGCTGTTGTCTCGACTGCATCACCTGCAATTGTTGCAGTACCATGGCATTCCACGAAGGCCGTCTCAGAGGGATCGTCAATTCCAGCCCGCTGGTATGCGCTCTTAATTAGACTCTCTTGTGAGCGGACCGACGGAGCAGTTATGTTTGCCGTTTTCCCATCGAAGTTCACGGCAGTTGATCGAATGACTGCCCTGATCGGGTCATTTGCCTGTACCGCCTTATCAAGGCGCTTGAGGTACACGACGTTGATCGCTTCACCTCGTCCATAGCCATCAGCATTCGCATCGAAAGTTCGGCAAATCCCACTAGGGGAAAGTACCGTGTTGTCGGACAGACTCGCTGTCATTGTTGGGGTGAAGATAAGATTACTGCCAGCAACAATAGCAGACGAACAAGTTCCGGCAGCCAACGATTGGCATGCTTCATGAACTGCAACCAGGGAGGATGAGCAAGCTGTTTGGATTGTCATACTGCAGACGATGTTAGGCTATCGCCATTACCCCCAAGTGTGCCCTCCATAGTAAAGCGTCATCACATACCTTGGGCCCCGGAAGTCATACTTATAGGAGATGGAGTTCGCCAGTGCATAATCTCCGGTGCCGAGAGCATGGAATCGGTTGACAGTCTGTGGATCCCGATGGGCAAGACCCAGCCAGTCTTCTCCGAAAACCCCAACAAAGCAACCGATGTCCCTTCCTTCCCAGTTGGTCTCCCCTGCACTTTCAAGACATTCCCAAACCAACTCTAGCAAAAGCCGCTGCTGCGGGTCCATGTTGGCTGCTTCGTGGTCACGCGCCGAGAAAAACTGCGCGTCGAAGCAGGCCGGATCATCTTTCAGGAAATATCCATACTTGGTTCTCGTACAGTGTTCCTTTGTCGGATGATAAAATGCATCTGCATTGTATCTGTTCTTCGGCACCTCACAGTGACCGTCTCCTTTTCTGATCAAACAATTCCAAAACTGATCCTCTGTGCGAATCCCTCCAGGAAGTCTCATCGCCATACCCACCACGGCAATTGGAATGAAGGATCCGGGCAATGTTTCGATGGGAAGTTTGGATGTTAGGCCATCCCTTAAACCCATATCTGGAGCGTTCTCCCGATGGGGAGCATTTGAGTAACTTCCCTCTGGGGTTCGTGATCTTGACCTCGAACTTTCAGTTGCTATCTGTAGACCGATGTCTTCGACTTCCTTGTCTGGCTTCGGTGCTTGCATACTTGCTGCGAGTATAATGAAACTATGAATCAATGGTCAAGGAATGATGGATGCTTGGTCATACAGGTTGATCGCTCATAGGTATTGTGAAGGTACCTATCTGCTCAGATATCGCTTTTACCTGAGTCTAGGGATTGTATCACATCAACCTCGTTATGGCGCACAGCGCTTCATGCTAACTTTGGCAAAGCGTAATGCACGGGAACGGACACCCGATATTATGCATCCATCTGCCGACAAAGTTACATTGCGAGATGCTGTGTGACCTTACTTTGCGACAATAGAAAGAAATGATCGACCAAAGGTATATTCACAGTGGAGACATACTAAGCCGTTCAGGGAGAAGACACGCAGAGCCGGAAAGGAAGGTACCGAGCCGGATTGAACGCAACTTAGAACTCACCATCACAAGTGGCACAAGGCTGTACACTCCCGATATAGGCCGGTATATGTTCAGGCAGAATCGTGGATATTCGCAAACTGGGAATAGCTCTGAAGACATGCTGTCTCCATAGAAATATGCTATCCTGTAACCGCAATGTTATCTGTCGGTCATATTATTACATACGGGCAAGATCCTACCCACAGAAACTCGATAGTCTCAATGGACGGCAATGATCAGAATTGTGGACGTCTCCAAGCGCCTTCCCGATGGCGCTGGTAAGGAAAGGATCGAGTCTCCCGAACAAGGTCATATCAGTGGGGCAACTGCGCAAAGGTCCATCCAATTATCCTTATTATGGTTCAGTTGGTGTGTACTAGAAGAGCTTGATCATCCTTGGTTAAACAGGTGAATAGCCATTGAAATGAGTTCAATGGTTGCAGTATCTCACAAACCCAAATATCTGTACTTGAGAGTCCAATTTTCGACAAAGGGTGATTGCAACTTCGCATACTATCATCTAGTAAGGTGGCATCCTGACCATCATCTCACATAGTTAGTCTTTTCGACCTCTCACAAAGCTTTGGCAACCCACGGATACTTGAGCACGGTCCTAGAGCCATTGCCGACGGTTGTACCCGGTGGTGACATTAAGGGTCGACCCTGTGACACCTCTAAGATAAAGTGAGCTCGGCTGAGGAACTGAGGATTTGCACGTTCCCATGCTGCCAACACATCTTCAATTTGCTTCATGCCTGACTGGCCAATTTGCTCTGCATTTGGACGTCGACTCCATAACATATCAATAAATTAGACAGTCCTTGTGTGGATTTCAAGTAGATATAGATGTTAAAAAGCCCTGTGAGCTGCTCGTTGTCGTGGCTTTAATGGGCCAACAAGGACAGGTTGTAAACAGATGGAAATTCCCTTGGATTAGTGTAACCAGTGCCTGTCACGAGGCGGTTGGCTATGTGATGCCTTGATGCCCGAGGCAAGAAAACTTTTGGATTCACAAAGCAAGTTTCTTGGCTGGAAGGCAGGACTGAATCCCGAGACCCGGTAATTGGTAACTAACGGGATTCAACCAGTGACCTCAGTAAAAATACGAGATATTAGAGTATTACACAACTACAACTCATGATGCCTATAAACCATTGACTAAAGACCTCACCATATGACCTACCTTTGGCCTCTATGCTCGATGAGCATGGTCGTTCAGACTCCTTTCTCACTTATATAATGCAGTCCTTGCCCTACTCTAGATTGACGACCTCTCATCTCATCACTGCTCAACCCCCACCATAGAATCTCGTAGAGGTAGTGTTTGATCGGGGGTTAAGGCGGGAAGGGAGGGAGGTGCGTTCTGATTCTATGGTTAGGCGGATCATGAAGAGTTTAAAGCAGGGACGGTGTTTGCGGCTGTGAGTGCGGAGTGGGAGGGTCGGGATGGGAGGTATTTGGAGGATTCTGTAGAGGCTGAATTGGCTATTATGTCGGATGTGCCGGGTGTGAAGGAGTATGCTTATGATTGGGGTAAAGAAGGTAGGTTGTGGGAGCTTACGATGCGGATTTTGGGGCTTGGTGAGGGGGGGATATGGGGAAGATGGAAGATATTGATTCAAGCAGGGCGTTTTCTTGGTATTGTAATGGAGTCAAAAAGCTGCTTTGTACTAGTATAGTTGAATATCGTCTAATATCTAATTGCAGTACACTAGTCCCACGAATAAATGGTTCACTCTCATAACTTCATGTAACCCTCTTTGAAAGAGATGATCTTTATCTTCCTCCTGATCCAGAGCCGGCTCTGCGGAGGCTTTCCATTCGGAAATAGCCTGCAAGATCAATCCATCCATGTCACACTCTTAGTGACTAGGAACTCTTCCAATCCATGGGATGAGTTAAAACGACCCCATCCGCTATTCTTGACACCTCCATGCGGCAAGGCAGGTTCATCGTGAACAGTCAGACTATTGATGTGAACAGCGCTGCAAAAATTACGATTAGCCTCGTTTCTCAAAAAGGCATTATCTTTTATGGAGAAGAATGCCTTACCCCGACTGGATTTTTCGTGCCATCGCCAATCCCTTTCGCAGATCTTCGGTAAATACGGCTGCGACCAAGCCATAACCACTACCGTTTGCAAGCCGGATGGCCTCTTCATCGCTGTCAACGACCATACATGCTGCTAGCGAGGCGAAAGCCTCTTCTTGCCAAGCGCTCATGTTTTCAGTGACTCCACCCAAAAGCACAGGCCCCATTCGAACACCATTGCCTGCTTCAGCGGAATCCTGATCCACTGAACCGTGGATTAAGTGGGCGCCGCCTGCTAGTGCATCCTTAACAATGCTGGAGACCCGTGATTTTGAGCGCATATTGACCAATGTTGGAGGCTGTGATGAAGGATCGACATTGGAGTTGAGTGCTTTCTTGAGTGCATCAATGAAAACAGGTGCAATGGCGGAGTGAACAAGAATGCGATCTGTAGACATGCAAATCTGACCTGACTGTAGAACATTAGTTATTAAGCAAGGAAGTAAGTATGGCAAAAGCGCGTAAACAAGCCACGTACGTTCAGATATGCGCCCGCCAGCACTCCTTTCACAGCAGTCTCAATATTAGCATCCGCGCAGACAATGGCGCTATTCTTGCCTCCCAATTCCATCAAGCACGGCTTCAGATTTTGTCCACAAGCTCCAGCAATCTTCCTGCCTACAGCTGTGCTGCCCGTGAAGTTGATTTTGCGCACAGCCGGGTGTTCAATCATGGCATTCACCACGTCAGGGGCATCTTTGGGTGCACAAGACACCAGGTTGAGACAACCCGCTGGTAGCTCTGCATCTTCAAAGGCACGCGCAAGCGCCCAGTACGAGCAGGGTGAGAGTTCTGAGGACTTAAGGATTGTCGTGTTTCCAGTTGCAAGCGCGCAGGCAGCAGAGCGGACTCCGAACACGTATGGAGCGTTCCTACTCGGTCAGTCGAGTATTCACATGCTCAACAACAAGGGACATACCAGGGTACGATCCCGAGAATTACCCCCATGGACTCCTTGTAAATCATGGCACTTTGTCCCTCTTCGTCGACGACGGGGACACTACCGCAAATGGAAGTGATGCGCCCCGCGATATCCCTCAACATGCGAATCCCGAGTGGAGCGATAAAATGCAGCGACGCACCCACATCGGCGCCCATTTCCGTCCGCATATATTCCGAATTCTGTTCGAGACGACTGTCCAAAATATCGGCGGCCTTCAGCAGGATGTCTCGGCGAACAGTAGGTTTGGTTTGCGACCAAGAGGGGAAAGCTGCCTCCGCCGCCTCGACTGCGCGGATTGCATCCTGGGGTGATGCTGAGGCTGTTGTCCAGCAAACTTGGTTGGTATATGGGCTGATCACATCAAAAGTAGACTTGGTGTATTCCTCCTTGCCGTTGATGATCAAGGGTATTACCGAGGGGCGGGCTGGTGTTGCCATTGTAGGTGTAGATGGGCACGGGGGAACACAGGGAGAAACAGTTCTCAGGTGAAGTAAACCCCCAAGGCAGGAGGAGGGGGATCTCGCCAGGGGAGATTCATTGGAATTAATAGGGAGTACGTAACCTGAGTGACAGTATACAAACTATACAAACTAAGAAACGTCCCCACCCCGCCAGCTCGGCGGGGAATGGCGGGTCTTTTTCAGTGAAAGAAGCAACGCACATTGCAGTGCGGAATGGTCGGAATGCCTGAATCAAGACCAGAACATTGGTCTCAAAGTCGAGCCATCATTCTATGATAAACTGAAACTCGTTGCATCGAGTGTACCGCTAGGTCAGTGACGAAGGGTGGCGCAAACTTAGACAGCCAACGATAAGAGGGTTGTTTTTCGGGTGCCTCGGGAACATCCTGATAGTCTACCACACCAAAAGCAGTCACCTATCAAACGAACAGCTGCATTGAATCAATTTGAGTTACTTGAAGGCTGCGCAAATTGTGCATGTATGCATACTGCTGGATTAGGCTGCTCACCACCGAACCTCAAGATGCTCCTATCGATCAGGGAAGCGAACCATGGCTCGGCTACGGAGTCCTGTGGCATGGAAAACAGTATATGGTGGTACTGTGTAGATAGGTAGTGCAGACCATCAAGACGATGTATCCACTCAGTGTGGTGGAGCAGCTGAAGCACCACGGCCGATTATGAGAGAAAAATCTCTTGATTGATTGTGCAAATAAGCATTTCCCTGATTTTCTGACACAACTGTTATGGCCTGAGGGATCTGAAACCAAGGATCTCCTGATTGAAGGGCCGAAGGGGCACACAGATCATGGCTCGCGTCTGGATGTTGGGGTTACCCTCAACCCCATTCTATACACATCCCGGTCTTGCCCGGCCATTGCTTAATCCACGTTTGAGAAAAGACACATGGGATTGTGCGTGTGTATAGATGGGCTCGTGATTGTTGATGGGAGTGATGCTGTTTGGCGAATTCCATCTACCCACCGTCGCTGCCCCTGCTTCTCGGCAATTCACTCTGCAGTCCCAGAAGCTCTACTCCGTAAGCATGTCTGGTTCAAGTGACATGGGGGCCAGTAAATCTGATATTCGAGAAATTCAAGTCTCTTGGGCCGGGGAGATCCTAAGGGGTCGAGGATCAGTGGGAAGAAAAGTGAAACAGGCTGCACTTACCCTCGTGAATCATGTATACTTGCCGCAACTGACACAATCAGGCCCATAGTTCTAGAACTGTGCATTCCGAGATTCGATTATGCGTGAAATAAACAGACCGCAGGATGAGTCGAAGCCAATATCCTCATTGGTACTCTGCCAGGGCTGATAATCCTGGTTCTCTAAGGTTGAAGCGCAACGGCAATCACCAGTCTGCCACCAAGAGGGTCTTCATCGCGAGTCAGTCAATATCAAATGCTGGCAGCAGGGCTGCTCTGTTCTTGCTATTCTTGTGTCAGTCAGCTCCACATGCTGCTTCATATAGCACGAAGACTAAGGACGTGCTTAGGGTGAGAGATAGAGTATTCACACCCTCGGATTACTTGGTACATATTGAATGAGCCTTTGCTTACATTTCATTTTCTCCCAGCATATTCCTCTTCCCCCAGCTACATAGCTCACGCCCGATGTGTATCTGGGGTTTACCTTGTCTTAATCCATCAACCTCCTTGTCATCTTTATTTGAACTATCACGATATCTGGTTCTTTGCCCTTACAGATGGACTGCAACCCTTGTATGTAGTCTGTCATGAGGGTGTGACCATCACTAATTACTCACCACCACTGCCCAGTCGATTATTCCTATTCTCTTGTAACTCTTCTTGAAGCGCCTTCAGTAATACAAACCCTCCACATGGCTCTCACGTCGAGAGGAGCTCAAATGATATCGATCGTTTCAGTACTGGTCGGCCTCTCATTACTATCTGTCATTCTCCGCGTCGTCGCTCGAATCAAACGCAAAGTAAAGTTTGGAATGGACGACTACCTCTGCTTTGCATGCATGTTTCTACTATTCGTCATGCTGATCGAGCTATCCCTCTGTGAGCTTCTCTCAAATCCAACCTGTCTCCCCAACCCACCCCACTAACCATAACCCCAGGGGCCACAATTGGTGGCAGCTACGGATTCGACCGAAAATTCCTGAGCAAAGAGAAAATGATAAACTTCTACAAAGTAACCAACGCCTCCCTCCCCTTTTCACACGCCTCACTAACCCACCTCACCCCCCACCAGATCTCCCTCTCCAACGAATTCACCTACTTCCTCATCGGCCCCACTATCAAAGTCTCCGTCATCTGCTTCTACCGCCGCATCTTCACCATCCCCATCTTCCAACGCATGTCCTTCAGCCTCAACGCCCTCATCATCCTCTGGGGCGCCGCCACCCTTCTCGTCTGCGCCGTTCAATGCCGCCCCATGCGCGCCTACTGGGACCCCAGCATCCCACGCCAATGTATCGACAGCTACAAACTCATCGTCGTAAACCAAATCTTCAACGTAATCATGGACTTCGTCATCCTCGCCCTCCCCATCCCCATGATCTGGAACCTCCATCGAACATGGCAAGACAAGCTCGCTCTCAGTGGCGCCTTCGCTCTTGGTGTCTTCGTCTGCTTCGCCAGTATCTTCCGCGTCGTCGTACTCTTCTGGGTCAACGCAGGCAATATGACATATACCGTTTACCAAGCCACACTTTGGACGCATATCGAGCCGTCCATCGCCTTGATTTGTTCGTGTCTTCCTACCATCCGCGGCTTGTTTCCGCAGTTCAAACTCCCAAGTCAAAGGAGGCGGAGGTATGATCCCGAGGCGCCCCATTCGGATGTTAGCACCTCGCATTTTGTAGCTTCGGGGTGCAAGACCCAAGCCGCTGCTGTGAAGAATGAGTATTATCGTATGGAGGAGGGGGTTGGGGCGGCGGCGGCGGCGGCGCCGAGTGGTAGTGTTGCCTCCTCCAGGGACAGGGCGCAGTCGTCTAGTGCGAAGACCGATACGAGCTGGTTGGATATTACAGTTCGGACGGATATTAATATTAGGGAGGATAAGGTGTCGCAGATTGATGTGTGAGTCAGTCCTTCGGAGTACGGGCTTCCGTGTGTCGGGATATGCGTCAGGTTCTGTGAAGGTTACAATTTACTGGAATGGTGGGATTCCTCATGTGTCGTCGTATCTAGCATGATGCAAAGCTACAGGCCTTGATAGTGTATGGCGGATTGGAGTCTTCCTGACCTGTGCGTGGGCTGTACGACCTGACACAGCACATGAGATTGCTCTGCATGCTGTATACAGCATACGGCATACATTGCAGGACCGACGTGGCAGGCCTTGAATATTGAGTATACGGGGATGCTTCTATAGTTTTGGACTTTTGTGTGGATATCTACATGTCTGGCTTGCAGCATCTGGCTTATCTATCGTTGGTTGCTTTAACCAGACGCGTGTTAATTGGATAATTAATGATGATCGTGATGAAATAAATCATGCAATCTGCGCATGTAACTGCCCATACACTTGGGAAACAAAAGAATTGTCGCTATAGCTAATATCCGATTCATTGTCTATTGAACTTTGCACCTCAATGCACTGCCGCCTGACCAGCTGCAAAGTCCTAGAAGGATGTTAGCTATTATAGACCACAAAGGTATCAGTCAATGCTCACCGGAAACGCATTCGTAATGCTAGTCGCCACTCTTTCCACGTCCTCCGCCAACCCTTGCACTCCAGCATCCCACTGCCGGATATGCTGTCCCGTAGCAGCATTACCAGAGTCAAAGTATATGATTCCAGCGATCTGATCAATACTTCCTTTCAATCTGCCCTGCTCGACCATCCTCGCGGCATAATCTTCCGCCTTCTCCCCCGCGGTAAAGTCCCCACTCCCTTGGAGTCCCAAGATCGCCCCCAATGCATCGGTAGTAATATTCTCGTAGAGCTTACTCGCCGCAACAAGGTTATGTTCCACAACCGCCTTATCAAGCACGGTAGTCCCATCGGCCGTCACCGCCAGCTGATGCGGGGCCAACCGCTGGGCAAACGCAGCCACCTCCTCTGGGTCCAGCAACCGATCAAGGAACATCTTCTCCAGAATAGCAAACTCATCCACCGACGTTGACCGATCATCTTTGTACAGCGTAGCCAGGATGCGCGACCGCTGAGGACCAGCAGGAGCGAGCACCGCACACCGAATAGCAGCCGCCAAGGCTTGCAAACGGTCCATTTCATCCACTCCCGCCGCCAAACTAACATTGAAGTACTCCTGACTGGCTTCAAGGAAACGTCGACGAGCATCCAGGATCCGAGCTTGCGACAGCTTGAAATGTAACTTCAAGTCATGGTCCTCAATCTTACTTGGCAAGTTCTTGATGCGGTTCAAAAAAGCCTCTGCGCTCGTCGTGTCATCCTCCTCCAGATAATATCTCACGATGCGGATCCACAGTTGCACCTTGGCTGCGTCAGAGACCAGGCGCTGCGAACTATCGATGTGGATGCCCTGGAGGGCTTTGGCGGCGTCGGTGTATTGGCCTTCGGCCTCGTAGGCGTCTGCAAGGAGCTCACGGATCTGAGCATCTTGTTCTTCGACGGAGGTTGAGCGGGATTGGAGGAGGGTGACGGCGTGTTGGCCAACGCTGATTTGAGTTTCCTGGGTGAGTTTGCGGAGCACGGCGATGAAGGAGTCGAGGATGGGGCGGGCGGCGACAATGCTGATGTCTTCGCTGAGGACGGAGTCCAGGAAATATATTAGGTCCTGGGAGATCTGCGGTTCCGTAGAGGTGGACACGATGTCGCCGAGGAGGTCGTTGTAGAGCTGGAGTTTGTTTTGGGGTTTGCGGAGGATTCGATCTCCGCGAGGGCGGAGGTGATTTTTTGAGAGGCCATGGGGCGACTGGATTGTATAAATGATTCCTGATTATGGGGGTGATATCGAGGGGATGCTGAGAATCGGTAGGTACTCGTGATAGTAGTGGTGTTATTTGATGGACAGAGGGGTTGAAGATGAAGTTGGGTACGTCAGAAACACCGTGAATGGAGGAGAGGTGAAGCTGGGGGGGCTTATCGATAAGAAGAGCAGGTACCTTCCAGCCATCCACAAGTGGTAGGTAACATAAAGTACCCCAGGCTATGGGTTTGGCCATCTCCCTTGGGCATAGTTCACTTTGAGTTTGGGGAAAGGCTAATGGAGACCCTTTCTTGAGTGATGTTTCTCAAATATTACTATTTTTATTCCTATGGATGGAGACTTGCAGCTTTGGAAATGCCGTTTCAGCCTACATAGACCAATGCCTGGACTAGGAATTTGCCTAACTCAAACAAAGTATTGAGCTAGAAGGAATTCGTAGCTGAGCAGACCTAGGTAGTATCTTGTTCAGCTAAGACCCCGCCAGCAGATGAATGCGATTGTCGGCCTCCATTCAAGGGCAGCAAGATGCCGCTACCGCCTTTGGCGACCCGCTCGGGCGGCGGCTTTCTTGCTCGCAGCGACGCATCTTACCACTCGAAGCTTCAACTTCACGTACGTCACGGACGACTACTCTCCTGACCATCAAAATCGTTGATTCGTCGCTCATTTTTACCTCTTCTACGGTCGCTTTATTATCATCCGCACGTCCCATTACTTCTTTGCCCTGTTCGCGCGACTGTCAAGCTGTGTGGCGCAATGGTCCCCCAAGTCAAGCAGGATCCGGATGCCCAGTCGCCATACATCAAGTCCGACCCATACATCAAACAAGACCCCGATAGCAAAGATGCAGTACTCGCCGATATTGATGATGAAGATCTGTACGAAGATGCGGGCGATCTAGATTTCACGGCTGCAAATCAGAACGTGTGGCTTTCACGGATTCCCCGGTCGCTATGGGAACATTGGTCGCATCTGTCAAATAGCGGCGGCGACGATGATGAGGAAATTCAGATTGGGACAATGAGAATTGAAGGCACGCCGAATGATATCAAACGGGTAGGATTTTGATTTGATGGTCTTTGTCCAGGGAGGAGTTTGGCTTGTGTTACGCACGGACTAATATCTGGGGCCATTTGCAGGTCAGTCTGCGCATAAACGGGCGGGACGACAATCACGAAATCCCCAAGGATTACCTATTGCAGCGGCAAACGATAACTGCTGAGAACGTTTCACACTTGACACAAAATACGTATCTGTTTACCGAGAGGGACATTCCCGGTCATGAGAACCGGATGGTGGTCTTTGGAGAGGCGCGTTCTGCACTCTATGAGTCGATGAAGCGGGAAATGAAGAAAAAGGAGCGCAAGAAGAAATGGGAACCCTACGTGAGGAAGACTGTGCCGAGTATGTATTGTCTGCTTTCTTGGCAAAGGGATCCTGGCTCATATGGCGACAGAACAAACGGCTTTGGTAGGAAGCGTGAGCGAAGAGTTCAACTGCCTTCCGGTTGAAAATGAGGAATTCCGACACTTATCCGAAAAGAAGGCTCTGGAGGCGCTCAAACCGAAGCGTGAGACTGTCTTTATCGATAAGCTTCCAGGCAAGCTGCTCCAACCGCGGAATGCATTGCCCGGAGAAAAGGGTGCATTTGTGGTGAGTGTTTCTTTCGCTGTCCTTATGGACGGTCCGATCACTAACCATTTTTCCAGCAAGCAACAAGGCCCCTCAAGCTCAAGACCCAGGAGAACAAGACGACGCGTATGCCTCAGAACGAGCTGTTGGATCTTATCTACGGGTGTTTCCGAGAGTACAAGTACTGGCCGTTTAAGAACCTCAAGGCGAGACTGCGACAGCCAGAGGCCTATCTTAAGCAAACATTGGAGATGGTAGCGCACTTGGTCAAAGCCGGTGACTTTGCTATGACCTGGGAGTTAAAGCCAGAAGCCAGGGAAAGCCACTACTCGGATGCAATGTTCAGCAATCCCAAAGAAGAACTTGCCCCGGGACTGGATTACAACTTCGACGATGCTTCGGATGAGGAGGCCACACCTTCCGGCATGGTTACAGATAATGACGACACACAGTTCGAGAACGCTTTCTGAAGCGCAAGAAATCTATGTAGCATAAGGACCATGGCGTTTTCTTTGGGAGTTTCTTGGGTGATTTGATAAAGGCTGCTTTAGATTTATTCATGACGGCTTAGATGACTACCTAGCCCAGTATCTAGCACGCATATTACCCAAACCAATATTATGGAGCTGGGAGGCTTCAGTCGCTGACTTAACTATCCTTCTGCTACAATATCATCCTACTTTGTAGTCAATAGTAGCCTGGAGACAAAGCATCAATGACACCATGTGCAACGCGGCCTGTCACGTGATTTTATGCCACCACACACCGCGTTCGTCATTTCCTTGGCCGCTTCCCGCATCAACGCGAGATGATGTCCTACCTCAACCGCATTTTTTATTCAACTACCCAGTAAAGACAAGAAACTCTTCGTGAAACAACTTGCTAACGTGGCTGGTGATTTACTCATCAAACCAGGATGACAGAAGATCAGGATCTGATGGCCAAGATCAGCCAGCTTGCTGGTAGGCACCCATCCTAGCTATCCGCAACCGCGCCAACTGCTAATCTCGCTCAGGTCAGATCAATAGGCACAAAACCCAACGCTCTCAGTCAGAATCTCCTTACAGTAGTGAAATCCCCTCAGGTCAACACGTATCGCGACATGTTCCTCATCGAGGCCGTGGCTGGGCGCCGTATCGCGGCCGACCTTACGCGCGAGGACGTCATGTAGCTCCCCACCGCCACCGTACCCTCATTCTCAACAACACGACGACATCAGGAACGCCGGGGTCGACTACTCCCGCTGGCACGATGACTGATACAGATGGCGAGGCGCGATCGGCGACCCCGAATGAATGGGTTGTGAAGCACGATCGTCATATGCAGCTCATCAATACTTCGATATACGACAAGGAAGCCCAAGCCAGGACGAAGGCGATAGAAGAGAGTCGCCAGGCCAAGGCGCACAAGAGAGCACGAGTTGAACAGGCTAGAGTCCTGAATTACGCGCAGGGTGTTGGCAGGACGTATTCTGCGGGCTTCGCGGCTCCTCAGGTGTCTACTACTGCGGAGCCGTCAGCGGAGTTTCAAGTTTTCGTCAACGACATCCCGTTTCGGGTGTCACGCGGGGGCAGCAAGTTGATACGAGTGTCTGGTGCGTGTGTTCAGGACGCTCTGGTCAAGCGAACTAGCTTACAGGTGATAGATGATCCGAATACTGCCAACGCCACCCCGAAAAAAGTGACGGTGGCAGGTGTTGCGTTTGTCCGAAGCAAAAACGGAAATCTCCACCGTCTGGGAGCTGTAACATCAAAAAGGTGGCGGTCGTCTTGTCCACTTGGCAGTGTTGTAAGCTTACGTTGTCCAACAGAAAGCCAATGGCGGTTAAGAAGAAAGACGCGCTTTGCCAGCGGTTCACTACGACGGGTACCAATGCTTTCCCTACCATCGGCCCTGGGTCGCCCTTTCCTCTTTGCATTACTGTTTCATCTTCGGTAGGATCGCGCTGATCAGAGTCTTGAAACCATTAGGCAGCTGTTACAAAGGACCAACGTGCCCCTACACCCACGACCCGAACAAAGTCGCCATGTGTAAAGGCTTCCTTCAGACTGGTCAATGCAATGCAGGTATAAGTTGTGACCTATCCCATGAGCCTTCGCCACACAGATCCCCTGCGTGCGTCCATTTCCTTAGAGGGCGCTGCTCCAATCCAGAGTGTCGCTATGCCCATGTTCGCGTGACACCGGGCGCTCCTGTGTGCAGAGATTTCGCGGTTTTAGGGTACTGCGAGAAAGGTGCCGAATGCGACGAACGGCACGTCCACGAGTGCCCCGACTACGCAAACGACGGCGTTTGCAATAAGAAGCGCTGCCGCCTGCCCCATGTCGATCGGGCTGGCCAGATCAGGAAAAACACAGCTTCTAGGACTGATGTCATGATTCATGCGGAGGAGTCTGACGCATCCAGTGAGGAAGAAGAATACGATGAAATCGACACGGATGACGTTGATTCAGATGATCTTGATGAGGATGAGCAAGAACTCATCGCGGGCGAGTCTGATACTGGCGAAGTGTCGCAGCAACAGGACTTCATCCGCCTCTAACCGTACGTGTCTACTAACCCAGCAACAGTCTGTAAATGAAACCTTGCTCGGGATCTACGGATTACACAGGGAGAATAAGAACCAGAAGATTTACAGGAAACAATGGAAGAATAAGAAGAAAAGAAAAATGAAAGATAATGAGACGGACCAAGTCCACACCGTGGCTGAATTGATACTTGCTTTGAAATTTTGATGCCATACGAACTGTCTGTCGTGTGCCAGTCGCAGATGAAGATACCCATATGCATTCAGCATGTTCCCACCCGTGTCCAGCTTGTCTTATGGATTCGTTTCGACGAGATTGGATCTTCCCTACGGTTTGGCTAGGCACGATACCTGGTACTGTAGCGCTACATGACATCGTGTCTGGAGGGGACGAGCCATAGGTAGCATAGCAATGGAGACGATAATCACTTTGTTTTCTTTTTTCTCCTTTGGGGAGGGTTGCCTCCCAGCATGTACTCCTACGACGACGACTCTTCCTACTAACCTCCAACCACACGTGCTCTCCAGGTCAGCCCGGGGCGTCAGGCAGTACCCGTCCTCACATGGCAACCCCGACTGAGGCGTGTGAGTCATACCCCCAACTTGACAGGAAGTCAGGTAGGAGGCGATCAAAGCCGGCGACCCCCACAGCATGGATCCGCGTCCGATGCAATGCAATGCAAGCTAGCTCCCTAGCTCAGCGACTAACGGTGAAGATAACCAGCTAAGGGGGCGTACCTGGCCTCTGGCTGGTGCATCGCAGGATCCTCGCCATGCGAATGGCTGCTTTACCCATATGGTTCGCATGGACCAAGGCGAGCCACGCTGCTTTTTCCTTTCTACCTAACCCAACCTACTTACCGCGTGTTCCGGGATGGCACGGTCGTTCTTTGTCCGGTTGGAGCGATCAGGGCCTGCAGAGGAGACGCGACATCCGCCAGGACTTGAACCGTGCTGCTGCGGATGCGGACGCCGACGCTGGCTGTAAGCAAGTCGAGTTGAAACACCTGTCCTGGGGATGTTTCAGGTTTGTTGGTCCGGATCTCCTCGTGGACTGCTATACACCCTGGCCGCCGCTGCCATGGCACCTATCATCAAACCGCCTAACGACATACATGCTACATACATGCACATATGTAAGCACATACATGGCTACGTACCGGCAGGGACCTGGAAATGCTCCTCGGGACGTCGGTGGCACGATGTGGCCCCGGGGTCCTAGCGACCTACCGCCACATGCCACCGCCGTATGCACGGGGAGGCATAGGGGGACTTTGCGGGCGAGGAGTGAAGAAAAAGAAAGGCGAGGAAGGCGATCAGATCACGGACCGGTGCAGTCTGTGCCTGATGACAAGCGTCACCGCCATTGGCTCGGGTCTCCCAACAGGAGGGGAATCGCCCAATGACCGCCATTCCTTCCAACACCGATATTTCATCTACCCGATGAAGTTCCCCTCGTTTAGCTTTCTGGGGAAGACGCAGGTGGGTTCCGATAGGCAGCGACTTCGAGAATGGTCGACGGGGCCCACTATGTTAATTACTTTTGTTCCTCGATGTACTCCGTATGTATCGGGGTCATGGAGACTGGAGTACTACTGTAGCAGACTGCGTGTAGATAGAGGGGGGTTGCTTATCCAGGGCTTTTTTGTTCCTTTGGTCGCCAGCGCGACGCTGATTGGCGGGTGGTCGTCGATCAGGCCGGGAGGGAACGTGACCTTGCACTGACTTTGCTGCCCTTCCCTTCCCTTGGCTTGCCTTGCCTTGCCTTGTGCCTTCCCTCGACTTACTGCTCTGGAGCCTAGTATGGTACGTAGTGCTGGATTCTATTCTTACTCTCCTATCCTACTTCTCGCTTCCCACTGCAAGTCATTTGGCATTCACAATCACCTCATTTCGGTCTTTACTATCGTCCTCCTCGTAATCACCCAAAACTAAATTTATCTATACGATCAGCAGCCCGTTGGGCAACAATGGCATCATGCAACTGAGTCCGAGAAAGCCAATCTTCGAGAATGAATGACCGGCCCACTGACTCGGGAATGCCCTTAATTATGGACATGACAATGCATCGTCGCCGGCTAATCCTATCGACGGCGATCGCCCGTCAGTAATTGGTTTCTAGTCAGTGCTGGTCATGACTCTGGTAGAGCCACCCCAGTCGTCCAATCCAACCCCCTGCAAGAGCCAAAAGAATCGCCTCGATCCACGCTGACAGCCATCACTAGGAATTCGGATGCGCTGATTCTTCTTCAGGGGGTGAGTTTTAATTTCCCTTCGGTAGCACCACCACTCCACCGGTCGCATTTCGCCCTTTTCAATTGGACCCGGGGCTGGTGTACACCGCTACAATGGCCACTCGGCATCGTCATCGCAGACGAGCAATTACCCGGAACAGTGCCAGTCACGGCAGGTCCGAGATGGCCCTCTCCGATGGCAAATTCGAATGAGGAATCAGATTGGGACTCGTCGGCTGCATTCACGTGTCGCTGACCACCATCCCCCGGCCTGTCCTATCCAGGACCCCGGGTTGAATAACGGTCAGGTCCATACCCACCCGCCCGCACTTCACCGTACAGGATTCCAAATCCAGGTCAGGATTTGCCTTCCGCCTCAAGGGACTGTCCTGGCATTGTTTCAAGATGTTGGCTCGGATCCGATTGGGTTCGATTCCTTGTCTTTGTTGTCCGCTGCTGGTTTGCTGTGTATCGGTATCGAATGCAATCGGCCTTCGGCCCCTTCACTGGGTGCATGAGATGATCTGAACACGGACAAGTTCATGCATTGCATCAACAGCAGCAGCATATGTAGGGCAAGCTAATTGCTTTTTGCAATTCCTGTTTCTGCGGTTTCACGCGATTGTCGCGAATAGCGGGTAACTCGATTGACTATGCCTGCGACTTCGGATATGACATGCGTACGACTGATTCTTGGGGCTTTATTCCCCTGCGGACCCAGGCAGTGGACTCGTACCAGTGACTGTGTAAGGTGCTTGACACCTGCTTGTCCTTGACTGTATGTACTACGGTCGAATGTCTACCTGTGAAACGTGGCATCAACTCGACCCCGACACTACGCTCGCTCGTTCACTCTACTCGTGCTCTACCTAGATCCAGTCAGCTCTGGGCATGGTTTGTAGAAACTAAGCACTAGACAGCAACAAGGACCAACAGTGCGTAAAGACGGGGTCTGGCAGCCCATGACATCAGTACACATACTACCGCAATGGTCGTAGAGGACTCAAGTGAAACACCAGGTCATCGTCTCAACAGGGAAATCACCTAGACGGCAAGGCTTCGAGAAAACCGGAGGGCCGGCAGGCGTGAGTCACCGTCGGATCGCCAGAGAATCGAAGCTACGCACCTACCAAATCCGAAGTCCAAGCTTGCCGAGGATTGCCGCACACGCGGTGGGTCGCGGGATTCTTCTGGTCTGTTTCATCTTATCGATAGCTGGCAGTTGGCGGTAAGCGACTGGCCGAAGAACACTGCGAACCTTCTACTTCTGTCCGTGTGCATACTGTTCCTGTGTCTCACAGTGAGGGTGGAGCACAGCATCATTGTCTTCACCTCCGGACTCCGGAACAATGCTCTACTCACTGGAGCCATGACACGTTGGGGAGAGAAATGGTGATGCTGAAATGCCCGCTTCTCAAAGAAGGCAAGGTTTGTCCCGGAAGGCGCGGTTGGTCGTTGTTGTTATCGGCCGAATTGGCCCCAATTTTCTCGGGAACGTCAATGACCATCTTTATTATGATCTCTCGAATTCTCTACCCCAACAAAGCTACGATAGTACTTACTTGCTTAGTCTCGACTAGGGAATAAGGATAGCATCACCCCTATCAAGCCAATCAGAGCAGGAGAGAAAAACGATGCTTAGTTGCTAGCTATAGCGTACCACCCGGAGCAGAATGATCAACATGTACCCTCTTAGTTCGAAACACCATATGGCAGCGAACAAGACCAGGCAAGCCAAGCAGGTAGAGGCATTCCTAAACAACCATACCATCCAAGTGACTAATCCTACTGGCTGACTTGGGTGCGCAGCCATGGACGAACTAAGGTATGCCCCTCACCATGGACCGACCTCAAGCAACCTCACCTATCTGCAGAACCACAACAGCCTCACAGCTTCCTCGAGCTCGAGCTCCCCCTCCAAGCTACCTAGGCGGAGATAGGTCGACCGCTTCCTTGGCCATGCTTCAACCCAAACTCGCCTTGTCTCTGCATGAGAACCCAGATCGTGCGTGCTTCCGTGCTCAGCAGGATCCGAGCGAGATGCGATGACATCGTTGGTTCCCCGCAGGAAAGCACTGATGCCTTACCTGCTGCTAATTTACCGGCGTTTCGTTGAGCCATGCTTCGACTTAACCTCAAAGTGAGAGGAATACTAGCTCTACGGAGTAGTAGTCCGCGTATGACGAATTCCGTGGTGGTGGTGGCCCTCTACCTATCTACCTTCCTACAAGACTACGGACGGGATGAAGCCCACTAATTATCCATTCTCTTTCCCAATGGGGAAATTACCAAACAATTAAGTTTCGGTTGAGCAACTCGTTCTCGTGATGGTTAGGTCAGAGGTTAGGTAAGATGGTTACCTAAGGTGGGTATGGGCGGCAGCATGACTATCAACTGCCATGAGAGAATGCAGGTGAACCGTCAAAAGTGGATTAAGCTCCAGTCGACTGGTGCTTATGCCAAAAGAGGCAATTAACCTGGCTGACCTGCCGGACTAGTGAGGTGCAGTGGAGGTGACTTGCTTCTCACTAAGAGCCTGGCAAAAATAAACAGAAAAAAAAAAAGATGAAAAAGAAAATGACCCGGTATCATCAGAACCGTAGAATTTATTCAGCAAACCAGCAGGGACATCCCGACTTTGGGGCTGGGCCAAGATGAAATCTGATCTGTCTGTGCTTTGCTGCATCTGGTGCAGCTGCCGCAGTATGTCCATTTCCTGTCATGGCGGGAATTGGTTGAAAGCACGGGCGGGCGGGTGTCGCAACAGAACGGGTGTGCATGCGATGCGCCGATGAGGGCCGCGCGGGCAGCCCGCTCTAACCCAATCCGCAAAAGGGCCCTTTTCGAAGTTTCGTTGTTGCCCCCCCTTCAACTCTCTACTACCTATCTACATACAGTAGTACTACGGAGTACTAGGATTGTGTATCCATCCCTGGTGGATCACTGGACTACTGGACCACTGGATCTCTTCTACGGGCCGGCCCTAACGGTACCAGAGAATAGAGATGAATGATTCTCTGTCCAGGTTCTTTTCTGTGGTTGACCACCATCATTAACAGGAAGTATGGAGAAGAAGGTGGTATCAATGGCAGCAAACAATCAACAACAGCTATCGGCCTGAGCAATCACGGGCATATCATAGCCTCAATGATCATAAAAACAAGGCATCGAGGGAGGATAAGATGCCAGCCCATCGGATCATTCTCTCCCAAGCCGGCCTTAGCAGAAACACTCCGTACTTTTTTCGGCAGCCTGATCCAGCCCCAAGCCCTCCAGCGCTCTGGCGAGGAGACACCCTGCCTTGAGGATCATGATGGAAATAGATTCCTCTCAGCCCATCAGGATGTCACCCCGGCGCGCGAATGATTGGCCATGCCGGGCTGAGGGCGATACGCTCCCAAGGACTTAGGGTACTACCGGGAGGCCGTACGTATTGTATGACATCCTGTCCATCTGATCAAAGCCCCTCCCACTCCCTTCGGGGGGTTTTCTGGGTTTTCTGGGTTTTTTGGCTGAGCCATGCCCTCATCGCCGACGGTATCGATCGTATCGTCCTGTAACCCGCGACTCGCCCTATCCCAGGGGTCGATCATGGGATGGATGCACACTGACTGAGCGCACAGACAATCTCCTCTTTGGGCATCATCGCAAGAACCGGCAGCCAAGAGCCCCAGAGCCAGGTGGGATGAGCCGTTCAGGTACCTACCCACCTACATATGTATGTACGTACATCTATCTCGAACCTGAGGAGGCGAGGGTAGGTAGTCAGCTTGAAACCCAGTGTGCCGGGCCAGGTACCAATCGTTCTGCTTTCCGTGTAAGATGAGGATGAACCATGCCTGGGTTCGGGCGTCGCTGCGGATGGGCGACTGGCAGAGAGCGCAAGAGACAAAGCAGATGGAGCGATGGGGATTGTTTCGACGGTATCGGATAGAGGGGTCGTACTGTCAGGAGGGTGGATTCGATAGGCTCTCGATCTCCGATTTGTGGCCCCACCGGTAACTGACCATGATTCCGATACCGACCACCCAGCACCCACCCGGACATGGAACTTACATAGTAGTGTGGTCCTTACAAGTACACACTCCTACCGGGGCCGACACTGCGAAGGGTAGTATCTACGAAGTCCAAGTCTCAGTTGAGACTTTCCTCCGGCCCCTAGGGGAGGATCGGTCGGTGTTGGTATCGAAAGAAGGTTGTGGCAGGCAACGGCATAGCCGCCGTTAGGATGGCTTTGTCGATATTGTTGGTTAGGTTTGGCGGTTAGGGTTTATTATTATTCTAATTCTGCCACAGTTGGGAAAATCCTACCATTCACGAACTGCCAATCGCCCGGCCTATCATCTATCATCCTGCACCATGTATGAGTCGCGTCTGGCAAAAGTATACTACCAAGTACGGAGTACTACTAGGTATCTAGTATCTACGGCTAGACGGAGGTGGGTGGTACCTACCTGCCTGCCTCGATGGATGGTGGTGGTTACGTACGGACTGAACCTAGGCAATCGGTGCCGAATGCCTCAGGGCAGCAACCCGCACCGACTAGTCGCTACATTGGCCATCTGAATAACCTCAATGTTACCAACCCAGGGCACCGGAGAAGGGTAGGCTCAAGGGTACACAAGAAGCGTCACGATCGTGATTCGTCTCTTGCAAAAGCACTGGGCGAGTAACCAGCCAGGAACGATGATTATTCATCCTCCCCCTTCTGGTCCCAAAGGTTCCCCTGCCAGCTGCACGTCTGCCCAACGAAGCATCCAATGACCGCTGCTCGTTAATCTCGGGAGCAGTCAGAAATGTCGCCTCGTCTTTTGACTTTTCCGCTGACCGCCGGATGCTCTGATGTTTTGGGGAGCGGCGATTAGTGAGCGAGCGAGCGATGGGTCTGTGTTTACCTACTACTTCGTTAGGGCCGATGGAGCAGGCAGTGGGAAATAATGGAATTGGCTTTGGTTTTTTTGGTTTTCTCTTGGGCTTCCTTTTTTTTTAGCTCCATTTTTTTTGTTCCCCCCTCCCCATATGATTGCCGCTGTTGGTTTGTAGTAGGGTATGGGTCAGGTCGGTTTATGGGTAGGATTATAGTGAGGGTTACTAGATATTTTTAATTTTATTTGGGTGTACATTCAATTTTTTCGTTAATAATAATATTATTATTATAATTTTTATTTTATTTTTCTAAATTCTCTCATCGTCGAGCAGTCTTACTATTCTGATCTTGGTCAGGGACTCCCTCATTGCATGTTTCCTGATTCAGCTCCGCCGAAGGATATATGGACTCCCCCTCCCGCTTGTCACTTGGTCTTGTCCTCCATCACAATCAACAATATACTGAACATCAAAACTCTCTTCGGGAGAGGTTTCTGTTTGATCACAAGAGACCTCTATTTTTCTTCACACCCCCCTCCTTCTCCTCGATCATACTTCTTCCGTTCCTCCCCCTGCTCCTCTTTCTGCCTCCACTTCGCTAGTCCTCTACACCCTGACCACCACCCGATCGATCTACTTCTCTACCCACCTTATCTTCTTTAAATCCTCCCTTGAAACCTTTCAAGAATCTCCTCAGGGTTATCCTCCTCACGGGTTACACGCAATCCATCCTCCTTGAACGCCTGGTCTTTGCCATCCTATCACCAACCACCTCCAACCCCGCACCTCTTCCAGACCTGTTTTTCCCGTACATCCATTTTACACACCGCCTCTTGACTGCTCTACAAGCAACCACGGCTTTTCCTTGAGCAAAGCCACCTTTTTTCACCTTCATTTTCGTCATATACACATTCACAGTTATGGCAAGATATTCTCAACCATCCTTTGACTTCTACCAACAATCCCCCTCCACATTGGATGCCAAACCGTCATATTCGGAAGAAGACGAGATGAGTGTACTAGATGACAAGATTCTCGATTCCACTTCCCCCGATCTACCCTCCAATGTAGCCGACCACCGGAGAACCTCATATGATCATGCACCCGATGCATTTGCGCATCGAGATTCCGTCTGGTCCGATTTCTCCCACTCCGTCTCCAGCACACAGTCCCGCCACAACTCCCAAGTCGGCCACGCTTTCTTTGAAACCGCCCCCAATCCTTTCATGCGGGTAGACGGTGCTCATCCATCCGCAGCATATAGCCACCAGGCCTCCTGGCAGCTTGCAAAGGAATCGGGCTCTTGCACTCCTACCGCCATGTATGAACACTTTCCCTCCGAGCTAGACCACACCTCATCCGCCCCCTTCGCCGGGGGCGCCGTCGGTCCCGTCAACACTATCAACATCCCCTCCATGTCGTACCGCCCCAGCATGGCCTTCGCGCACCCTGCCACTGTGGCTATGTCCCCACAGTCCAGTCAGGGGTGGATGCCGGCTGCGACGGATATGCCTGATGCGATGTCGCGGCCAACCAAGAGCCCGACCTACCGCAACAGCTCTCCCTTGAGTATGCGCCGGGATGGGATCCGGAAGAAGAACGCTCGCTTTGAGATCCCTGCAGAGCGGACGCTGAGCAACATCGACCAGCTGATCAGCCAGTCGACCAATGAGGAGGAGATCAAGGAACTGAAACAACAGAAGCGGCTGCTGAGGAACCGTCAGGCTGCGTATGTACCCACTTCCCCCTTACAGGAATGACATCAGCAGACATCTAATAATATCTTAGCTTGGATTCGCGTCAGCGCAAGAAGCTCCACACCGAGAAATTGGAGGAGGAGAAGAAGCAGTTCACCCAGGTCATCAGCGACCTGGAGGAGGAGCTGCAAAACATGCGCCTGCGTGAGGCTGAGCTCCTTCGCGAGAAGGGCGAATGGATGGTCGCCCAACAGGAAGTCAACCAGTACATCAACACCATGCACATGGAGAAGGATGAGATGATTCGGGTGCACACCTTGGAGACAGCTGATCTTCGAAAGAAGAACAACATCCTCAAGGAGACTGTGGAGAAACTGGAGAGACACGCGAGAGCCGCCCCCGCGAACCTGGCCACCGAGTTCTCGGACTTCGAGAACTTGACCATGGATAGCAGTCCTTGGGAGGACTTTACCATGGTGAACGGCCTCTCTCTTGAGGCCGAGCCTATTCCTACTGCGGCGGCACACTCCACGTCGTTGGTGGTCTCCACGAACGACAAGGAGAAGTCTGCGACCAGCGACTACCCCTTCAGCTGGAACGCCTTTTACATGTGCCTGCTGTTCGGAGCCTTCATTGCCTCCAACAGCACCTCGCTGTCGGCTCGCGCCATGCCCCAGCTTTCGGAGGAATATCGCGCTGAGTCCGCGAACGTCCTTCGGGCTGTGTTGTCTTCCTCTCCGCCCGAGCTTGCTCAGGGCCAGGCCGCTATGGCCTCCTCGTCGGCGATGCCCATGCCCACCACCATCACTGGAGCCGAGATGGCTCAGATGACTGGCGCTGGGGCACCGTCCAACCTGGATGAGCTCCACAACACGCTGGCGCTGCCCACCAAGCAGCAGGAACAGGAGCAGGTTTTTGCTCTCAATGCCGACCAGTACAACTCCTTGACGACTTTTGATGATGCAGGTGTCGATTACAAGCACCAGCAGCCCTCGAATCTTCAGCAGGCGCTCGCTGCGATGCGCAGTAACGTCGCCCACAAGCTTCCGAACAAGGCTACCTCTGAAGTCTACTCTCGGTCCCTGATGTGGGACCGGGTTCCTGAAAAGGTAATCCGAGACTTCAGACGCATGGTTCAGGAATATGGTGTCGCCCCCGTAAAGGAGGAAGACTCCGGCTTCAGCCAGTAGTTAACCCGCGATGCTTGGGTTGCACTGACCGCACATCGCCCATCTCAACTCGCTCTCTCTCTCTCTCTTTCTCCATCATGCCCAGACAAAACTTACCTTGCCTGCGTTCCTTCTGCATCCACCAAGCAGCCTGATCGAGTTTCTTGCTTCCACCTCCGCCTCTCTCTCTCTCTCTCTACGTCCTCTACAGACACCTTCTCTACTAGCACTTTGTGCCCACCGACACACGACTGTTGGCCAGATTTAGCCAGATTTAGCCATATACATACATAGACAGCTTACCATTCACTTCGACTGGATATATCTTACGGACTAGCTTCTTGATGACCTCGTCTGACAATTTAGCGATGTTGTTCTACGTTTCGCACTCTTTCGGCTTATCGGCGTACCTGTTTTGATCTTCACAGGTTGAGAGCGGATTTCACGAGCAACTGGAATATGTTGCCCTCGTGTGCCTTTCCGCCTCTACACCTTCTCTTCGATTACTTATGAACTTATGCCACACGGGTGGCATCTTTTGAATCTTATTCACATACTGAAGACTGTCTGCGCGCCGCAGACAGTCCAACGGAACAACGGGACGGAACATTTCGAGCGCTTGCTTAGTTTTGCATATGATTTGGATTCGGGTTTCTGTGTTATTGCTTTCAAATATTTGACTTCTTCATCGTCTTTGGCTTTGGTTTCGCTTGCATCGCGCGGGGAATGGGCTGGGCCGCGGGTGGCATTTCTGTGATGATTGTTATGATATGACTGACATGTTTATGATTTTGGGATGCCTGTTAATGTCTATATTGCGATGGTTTTTGGACCGCCAGGCTGCCACAGCCGAGTGGCTTTTGAGCGTTCCGACCGCTCCTTTCTTTTCTTTTGTCAGATACTTGACGATGCCGTGCACATGGCATGGCACAGATGATCTTGGGCTTGTCCCGTCCACTCTTTTGACAATTTGATTTCTTTTGTCATCTGTGCAATATTTACTGTACTGTATATATTTGACTTCGCTTTTTGGTTAAAGGAGTTCTCATAGGAGCATGGAATAAAAGTCTTCCGGCCAACTTGGATCCACAGTAATTATTCAGTGGGCACAACTGCTCAGTACATGTGATTGAATCAATAACTTTAACTCTCCATCCTGTTCTAGGCAGCACTGTTGCAGAAATTTCGTGCCGTCTTTCGTGAATTTGTGGATTCACAATAGCTCCATCTTGTCTTAAAGCAGGAGGAATGGTGGAGGTTTTCTGTTCTTCACCGTTTTTATTAACGGCTGACGCCACAAAAGGCAATCACCGTTCCGATATCATTACTATAGAGGCATATCCCTAGACAGAGCCGTCACTATAAAACTGTCATTAAACTGCCACGTCACTACTTATTCCTGTCACTGAACAATATCCTCACCGGGGCCATTAGCACAGGATGCCACCATCACTGGAAATTCTCGTCACTTAAGAGCCTCGTCACTAGAGGTATCGTCACCGGATACCATTGTCACCGACGATCATATCGCATCATCGTTACTGACCCGCATCTCTTATTCCCTGGCAGGTCTGTCGTATAAATACCCAGTTCTTTTCAGCCTTTCCTCCCTCTTCTTTCTCTCATCCCACAGGACAGCGACTCAGAGGAAAAGAAGCCCCTCTCATATTATTCTCACTTTGGCACTTTGCCTCCTTTACTGTCTTCCTTGAGCATGTTTAACATGTTTCTCACTTGCTACACACAAGCAACGCAGGCATGATGTGTCTGCCTCCACCTTGAGACATATATCTCTCATCTTCTTTGAGAGCGGTTCCTCGTGTCCCGTTCTTTTCCAGTTTCTTCTCGCACCATGCTACTCAGCCTAGCTTCTCGGGTCTCCATCACCATCGAGGTAAGTATCTCTTGCTATGCTTCCAAATCTCAATTCAAATACTAACCAGCTATAACATGCGACAGAGAACGGCCAATCGAGTCACCAGACAAGAATACTTGACCTCGTTACAAAGAGGCAACGGTTCAGATGATTCCAAATCATAAATGGAAGCACCAGATATCCCGCAGATAATGTAGGGGTTCATGGAACTGGTCCCATCCGGGTCTTTCACGACTGCTCTCGAAACTCCTGTATCGCCACAACACTCTGGTGTCCTGGGACTTCAGGTCGAAGGGTCAAACAAAATATAGCGGGCACACAGAACCCGAATAACAAACGCAGGCAACATGCTCGACAATGGCTCGGCAATCAGACTGCAAAATCCTCGATGGAATATCTATGTCTTCATGGAAAGGCATCGCACGCAAGTCTAGTCGTCGTGGGATTTCCCGTCTATTCAGACGGTCGGTTCTCTGGGATGTTGAGAACATTGCGCCCTGTGCATTATAAGCAGTCGCCCACTTCGATATATACAATATTCTTGCTTGTTCAACAGCTCCGCTATGAAGGAGCAGAACAGGTAAAGGCACGGACCTTGGCCTAACACCAGTCCTGGTTATCAATTTATCATATGGTCTATGAGACAGCAGGCCAAAACCCTGGCATGTGCTGATATGATTGCGGGGTCTTGCTCTCCAAGCTTCAGTCTGGACGCAAGAGGTCGACCTTCAGCTACAGTTACCATTTACTCTTTGTGCAATATATAGGGGACATCCTATCTACATGAGGATTTTGGCGGGGTCAAACTCCGCCACCATCAATCATGTGGATTCAAGGAACCCGGTGAGCCGAAGGCCTCCCTTGGTTGCAACGTCCAACGCAATTACAGGTGGCTCGCTATCCAACCGGCGTGCGCGAAGGAATCACTGATCGCCGCGTGCAAAACTGGTCTCTCCGATCACGCCATCGTACCGCAAAGCGGACCGCTCCAAGATGATTTCCAAGGGTGTTGATACTACTGAGTATCAGTTTCTTACTAGCCGCCTATATTGGCTGGCGTTGGCGACGCGACCTGACTTGCACCAACCAAACTTCCGACTGCAGAGAAGGATGAAGTCACCTACTACTGCCGATTCCAAAGCGCTGAAATCAGTATACCGCTACATGCAATGCACGGGGAACCTTGGCATCGTACTCGCCTCGGAACATACTAAAGACATCGAAGTTCATATTCAACTGTGGAGAATTTTATATGCTCTTGTCGGATGGTTGACTAAGAGATAGTATATGGCTCACTAAATAGCTATATTTCGATACGGTGTCTGATTGTTGCGCCTACATACACAATTGAAAAAGACCTCTACAGTCTCAACCCCAACCGTAGGGAAGGGAACTGAGCCGAGCCAAGGCCATGGGTTACGCCGCAGAAGTCTCGTTGAGATGGGTCCTGCCTCAATAGTCCAATCACGTCTACGTCCTTATAACCTGCTCTACAATCCCCTTTGTGGCTCCTCGAGCGTTCGAACACACCGCCTAGTTGAGTGGTTGGAAAAGCGCAACGCGGCCAACGACTATTTACGGTTTATCTTGTGGCTTATTTCAGAAACCACTCAACCTCAAGAAATAGCCGACGCATTTGTCATGCCGGTTAAAGGCCTCTACTTGCTTCATGTCTCGGGCGAATAAAGGTCCCACCATTCATAGCACAAGATATGTATGCACGATACCTTGACGCTGTGGGCTTATAATTTCGATGGCGTCTTAGCATAATACATGCTCTTTTCCTCGCTCGCAGAGACTTTGGAGTGAGGAAACTCACTTGGAATAAGGAAAACGGCCGAAAAGATCGACCCCAAAGTAACATGGGAAAGAAGGCCAAGTATGCCCCTAGGTACTCCAAAAGTCGCACAATTCTCTGGGCAGTCTCGTCCGAGAGCCTACGGTATTGACATCTGCAACTTTGATCGAGACCCCAATGGGCAAAGCATTTCCGGCCAGCCAAGACTCTCCTTGAATTTCAACCTCAGTACATAGAACATGCCACTGAAAGACCACTATGTGAAAGCCTGATTGCGGTGGGCAGATGAAGATAAGACTTGATCGATGGCAAGCTGAAGAAGCTTACATGGTTTTATACACCGCCGATGGGCTGGTTCTACTCTCAAGACCCTGCAATTAACGTGGGATTACGTGTCGAACACCATTCAGTGGCTCGTTAAAGGACTGAGAATATCGCGGTATCAAAAGTACCAGTATCTCAATCTTGGATGATGCAGCTCGGAAGGAGCCAAAAGGGTGGATTGGCTCTACGAATGCGGCTTCGTTGAAATTGTGCTCACTATGGTCGAAAATGATGACTGGCCGGGCGCAAACTGGAGCTTAACCGTGGGTATATGGAGAAGGATATTCTTCTAACAAAACGCGAAATCTTCCATCTCGAATTGACTCACAGTGGCTTGAGTGGTACAACTGGTACTGCGAATTAGCCATATTATTCTGCGCTATATTGTCACGAGAAAATGGCTCGTCAAAACTTCCGAACAAAGCAGCCAAGTGCAATGCTGGCTGCCCGTCAGGTAGACAAGAATCTCTACCCTCCATGATGGCCATGATGGGGGTTCCTTGAAGGCCTCGCGTATGGCTCGTGCGGGTAGCTGCTCTCAGCACCCGTACAATGGGTGTTGCGTAACGTGGATGCAAATGGCTAGCACAAGGGCTTGACCGATGAAGTACATATTTCGGCAGATCTCCAATAGATCCAGGCAAACTGAGAGAGCCCAATCTCTGGCACAAAAACTCCAGAAAAAGGAGAGAAATGCCAATGTTAGAGCACATGGCTCATTTGCGCGCTGCGTGAAGACTCGCACGCAGAACCACCCTCATGAGGTGTGGATTGCAAGAGCTTCCCCAGCTAAACGGGCTTGCTGGATTTTGAGCAATTCTCAGGGGTATCAATAGCCACATACGCCAGTGGTAGGCCGATCTCATCCACACTATACGATAACATCGGCAGGAATAATCCACCTCCATCTCCAACCCCGAGGGCACGAGATGAATATGCTGACTAGAGCATCTACCTGTACAATTATGAGCAAGATATCGCGATCACAGACTTATCCCCGGTCACAACTCGAGGCGGTGGTCATTCTCGGCGAAACTCGTCCATCATTCGACAGTTGAGCCCATACAGCGACGTCGATAAGCGAAGAGCGATGCTCTGCATTGCCTACTGGGATTCACTTCTCCGGTGGTGAGATGCGTTGACCCTTCAGGATAACAGAGGAACACTAGCGTTATTTCAAAATGTTTTTCACACTGGTTAGGACTGTTCGTGAATGTTGGCGTGCTGAGGACTTGTACATGTACTCAGCGCCAGTGTCTGCAGGGGTAGCCACTGGACTCTGGTAGCACACTTGATGGATCAGCAGAGCTTTCTTCTCATACCTGCCGGCCTAAACTGCGCTGGCAAGATCGACATGGTGCTTGATCCAGTACCCTCTATACTGTGTCTGTCTTGACGCTACATTCTGCGGAGCCCAAATCCGATCATGCGTCTGTGCAGAATCCTGTTGAGGTCCTTGCCGGGCTTCAACTCTATTAGGTCTATCTGAATGCATCCAGCATGTTGGGAAACCTACGAGACATTTCTAGGTTTCCTATCTTCCCCAGGAAACGCTTTCTCTTCGCGTCATAGCGTCCATCGCTGCAGTATGGAGTCTGACATGTAGTAGCCTTGGACTTGGCTCTGCATGGTCGAGTGTCGATGCTACAGCGCATAGCTTGGCCCACGGCATTGCAATTTAGTATCTCGCCTTGTGTTGTCGAAGTTACGCAGGCTGCTCGACTAGTCAATGAAGGCGCGCTTCTTTGTGTTCTTGGTCTGTCGCTTGTCCCAGTGCAATGACTTGGTGCCTTATATGCTGTGATACACCCGGGGGGCCACTCGCCTCTGTTAATACTACTATCACCTGGCTACGCCTGGTTTTTATGTCTGGAACCAACGGATATGGCTTTTCTGTTCTACGCACAAGTCACATATACCTCGGCTCAATGGGATACGAGCCATATGCTACGCAACCTGGGTGCACATTGGAAGCCACGGAAAGGCGAATATGTTTGTATCCTATGCGGTGCACAAAAGAGCAAACATCATAGTTTGGGCCTGTCGTATAGTGTACAGATAGTCGGAACTATTGGGACATGGAATCTCCTGGATGCTGCTCCCCAGGACATTCGGTGGAAGACACCATGCCATTGAACCCATCATGTCTAGGGAATTCCGCTTTTGACGGCAAATGGGACGCGTTATAATGCATCCGACACTGCCATGTGGCCTGTCTGTGGTGTTTTTTCACAGGCATTATGCGGGCGAATATCAGACTCATGTCCGCGTGCAGTTTACACAGATCTTCTATCAAAGATGTATCCTACTTGTCCACGCTACATTCCATCCATATTCCGAAATATTGATGGTTTCAAAGCTGGAAAGCAGGCTGTTTCAGATTCGATATGACAATTACTTACTGTTGTGGGTTCCTCAAGGAAGGTACTGCCAAAACGTTGTCTTGGGCGAGCCAGTTCCATGTTTTACACTGTTTGCGACTTTCAATTCGCTTTCTTTAAGAAGTTGATTCGAGGCGGTATCCAAGGCACCTTTCACAAAGTAGGTGCTCCGCTATATATCGAGGCCACCGTGTTCAGCGACATCGACTCGTGCATACGCGACCCGCACCGGGATCAGCAACTGATTAGGGATATGTCCCGAATCAACAGCAAACAAAAACAAGCTGAGCCTCAGTAAAAGCACGGGTTGTCATTCCAACCGATAGAGCGGTTTCGGATGCATCGACTTTCACGAAGCATCCCTCGAGCGAGGGTCCGTACCACAGCCACCACGATCAACAGAGGGTTGATATATCCTGGTTGACAGCCATGAACACTCACATGGCTACTGAACGCTGTGGCGGTGATTATTTGGGTTTTGAAGAATGTTCCCGCGCTGGCGAACGAGACGACAGACCTGTTTTGATGAACAGGTCTCAATCCTTCATTTGGATTCTGACACCTTCTGAGTCAGTAGTTCGGGTCTTGACTCTCGAAATGTCAACGGAAAGTTGAGATGATGTCTAGATCACGATGTGTGAACCACATGGGGTACCCACACACTGACAGCAAGGGGAACGTGATAGCATATGAACTATCTCCAAATGATACCAGGTTTATTCCAAACAGTACTGGAATAAGCTGAAGAAAGTGCTTGTCGCATGTAGTACTTCATTGACCTTGCGAGAAAAGATCCATTCGCGGGTCTCATCACCGACATAATGCAGTCGTATCCTATCGTCCACACAAAAAGCCGAATACGAAGCAACTAACAAGGAAACATCCAATACACCATCGACTGGATGCAGCGGTATCTTACCCACCCAGGCGAAAATCCAGGTACAAAGCGAGCAGCTAGATGAAGACACCTCCACATCAAAAGACCCGACATGACCAACGTGTCTGTCGATCCATGTATACCGACCAAAGCGCGCAGTGATATTTCCAAAAAGAAACACAAGAAGCACCTGTGGTTATTGCTTAGATCGCTGGCTGGATACCAGGGGGGACATTTCCCACAGACTATTCACATATGAAGCTTTACCCAACGCATCACCAATTGACGAACGTTGTGATACAAGGAAACGAACCCCACGACGACCTCATCGCGTTCACGCAACTGAATAACCCAACTACGAAGAACGCGCATGACATATCGTATCCTGCTACCTCATTCCCATTGCATCCATCCATCCATATACCAACTACGAAACCCTACCTATCCAGGTGGGATATGGATATATGCACACCCACATCCACGATACACCGACCGACCGTCTTAAACTCCCCTCACCGATCCCTTCAACATGAACCACAAGTACTATACTCATCAATCCATCCACGTCCGTCCGTCCGGTAACACTAAACCAATTCCCACTACATCCGTCTCCCACTGCACAATTGCAGCAAAGAAGTGACGGCGAGGGCTGTGTCGCTATCTGGGTTTTCCAATCCTTGAGTATGGACTAGATCTCCAGCTATTCCAATTTACTTACTTGCCTGTCGCCATATATCCGCGACCTTACTGGCAAAGTGGCAGACACTGTCTGGCATTATTGCCCTTCCTTTTCCTTGTTGTGGTGGGTGGATGGGTTCTTGGGTACGAACACCATTGATGAAATAAATGACGTTTTGGATGGGATATGATGGATGTCAGTCTAGGAACGGCAATGAATATAGTTGATTGGTTGAAAGGTTGCTAATAGGGCTCTCGCTACGGCGGTTATGAGTCCGGGTCTGGGTCTGGGAATGTGGATTTGGGAAGGTTGGGGGTTTATTTCCGGTTCTGCTTATGGATGTTGATGTGGATATGGATATGGAATGACCATATGGTTTTGTTTCCTATGGGCTTGGAAGCATAGGGTGATTGATCATCCAGGTGGAAGGTAACCAGGATGGGGGGTTTGATATGACTATGTCTATGACTAGGGATATCTCATTACTAGGACTATTATTGATACAGCTCTCTAGTGGATATTCTAGCATCAATTCACGAATAATGGATGGGTACGTGAGAGGTACAAGCCGTGGACATTACAGGTACTATTAATTTCGTCTCGATTTATCGGACTTACTAATATACGAACATGCATATGTCTACATGGATGGGAGTAAATTAAGTTGAATTTGAATTTGGAGTTGCGAATTGCTTCGCTTACCCTAGGGATTTCCGGTTCCGGTAGAAGACATGTATCAGTGAGTTTGATCAAAGCAGGACAGCGTAGGTGTCTGCTCGGGCAGGAGTACATACATGCTACATACTGTATGTAGTTAAAGCGTGTCTATGCATGTGACAGACTAAAGTACTCCATATTGCGTACTCCATAATCATATGTACGTACAGCGTACATGTGCTGCAAACAATGCACTATCTATACGTTACTCAATGCAAGGTACTTTGTGTGGGTCTGGGTATAAAGATAATATTATTTGCGGAGAGGGGTAACATAATCACCGAAAGGGAAAGAAAGTAGTATCGACATCGGGCTAAGGGAAGGGATGGGATGGGGAAAAGTACGCTGCTACCATGACAGATTGGGTTTCAGAGGAAAGATGAGGCTGGATGCTTGGGTGGTAATCATGACCACTGTGGTGGTGGTGATGGTGATAGTGCGGGTGAGGGTGGTAGAGATGGCACAGGGATTAATCACGATAGTTAGGGGCCTGTGTCCCCCGATCTGGGATACGAGTGGAGGGAGGTGACCGGCTAAGAAATCGAAAAGGAATCCTCCTAGCCTTGCTTCAGCTCGGTCCAAAACGCCATCGTCATCTGATGGGACGGCGCGGGTGAGATCGTAGAGCTATACCAGGTACATAGTCTGGCGGTTCAGTGCGGGTTGTACTTGTCCTTCCAGATCCTGTTCGGCAAGCAATATCATGTCAGCCTAATTCCTCGAATCCCGCGGGTTGGTGGCTTGAGGCTGTGGTTGGTGGAGAGCGTGACGCTGGTTTGCATGGCGCAGGGTGCGGAAACTCCGAGCGCCTATCAATGCATCCGCATCCATGACCTCCAAGCGTAACGCCTGCAGGTGAGAACAGGGTGCACGGCGCTGGCGTCGAGGCAGCCCTCGTCACATTCGCAATGAAGAGTCCAAGAATGGGCATCAAACAATCGGATGCGAGACTGAAAACGGAGATTTTGACGTACCAGGAATTTCCCATTAATTTGTGTCCCTTCTCCTCGGCCAATCGGTAGTATTTGGCGGCCGCAAACTAAAACATGGCGGGCACGAGTCAGTCAACTGCACAGCCGGATGATCAGATAGCATCGCCGGATCCAAACAGTGATGCGGGCCTCAAGCATTGATGCCCGAGGACCAGGGCGGATCACGTCGAGATAATCGTCTCCAGGGTGTGAGCCATTACGCAATCAGCACTAACCTTGTCCTTCTTCCCTCCAAACCCTTCTAGGTAGCACCAAGCAACTTCGTTCATCGCGTCGGTATCGCCTAGGTTGGCCGCCGTTTCGTAGTATTGGCGCGCCGCGACGGTGTCTTTCTTGACACCCCAGCCGTTACGGAAGCAGTTCGCCAGTTCGTATATGGCTAGAACCAACTCTCCCTTAGCCGACCCGCCCTTCTTGAGGCCGGCCTGGAGCGCCTGGGACTCGATCGATGCCGAGTTGGATGCTGCGGCCGAAAGGTACATAACGGCTCTATCGGGGTCTAACGAGCATCCCCAACCATGTCTATATCCCACCCAAGTCAGCATCATATAGCAGTAGTGCCCATCAACGTGCAGCCCGCGATAAGGGTCAAGCGTAAATGAAGGCCAACAAAGGTACGGTGGTATCTCACCGGAGTGCCAGTCCATAGAGCACCTGGCTGAGCGCATTGTTGGCACCGTTGGGATCCGCCAGCTGCTCAAACATCTTTGTTGACCGGTCTAGATCTGTACGCCAGATGTAAGCGACTGAACAAACAGACCACCACTCTCCGCGTTATGCCCATACCTCCAGCTTCGTGAAGTCGAATCGCCTCTTGGATATTGATCTAGGCCCGATTAGATGCCATGCGACACCATTGCGACATCCGACCACTTACATCCTCTCCTGGACCGTTTATCCCACTCTGACTAGAACTGCGCGACCTGGAGGATGCACCATCCAATCCGAAGCCTGTCGGCGAGGTAGGCGACAGACACGAAGCCCCGAGTTGCGGGGTGCGCTGCACCAGCACCGTTGCCCTCCTCTCCCATTGTGCCTCCCTGTCTTGTTCATCGCCTCTATCATTGTTGATCTGCGGAAGGTCGGACGGCACATTGACCGACGACGAGCTGGAGTTCCGCGAGCCCGAGCGATCCAGATGCAGCAGGTGCGTCAACCGTCTTTCTCCACGCGGACGTGTTGGCGAGCTCGTACCCGACGACTCCGATGGTGCACGCGATCGACGGAATGGGTTTAATGACTTGCGGTGCGAAGGGGAAGGAGGGACTGGGTCTAGATATCGATTGTCGGGGTGATCGTCATCTCCGTCGAAGACGGGTGGACGGATGACTTCGTGGGTATTCGTATCGGTCCGGATAAAGGTAATTTGAGGAACGGTGCTCACAGAGGTTGTAGGGATCGCGTCTGCGGCATATTGGGCCGCCGAGTTGTTGAGGGCGTCCTTCTTGTGAAGTATTTCGCGGAGCGGCATCGTTGCGCAGCGGCTTATCGCGGAGGGAGTGGATACTCGGCGCCTCGCTCGGATACAATGGAGGAATGGGGGGATAAGAGGGAAAATGAGAACTGACAAATTTTGGACAAGATGTGTGATTTAAAGGATTGAACCCCTCAGCCTTATGGTCTGACTGTGGCAAGGTACGAACGTTGCGTCGAGGCTGTGAACTTTGTTTGATGATGAGTGCCTGTCATGGTTATTTTTATCGGACTTAATTCGCAGCCAAACCGTGGTCTGGGCTGCGTCTTGGCCTTCGCGGCGGCAATTTCTTCATCTCGTCATGTCACACATAAAGACTCCAGCTTCGGCCCCTGGCGGTTTGGGCTGATGCCGCGAGACGATCGTTGTAATTGATGGCGCTGGGCGTCGTGGTTGCTCCACACAAGACCCCTGGTCATTAATTATAAATAAAGTCCCTCCCCGACGGCCTTTGTGGCCGCTGGTCCATCTGATGATCTGACCGTTTCCAGCCGGGTTAGATGAAAGACGATGCGGATGGCCATAACAAAGAAACTTGAAGCTCCTCAGCAGGCGAGTTGTCGGTCAATTCTGCACGGCAGCCTCAGGTACCGACTCCAGAGTCCAACTTCGGTGTTGGCCCCGTGGAGGCATCATATAAATTTGCATTCCACGTTCCCCCCCATCAAGGGCACAACCCACGATTAGTTCCTGATGTCACATTATCATCCACTGAACATTCGAGCGGTAGGTGTACAATCTCGAGCTAGTAGATGAAGAGCCTTCAAAGTCAAGAGCGTCAAAAATGGCATAAATCTACAGCTTCCGGGTAGCTACAGATGTCCCCAAGGCGCAATGGCGGTTGACAATTGGCCGATTTGGAGCTCTACTGGGATGGAAACGGGCAGGGAAGACATAAACTGCCGATTCACCCTTCCTTTTAACTGACCACTTTGGTATTGGTATGTCTAATGACAACAGAAAAGATCTTTAATTTGTACATAGGCTGGCGGTGAGGCTATTCATGCAAGTCCATTTACTGGGCCTTAGAGGACATGATGCCTAGAATGCATCGTAAGTATCGGGTCATAGAACAGGCCGGGAGGAGTTAACTTACGCTCAACATCGGCAACGCTCTGCTGAAGGATCTGCTGGAGAACCTTGGGGTTCTCAAGCTCCTTCTGGATCTTGCCAATGACGCTCTCGGCAAGCTCGCGCTGCTGGCGCTGCTTGACCTGGCCCTCGTAGCGAACCCAGGAGTCGAGAACCTGCTTAGCCTCGGTGGCCAGAGCAGTGCGCTGCTCGAGCTCGTAGGCCTGGGCCTCAAGCTGGGCGGTTTCCTTTTGACAACTATTAGCACCCTGCATCCGCTAACTCGACCAGACATCGATCAGATGGCTCTAGGAGGATCTGGGTGTACCTTGGAAACAGCGAAGAGCTGCTTGGTGAGCTCAACAACGCTGGACAGCTCCTGGACGTTCTCCATACGCTGCTTGACGGCGTTGGTGTGGTCGGCACGGGCAGCGTTCAGGATGTCCTTGTGCTTCTGGACCTGACCCTCAGCCCACTCACGGTAGGCAGGGCCACCGTACTTGGCAACGGCAGTGAAGACGCTGAGAAGGCAGAAAGCAGCAACGGTTTCCTCGTTCATAACATAGAGCTCGTTGCTGATGGCGGCGATGGAGAGACCGGCGGCGGCAGAGAGGACGGCGGTCTTGGAGACCAGGGAGTTGCCGGGGAGAGCATCGATGATGGACTGAGCCTTCTTCTTGGGATCCTCGGTGGGGACGCTGGAGTTCGAGCGAGACGCGGTCAAGCTGGCAGTGATGGAAGCGACATTGCGCGTGGGAAGGGTCGGGCGGAGCCGGGTAGCACCTAGAGAGGGTTAATAAGCATAGCCAGGTGATAAAGCATGTTGAGAAGAGCCTGGTTCGGCATACCAAGGGCGCTCTTAGCCAAACGCGAAGCCATTGTAGCGGAGTTAAGACCTTGACAGGATGTGATGGATGAACGGAAATGAGGAGACTGAGGTCGGGATGGCGGTTGGGACGGTGCGGAAGACCCTAGCTCCTTCCGGCCTAGTGCCGTGAGCGGAAAAACCGCTAACCGAGGGATCTCCAAAAATTCATGGTCCATGTCGGAACTGCTGCGCCTGCTGCCGGTCCTGTGTCCTCGATTCCACGCCATCTCCGCCCTCTAATCACCATGCCGGCCCCTACAGTTGCAGCCGCAACCTCCAAGAAGAGGAAAAATGTCAAATCGAGCGGCGTTCCCTCGTCCAAGCGTCGTGCAGTCGCCGAGAGCGACGGCGCGGTTGCCATGGCCGATATCCAGCAGCTGGAGGACCAGATTTCCGAGTCGCGCAAACACTACAATAATATCGCAACCCTGATCTCGATGCTCAATGCCGACGGCTCGACGAAACCCAATATGGCCGTCGCGGTCGCCCTTTGCCGGGTTTTCAGCCGATTGATCGCGGGAGGTAACATGACGGAGACGAGCCGGGCCGCAGAAAATGAGAAAATCATTGTAGCTTGGTTGAAGGAACGTTGTCGGGAGTACCAGAAGCTCTTGCTCTCCATCATTCGCCAGTGTGACTCCTCCTCTCAGGTCCGTATCTCCTTCACTCGTCATGTCCAAGAGATACTAACATCTACCAGATCAGTGCCTTGACCTTGTGCCTATGCCTTATCAACGAACGTGCTACACACATTTCCGGCGACGATGTTCAGGACTGGTCATCGGGTTTGTTCAAGGGTGTCTTCGAGGCTGTTGTTGAGGCTAGGGATGGACAATCGGTCCTGTCCGACTTTATCGAAAAGGCGAAAGAATTCGAGGATGTGCGATACTACACTTTCATGCAGCTCGCGTACGTCCCACTCTCAAAGGGAAAATATCTCTCCCCGGCACTGACGAACGGAATAGTGACTACGCGGACACCGAGCGGAGTACTGAAATTATAGACGCCCTGATTTCCATACTATCGGCCTTCGACTCAGTACCAGGCCCCGAGCACGAATTCGAAAGCTTCTATACCCAGTCCAGCAAGAAGAACAAGAAGGTGCTCTCCGTCAACTCACATAAGAAGCGGGCTCAAGACGCATGGCTGGCCATTCTGCGGAACAATCTTTCCCAATCGCAACGGAAGACCCTCCTCCGCATCATGGTTCACAACATCGAGCCGTGGTTCAACCGACCAGAACTGCTTATGGACTTCCTGACGGATTCCTACAACGTCGGGGCGCAACCTCCCTCCTCGCCCTCTCGGGACTTTTCTACCTCATCCAGGAGAAGAACCTGGACTACCCTCAATTCTACCAAAGGCTCTACTCGCTCCTCGACGCCGACCTGCTCCACTCTAAGCACCGCTCCCGCTTCTTCCGTTTGATGAACACCTTCCTCGCCTCGACTCACTTGCCCGCCGCCCTGATTGCAAGCTTCATGAAACGTCTTTCCCGCCTCTCCCTCAACGCGCCCCCTGCAGCAATCGTGGCGATCGTTCCCTTCATGTACAACCTCCTGAAAGAACACCCCACCTGTGCTTTCATGATGCACCGCACCATCCGCGACGAAGATACCAAAGCCCAGCTGGAAGCAGAGGGCATGGACGATCCCTTTGACGCCACGGAGCCCGATCCCACCCGCACAAAAGCCATTGAGAGCAGTTTATGGGAAATCGAGACTCTTCAGTCACACTATCATCCCAACGTGGCTGCTATTGCGCGCATTATATCCGAGCAGTTCACCAAGCAGTTCTACAACCTGGAGGACTTCCTGGACTACACATACCAGGGTATGTTGCAAGCGGAGCTGGGCACAGAGGACAAGCCGTTCAAGAGGACACCGGTTGTGGAATACCAAATCCCCCGGCGGATATTTACGGATCGTTTGTTGGAAGAGGATGGTGGCCAGGACTCGGGTCCTGGAAGTCTCATCAGAGGACTATGGGATTTTGCATCATGATGAGAGAGTATATATTCTACGGCTGTGCTTTTAGACTTGTTACTTCTTAGCGTACTTAATTAGATTTGGCGGGATACGGATGGTTATCAGGGTGGTTAAAAGTTGTCTGCCTTCTCGAAAGAAAGAATCATAGTATTTGCGGTCTAATCTATCGAAACAATAATATCGTGGGTCACCCTGAACTTGGTGAGAGGCCGCTGTTGGAGATGATCAAATCTATCCAGGACCGTAACTGAAGTTCTGTATCGAGATCCAGACCCGATCTACCTGTGGTGTGCAGCATGGTGTGCATGGTGTGCATGATGATTATGACTGCGAGAATCATGCTCGGTATGCGCCCAGTCCCCAACATACTCCGACCAGTCTGTATTGATATCCGTATATGCGGATGAAGAAGGCATATACGCACCAGCAGCCGCAGATTCGTTCCACGGCTGCGTGCGCGGGACATACGGCGAGACCTCCACTATCCTTGTGGGCCGCAATGCCTCGCGCTCATGTTCCTCGGCCACCGGATCTCCTGGGTGATAGTCGCAGAACACATCCAAAGCGAAGACTCCGCGCTTCAGATCATCGAAAAGCTCATCGGTAACTTTGACTGGAATTGATTCGATAGTGGCCCGCAGTTTATTCAGTATAGCCTGTGCCTTCTTTCGCCTCCGTCTTCGACGTGCACTGACTTCATCCTCCATTCGCTCAAGGTAATGGAGAATGTCTCTCTCGGTCGTCGCATATGTGACAACATGTTGCATTCTTCGTGTGAGTTGATGAAGATCGCCGGAGACTGCGCGGAAAAGTGCATCGATTCTGGCTAATGCGCTGGTCACTCGAGATGACAGTACACGAGAGAAAGGCCGGTCATAGATCTGGTCCCAGAAGCCCAGCCAGTAATGCAGACCGGTTCGGGATTTGCTGAGTCGGGTTATTTCGAGGCTAGCAATCACGTTGCGACAAAGCGATAGCGTATGTAGGGCGGTCCTTCGTGTGTCCTCAAGCAATAGTTGACGGCGGACTGCAGCTGATTCAGCTAGAGTATGATCCGGAAATTCGGCCGTCTCGGGTCGGTTCTCGCATTCTAATGAGCGATAGAACCGTTGCGACACGCTATTGTCTGTTGATCCTGTGCTCGACGGTGTTGTCTCGGACTCGCACACAAGCGAAGAAGGCGCACTTCGTTTGGGAGCAACAGGCAAGTTTGCATGCAACATTCCCATGAGAAAATTCAGCATCAAAGAAGCTCCTGTGTGGAAAAGGAAAATGATTCAGTCTGTGGTGTCGGAAACGCGGATAGCTGACGATGAAGGAAGCCTCAAATGAGTGTGATGTTAACGAGCGACTTGACAGTCTATGTCATTTGCTAGGAATAAGACGGCGTTATAATTACGGTTTTATGACTGGAAAAGCGAATGTAGATGGGAGAGTGAACAAGTCAAGTCGGGGGGTTCTTCAGTTTGGGTTCTTCAGATGCTTTTCTTGCCCGGTGGATGGATCCATATCTACAAGGAAGGAACGAGCCTATCCATCAAGCGCTAGGGTGAAAGCAACAGTAACTTCGCCGAAGAACTCTGAATGCAACCGGATCCCGCCATGCAAGACTGTCTTATCGTGGGCCAGTCTATGCCGACAAGCCGTTTAAGTTGTAGGTTATCGGCGTGGAGACGGACGAAGCTCATCGCATTTCCGCTTTCGGTAGTCGACAATCTGGACCGAGTGTCACCGTTGCGATCCTCGCGGAACTCCAACACCACTGCGGTCCGGCTTTGATATTTTTGGAAACCGAGAACTCGGATTTTGTCCTACGGGATCGGACACTAGCAGGGCGTTCCTCATCAAGATATCGTGGAACCATGGATTCAAGGCCCAAACCAGGCCGACCGGACGATTGTCCTAACGTCATGTCAGGACTCCTCGGCACGCGGTTGAAGAAAGCTATGGAGTATGAATGATGTTCCATCAGACTACTCCGTATGCCCTACACACTTCGTCTTGCCCCTTGGCTTCTGCCCCTTGCAGATCCACCCACCACGCGAAGCCAAATTCTCCCCTGTGGATGACAAGACAGGATAGTGTAACTTGTGGCTGGTTGTGCCCTAGCTGACATCTAGAGCATTTCCTGGGGAATCATGGCATTAAGGATGAGGAAAATCGCAAGGTATGCAGAGTCGCATCATAACTGTCTCTCGCTTGTGCAGCACACTGCTCAAATGGCCAATTCAATTGACATGAATTGAATGCTATGAGAGGCCCCCCGTACCTGAATGTTTCAGGGACTTCCATACTTGACACCACGAAGTTAAATGTTCGCTCCTCGCAGCCATCTTCCTGGTACGTTTGGGGCATCTCGATAGATACCTTATAACCCTGCTACACTTTTGCTATTCCCATGACGCCAACTTGAGGAAACTTAACTGGGCTGTCACAGTCCTACCCCTTGGCAAAGGCGCGGGGAGAATGTAGAATCCCCAGGTACTCTTTGGACTACATTCCTGCACCCGACCCTACGCCAGTCATGAGCAAACTGTTAGGAATGCCGAAGCCTGAGCCCGGCATGTTGGTCGCGCCTGTTTCCTGGCATGCAATCAAACCAGCTGGTAAACAAGGCACTGGTAGAAAGGAAATAAATGTCTACCATCCAGCCCAGGTGTTCAACCTCTTCTTGATGCTTTTCTCCGTACAAACCGCGCCGGTCTGTCGACAATTTGGGAAGTAGCTCTGTCCGGCCAAGGTACGTATCGACTATTGTGACTTGTTACTGACTAGGGAAGAGGCGTACCTCAAGCTTGTGGGGATCCAAAGTGGGACTATACAATATAAAGAGTTAGCTGGATATCTGGGGCAACTCCACCAACACCGAGTCTCACCTGCAAACATCCATTTCACGCAACAATGCGCTTCTCAAAGTCAATCCTTGCGATATCGGCTTGCCTGGCCCAAGTCAAAATTGCCCAGGCAGCATTGGCTTTCACGCAATGGCCGGCTGTCATTGAGACCGGCGTCTCTACCACATTGAACTGGGACAGTGATTCTGATGCGGTATGCTTTACTCGGTATCCCGTACTTACTTTCATGGACAGCTTGCTGATGACGCCTCTAGCCTGCCACGATCACGTTGCGCAAAGGCGCTGCAGAGGACCTCGATACTGTCAAAGTCTTGACCAAGGATGCCAAAGGGGGCTCTTACACATGGACACCCGATGCCACTCTGGATGGAGGTTCCGACTATGCCTTCCAGATTCAACAGGACGGCCAGGTTAACTACTCGGGACTTGTGACTGTCGGAAATGCCTCGAACTCAACTACATCAGCGACAACGGCAAAACCAAGTACAACCACTCTTGCGACCCAGACACAGACACAGACACAGACCACCCCCAGTCCCACTCTCACCGATACTGCCCCTCGAGACGAAGTCAACAGTGTTACAGCTGGCAACAATGCGACGACCAACCTCACTCTTAATGCCAACCATGATAATTCCAATGTGACCAACAGCAAGAGTGCCATGGCGGCGGCAATGCAGAATGGTGGCGCGCCGTTCCAAATCATTTCGCTTGACCTGGTACTTGGCATGGTGGCTATGGGATTCTATCTTGCTTGTTGAATCCGACAAGTAATGATTCTGGAGGTACAAAAACAACCATGATATCATGCAGCAGTGTTTGACGGTCCTTTTTGGTCGATTCTTATGTGACGGGATGCTGGCGATATTGTCTCATCATAACGATCACACCTTCTCTTCGTATTCGGTTTCCCTATTGAAACCTTCTGACGTGACTTTTCCTTTGTCTCGCGACACTCCTTTGGTGGTTCTCAGGCTTTCCTTTGTGTATATAATGTGATTTCATAGGTCGTGGGGCTTTTCTTGGGCCAAAACGGGCAAGGCCCGGGATTCGGGAATGGATTCCCGGCGCTGCTTCGTGGAGATGCTGCTTCTTGCTCAGCAGATTTTAATGTCATCGGTAGCAAACAATGAATGAATGAGTCAATTACGTCATGCTATGCTCCCAAAATGCAATCCGATATTAATGCCAGAGACGGGTGGTTCGCATCGCGAACGGGACTACATGGAGTGAGGCTGGATTGTTTCAGGTGGATGATCCATGGGGTAGCGAGTCGAGGGGATTGGATCCCGTCTAGCGGCCGTGGTTAGTGGCGGCAGTCCCAGTCTGGTGGCTGCCATTTGCTATTATTATTCATGCTGGCCGTGACAGGCCGACACCTCACATTGCTGGTCCGGATTTATGGGCATCAGTCTTTGCTGCCCATCGGTCCTGGCTGCATCTAAAAGCGGGCGGTTTCTCGTCGTTCGGTATCTGACTTTCTCTCGACTGACATTCCCCTCAGTCCCTTTGTGCCTGGCAACCATTACCCCTCTCTTATCGGGTGCCTGATATATATAATCCCCACCCCTTTCTCTGTGCAACTTACGAGATTCACCCCGTTGAACTGGTGAATGGTTCGTGCTGGAGTCTAACGCGTATCGCGGGTAAATCAGGTGCGTTGAGAAATCCATGCCTCCATTGTCTGCTTGTTTCGGCATTTCGCCGCTCCTTCTCTGCATCATTTCAGTTCTCTTCCACCGCAACCCGGCAATTTTTTTTTTCATGTCTCGGCGATGAATAAGCACCAGTCTACTTATAATAATAATATTCTTGCTGCAGATCTCCTGCAATCAAGCCTTGATCCACTCAGTGGTATGTGCTTTTTTCTCCCCTTCTTCTGTGTCATTTCGTGCCCTTCCATGCATTCCCATCATCTGGCACTTTCCCCAACTTCCCAAAGTCAAATTCCTCTTCGTTCAACCCTGGGAATCAAGAACTCTGCGGGCGCACCATCATCGGCTTGAAGTTGCGCGGGGGGTTGCCTGCAGTCATTGGCTTGTTTGTCAAATTGAGTTGCGTGCTCCTTGCGGCGGCTCACGGGGTGGCTTCCTACGTGGTCTTCCTTCCTCCCTCAGGGAGTAGATAGGTAGCGCTGCCTGGATACCTGCGCCGTTCCCTTCATTGCCGCATTGCCATTTGCGGCCGATTTGCCTCCCTCCAGCATTCCAAGATTATTATCCGCTCTGCTCGGAATGGCCCGATTCGGTCGGGTCAAGAAGTCCCCTCAGGCAGGAACAAAAAATGCTGACCCGGATATGCTTGTGCTACCTACGTCAGATCCTCAACAAGCCCCTCGTGTGAGCCTACCCCATGTGGAGACGCAATTGAATATGCATCAATATAATGGCTTGTTTGAGATTGGCTCCTCGGAGCGACAGAAGGCGTCCGCGGCCGAGGAGTCGTCGATGGGTAAGTTTGCTCCGCACCCTCTCCAATCCAATAGATCTCTCTCCTTTGATATCCTTGAAACCTAGCTGATTTGTATGCATGGTCATAGAACCCGTAACTGCTCCCGCCTCGAACGGCTCGAACGGCACGAACGGCGTCCATAATCCGACAACGAGCGATGTTCCGGCAACCGAATGGTCCTCCGCCGTCGGCCACGCAGCAACGGGGAAATCGGGTCGTGTCATCCACAATCTGCAAGAGGAAGTTGCGCGCCTGACTCGCGATTGCAGCGTCTATCGCTCGCGGGCCGAGGAAACTCAGCGGATGAACGATGCGTTCAAAATCCAGGTTCAGAACATGACCGAGCGGCTCCGGAATCTCGAACAGGCGAATGAAACCAACTTGCACTCCATCTCACGGAAGGACAAGAAGATCGACGAGCTGCGCGCAGAAGTTCAAACCGAGAGAGACCGGAGATCTCAGATCGAGGGAGAGACTCGGAAAACTACCCAGTTGATGGATAAGGCTCGGGATGATTTTAACCGGAAGTGCGCCGAGTTGCAGGAAATCTCTCACCATTCCCAAACGCAATATGATGTGCTGGCTAAGACCGGGCAACGGGAACGGGCGGAGCACCTGAAGAAACTCAAGTTGCTCAGGGATGATTTTGTGGCTCTGAAAAAACGGAGCGATGAGAAAGACCTCCACGTGAAGCGCTTGGACGCACTGATGGCCGAAAAGGACCGCGAGCTTGAGACAAGCCGAGAGAAGTTCGAGACCCTCTTCGCCGACTATGAAGCCTACAAGCGAGCACAGGACGAAGAAGTGAGGTCGCTGATTGAAAGCGGCCGTGAGGGCGAGGCTAAGATCAACGCCGCTCTCGCTTCGTTGCAGGAGACTCAGGGGCAGATGAAATGGGCCATTCAAGTGAAACAGGAAATCAAAGACGCCCAATAAATGCAACAGCCCCGGCCCATGATGATACTAATAAACGTTTCTGGCAGGTCTTTGACTAAGCAGAGGACGCCCTTGAGCTACCCACGCAGTTTCGGTTCAATGGCCGGTACATTGATCTGGCTTATCCAATCTCGCCCTCACCACCTTTGTCCGTTCTCTTTGCCTCCAATTCGGAGAATATTGGTTTCGCCTGTGCCTTGTTGAGTGACGACCGTAAGGCTCAGCTCTGGGACTTTTTTTCATTCTTGTAATTTTTCTTTTCTTTCTTTTCACACTTTTCTCATATCTTTCATTTGAGTTGCCTTGCCCCTCCTTCTCCTTCCCTTCCATTCAATTTCCTCTCTTGTCATACCATATTCACACTCTCCAGTAAATCTCTGGCAGAGATCTGGAGTTTGGGATTGTTCGATACCCCGGAAGAATAGACCATCATGTCGCTGCTTGTCAACCTGTGTTTAAAATATTAAGATGACCAAAACGGCTGTACCCATATAGATAGGCTTTTTTTGCATGGAAATGCAAAAATACAATAATACAAACTGATCTCTCGAAGCCACGGAACTCTGCTGTGGAAGGGCTGGGGGTCTCCGATGACGCGGTGGCCTGGCCCCTCCTTCCTCCGCCTTGATACTCTGCCTGTATCGGGCAATTCACGTTACATTGCTTGCTATCCAGTCACAGCTACTCTCAATTAACTAGGGGAGGGGGCAGTGTCGACTATTCCCCTGTTGACACATTGATCTTGACGACAGGGGGTTGCAATGGCACCTAGAGCCTTCTGGTGGCGTCCACTGGCCTTTCCAGCTCATCTGCATACACCCGCCATCTGTTTGTTCCGCAGCCTGCTGTTATTCCCTCAGGCTTTTACCTAGTGTTACTGATAGTATTAGACATTCACCTTGACTCTTACTTTCCCGTGTCTCCTTGCCAGAGAAATTAACTGACAACCCGTTTCCCCGCCACCTTTCACCAGCTCTTTCTTCTTCCCTCACCTTCCTTCCTTCCTTCCTCTCTACTCTGCCTGCTTTTCCTCCCTTTCTTCTTCCTAGCTAAACATAAGCAAGTATCGATAGTCATCTTATTGACCAGCTTATAACTCTCAGCTCTCTTTCATCTATCTTCTCTCTTTTCTATTCAGCAGGTTCGGTCACGACTGAGAACCCACTGAAAACCCCACTTCCAGCAGGTGTCTGCCTGGCCTCTACCGTGAGGTCAATTTTAATGATGTTGGGCAAACAGCGGGTCACACTCGCATCGATGTGGGCGTTTGAAGACGTTGGCGTGAGTCATAACCTGTGCTGTAGATGGGAGTTCTCTGTTAACAAAATGTAATGCAGGTTCAAGAGGTTACGGACGCAATCAAGTATGCACTCCATCGATTTTTGTCTGTTCGTTGGTTCTGACAGCTATAGGAAATCCAACCCTCACATCGATCTTGAATGTCACTATCATAGCTCTGATAACGTGAGTTAGCAACCAAGTTTACTTATCTTGCCATACTAATAGAATGACGGTGTCTAGGTCCTTGAGGTAGCTGGTAACCTAGAAGGATGTCCGTCACAGATTGCGAACACTGTTTCAGGGTTCATCGACAGTCAGAGGAATAAGGATCTACTGGATGTATGTTTAAAGATATATTTCTTCCCTATTTTCATGACTTGTTCTAATCTGCACATAAATGCTAATGAACGAAAATTCAGATGCCCCGAATCAACCAGCTAGATCACTCTCCCAAGATTCAGGATGACGAAAAGCCTGGTTCAGACCAAGGCGATGATGGTGGTCTCTTGGCTTTGGGGGACACCTCAGATGAGGACCTGGTCCCCAATCCGGTTGTGGTCACCAAGTTCTGGGTATCGCCCACCGGGGGGGCTGGTTGCTTCTCGGAGAACCGTTTCCATGAGTTTGTCGCACAGGTGGCGGATTTGACTGGGACTGCTATTACTCTTGTTGAGGAATGCAAGGTTCAAGTGACTGGGAAGTCATCCGAGGACGTTGAGGATGCGTTGGTGAAGCTCTCTCGGATTGAAAGACCCTTGGTAAGTTTCTCGCCTTATCAAGTCTCTACCCTTTGGCTGACATGTGAAACAGAGCTTCATTGTCAGTCCGCATGTGGCGAACATCAACGCTACTCCGGGTGACGACCGCATCCGTCTCCGACTGCAGGGCTACAGCAGCCTTAACTGCGTAGCTCTTGGCCGAATTCTGGCCGATCCGAGCTCGACTTTGAGCTCGGACTTCGGTCAGATGTTCGTCACTGTCCTGCTTTCCTTTGACGAAGAGGCCCAGTCTTTCAAAGCACCCAAAAATCTTCTAAACCCTCCACATGTGACCGAGGGGCCCGGGAGATCTCGTATCTGGAATGGCTTCACCTTCCAAGGGATTGGGAAAGGCGATGAGTATATTGCCATGGATAAATCCGACGAGCGTGCTACAGGAAAATCCCAACCCATAGCTTCCAGTCTCTCGGCTCCTCATCCTTACTTGACCGCTGAAAAAGCAAAACAAGTGAACCAGTGGGTTGTTGAGGGCGTCGAACCGGAACAAACTATCTCTGCACCTGAGGCGGAGTCCAAACCCCTTCCACAACTTGACTCTGCACCTACTCAAACCCCCGATCTAGCCCCACCTCCTAAGAGGCCGCCTGGTATCAAAGGTCGCCGGCCCATGCCATCAGACAAGGACCAACCAATGACAACCCGCGAGCGAGAAGAGGCCAAATCTGAACCGGAGATGACTCAAGCGCCGGCGCCCAAAGATAAAACCCCTGAACGGGCGATAGCTCAAGCACCTGAAATTGAAGAGGACGCCCCGAAACCTCGTCGGAAGTGGAGGATGATCTACAATGCCGAGGCTAGCACCACAGGCCAACAGGCAGCAGACCCGGTTGCTGAGGCACCTGCATCACAGAGCTTATCGAGCCCATTGAAGGGCGCGCCTAATAGTTCTCATCCCATGGTATCTGAAGAGAAGGCGTGCCTACCTCCAACCTTCGACACCTCCAAGTATCGTCTCAACAGCAGTGTCCCTCAGACTACGAAGGGCACATGGGGCAACTCCCAAGGCTGGCGAACAAATCCAAAGCCAGTATGGACACCCGAAAAGAAGCATAGCAAACGAAAGGCACTCGTTGAAGTACTTGAGCCGAGAACAACCGGAAGCACCAGCACTCATCACGTGCTTTCTTTCCATCGTCCTGCTTTAGTTCCAACGAACCCAATCTCTAACAGCATTGAAGTCTCGCCACACCCGACAGATGACTCGGTTGTCCATGGCATCAGTAACAATTCTCTGGATCTCGCCGGTCTAACCTTCGAAGACCCCATCATTCCATTGGAGCTTAGTAGTTCGGTATCTGTTCGAGGAGCGACTTCGTCCAGCAATGACAGAGCGTCTTTTCCTGGTGATGGCGGGGATACTTCGCCCGGCAATGACAAAGTGGCTTCTTCCGGCGACGGCAGCGACTCTTCGCCCAGCAGCGACAGAGAGCTTTCTTCTGAGAATGACAGAGTGGTAGCTTCCGATAATGGCAAGGAAACCTCGCTTAGCAATGGCAGAACGGCCTTTCCCAGTAATGACAGGGTCATTGCTCTTCACAACAACAGGAATATGTCTTCGGGTAATGCAGGAGCGATGTCAACCAGCAGTGCGAGCATCCCTGAGCAGACAGAAAGACTAGCTTCTTTGAGCAAAGTCTTCAAGGAGAGTGACGACGATGGTAGACCCCTGGTTGTGGCAGGGGCTTACAGTACTGCACCAGGGCTGCGACAGACACAGGGAACCCTGGCTCGAGATAAAGCCATGGCGCTTGAGAGGGCCCACAGAACGGATAGACGCTCCGGGAATGAAGTTGTGACTCGGAACTTTCACCGCACTATGGCTCAAAAGGCTCCCAGGCCAAGTAACCAAGTGCAAAGCAAGGCAGTGAACAAGGCCAAGAAACAGGCGACGCTTGAAGATGCCTGGGGATGGGGAATACACAAGAAGAAGCCTGAGAAGAAGCAACCTGCCGAGGCTTCAGGAACTCAACCCTGTCCTGATCCCAAAGAGGACAAGCAAGCCACACCTATGGGTCAAGTCCAAACGAAACAGAAGTCTCAGATAGGCAAGGGCCTGGACAATGTCATGAATAATCGCTTGGATGAGGACATCAAGAACCTTTATGAAGCCTTCCGACCCACCCTAGAAGCTGCTGAATCCTTTCCAGGATCAATGTCATTGGAAGTGCAGATCGGGTTGCTCTTGATGCCAACCATCCCACAAATATGCAGCGAGCGCTTAATTTCTCCGAACGAATGGGTTAAGATCTTCCAGCCACGAAATGGCTTGGCCGCACCTACAACCAAGTTTATTAGCAGACTGACAACATCTGGTGCCGATGTTGACCATCTCGTCAACCTGAAGACCTCCAAAGCAGAAGGCAAACGCCCCCTGTTCGAGCAAGAATACGACGAATACAATGTGTCATATGAATATCATTGCCGAACGAAGACTGGTCAGTTGCTTGTCATTGTCATCGACGAGCAGGGGAATCATACAGTCAGGCACCCAATATCACCACTTGGGAGTGTGAACTTGCATTTCCCGGGACAGATATGGGATGCAATGGTGGCCATAAATTGTATCACTGAACATCAACCTGGTGCCAGTCCGGAATTTGAAGAAGCCGCCCAACATATGGTTGACCACCTCTGGATACCTGAAGACAGACCCCTGCTGTGCATCTTCACCCAGTTTTCGGACGGAAACAAAGTGACTGTCGAAAAGGTGTTCTTGAAACGCTGGACTAGACATAGATTCATTCGCTCCAATGAGGCTTCCCTCGATAGCATCCATTGCCCAAATAAGAGCACTTCCGATGTGAGATCACCGGCCAAAGCTGTCCAAGGAGCGAATGCGTCCGCGTCGGCCCGTTTGGATGAGACCAACCACAAGGTCCAAGGTAGCTCTACTAGCGAGAACCAAACCAACGAGGACCTATATTTGCAGATTTTGGAAGTGCAGGATCTGGTAATAGGGACCACCTCAGACGAACAAGCCGTCCGTGCCCGTGCGCTGCAACCACACGAGATGATCAGACGGGGGCGGCTCTGGTACGAAGCGTCGCTTATGAGCCCTGCTATCGAATCGATCTTGAAAAGCAACACTAATCTCGAAATCGGCGAACGTACGGACGACTGGTGCAGGGTTGACCTGTTTGGGAGGGACGCCGCTATTATAGGTGACAAACAAAAGTCCTTGGCATCAGATACACCAACCGGGCCTGTCGCCACGGCTATTGGGTGTGGTGGGCTTGGGGACCTCCTTCGTCTCGCCAGAGTAGTCGTTGGGAAAGCTGATGGGATTGGGTACTGGAACGAGGGGCCTGGCGCCGTCGTGGCCGAAGGAGCTCTCGTAGCGCAGCCTGCCCCCGCTTCGAAGGGCCTCGACTTCGATGAGCTCGAGAGCGTCAAGGAGATAGGTAGCGCTGGTCCACATAACGATATGACAGGCTTAGTGGCCCTGGGACAGCTTGAGAGTGAATTTTGGTGATGTTTCACAATTGCGGTGCCGCCCATTGTGTTATGTGCTTTCCGCAAATTGCCAGTCAATAATCAGGTTTGCTGTAACCTCGGTTTTTCTTCTCTTACTTTATCTACAATCTCAAGTTGTTCATAAAATGCGACCATTGTCTCTTTCTATGTTGCAAATAATCATCTAGGTAGTCTCAAACTGTAATGTCCCCATAAGACCAAGCTCGTTTTATGTTCGATGGGCAAAAAATCACAACAAAACCAACGTCAACACGTAGGTAAAATAGGAACAAAAATCAACGCACAATATACTCTCCCGAATCACTCATCCTGATCATCAGGGGCATCATCCACACCTCTCAACCACGCCCCACGAGCATCAACGGCCGCCTTCCGCACATCTCTCTTTGGATCATCCAGCACCATCCGCAAAGCACGAAGTACCTGGTTCTTGACAGGCAAGAGCGGAGAAAGCTTCCCAGCCTTAGCGATAGCCGGCGCATCAGGCGACGCGGGCGTTTGCGCAAGCAAGAACAGACATTTGAGGGCATCAACGCGCAGACGAGACCCATTGACGGCTCCCGTGGCCGGGGCGTGCTCGGCTGTCTTGAGTAAACGGGTCACGAGGCTCTGGACGTGTCCGCACTCTTCGATCACGGTAACGCCGTTGTCGCGGATGATGACGGCGAGGGTTTCGAGGGTTGCGGCGCGGATGGGTTGGGAGGGGGCAGTTTGGAGGTCGAGACTTTGCAGGAGGAGAGGGAGGAGGGTGGGGAGTTCGGGCATTACGAGGGTTGGGGGGATGGTGGAGAGGATTCCCGAGAGAGCTGTTAGGTGGGAGGGTTTGATGTGGGGTGGGGTTGGGGTGGAGGTGGAAGTGCCGGAGATGTTGACTTCGCGGATGCGGCTGGAGATGAGAGGGATGAGGGTGGTGAAGACGCGCTGTTTGGAGAGGAGGCGGATGTTGGCGAAGTTGGCCGTGGAGAGAACTTCGTCGTCCCGGAGGAGGAGGGCGAAGCCGCGGGCTGCGGTCGTGCTGGTTTCCTCGTCGGTGGAGGAGAGGAGTTTCAGGAGGGTGGTGAGGATTTGGGTCGTCTTGGGGGCGAGACGGAGGACAAGGGCCTTGGAGAGCCAGAAGATGGTCTTGATTTGGGAGGGGCTCAGTTTGGGGTCTTGAACGTCAGGGGGGAGAACACTGTCGAAGAGGGCGGTGGCAGTGTCTAGGTGTTCTTTCTCGAGGATTTTGTTGACATAAAGGGCGAGGTGGCGGAGGAAGGCGAGCTGGGTAGCGGGCTCGGTCTCGCTGATGCAGAGGCTTGTAAGAGTGATGAGGTCTTGGGAGATGAGAATGGGCGACTTTGGTGGCTCGTTGTAGAGGTCTCGTGGGAGACTTGCGAGAAGGTATGTCGAGAGGATCATTGTGCGACGGTGGTTGTCGCTCGGTGATGATGCTGTGGGTACCTGTTGGAAGCCGTCTTCTGAGGCGAATAGACTCAACGTGTTGAGTGAAACTTCCTTCTGCTTGCTTGTTGGGAGCGACTTGACAATAACATTGCACAGCCGTCCGAGTACATCGAGGACTGTAGCGTCAGTCAGGATGTTATTTGTAGCCTTGCCTGAAGCTGCTGCCGCTGCACTACGGCACAGGCCCACGACGATCTTGTCGTAGTAGAGTTCCAAGTTCGGGTCTTGGTCCAGTTTCCTTTGGTTCATGACATAGAGGATGGTCGAGAGAATGGCCCTGGGATAGTCCACGGAGCCGGGTTCCTCTTTCTGCAGCAGTATGCTCAACTTGCTGAGTAACCGCCGGACCAGAGTTTCGAAGACATCCTTCTCTACACTGATTTGAGCGAGACTCTCCAGGGTGGATATATACCCAGAGTCCGACCCGTCATCAGAGTCAGGAAGGGTGGCCACAAAAGCAGGGAAGGTTATGTCCAAGATCAGGCGGGGCTTGTACTTGGAGATTTCCGTCAAGGCAGCAATTGCTTCCTTCTTCAGGTCGTCACGACCAATAGATTCCTCCTTGAGGAGGATCTCGTCAAGGTATTGGACGAAAAGTCCAATTTCGTTGTCCTGGAAGTAGTTGCGCAAGGTGGACAAACGCAAAAAGCCCTTCAAGGCGGAGCTGCGGAATGAAACCTCCTCCTTAATAACACCCATCAGGGCTTGGCCGAAGATGTCCGAGAACTGGTCCTTAAACTCGAGCAATGGATTTCCGAGAGTGGATTCCGGGTCCCGCGATGCCCACTCACCAAATACTTGGATGGCGGAATCAAAGAGGACGCCCAGGGTATCCAATAGGGCTCTTTGCTTGGCAATTCCATCGGCTTCCTGGTAGATTGTCAACAGGGGTGCGACCACGGTCTGTACAACGAGCGTGAACGAAGCTGCAGAGGCAGCGGAAACAGAGCTGAGGATCTGCTGAGCAGGCTTCGCCTGCTTTTGCTGGGGCTCCCGTAATTGCTCGTTGCACTCCTTGGTAATGGGCCGCAAGTACAGGGCGAGAGGGAGTTGATCGGAGATCTGTGTGACACCTTCCGACAGCCGCTGCGCAATATTACTCAAGACCTGAAGAGAAAGCTCAGAGAGGAATTCCTCCTGTGCATTGAGAATCTCGAATTTCAGGGTCTCCCATATGGTGATTGAGTACTTGGACACAGTGTTGGGGTCATACAGCTTGACGCATGCAATCAAGGCGTTGAGTGCATCTTTCTGGGAGTTTATTAGTATCTAGAAAAAAAATTATGCTAGCCGATGCATACCTTGACATTTGGAGACGTCGAGTCAAGCTTATCGAGCAGGGAAGGGACGGCGTGCGGAGCAAATTGGCTGTTCGCCGAAATGCAATCCTGCAAGCGGTCCTTCAAATCCTGAGCGGTGATTCCATATGGGTCGTTCGGCGGGGGTCTAAAGGTAATAGGGAAGTAGTTGTAGACGGAGTCGAACAATTCCTACCAAGGTCAGTTATCAGGCACCCAATTCTAGACAGCGTGCAGACATACTTCAGCATGGTTGGACACATCCCATTCCACCATCACCACCTTGAGGATCGAGAACACCAGCATCAAATTGCGTGGGTCCTTCTCGCCCGTCATAAGGTTCACTATTCCAACCAGGGACTCATCGCCCATTTCATGAAGAGCTGGATCGGTCAATTCCCGAAGAGCAGCACCGGAGGAGGTATAGATTGGAACACACCGGCACGATGATTGATCATCATCTCATTCAGCAGCTGATAGACCTGAAATCTCTGGGACTGCGAGCGAGACTGTAATTCCTGGAAGCGGTCGAAAACACTGCACGAGTCAGCCCGGCACCACTCAACATCAACGCATAACTCAAACAACGGAAATTCATGTACTCACGCCAGAGCCACCTCTTCAGCCAATGCCTTATTGAACCGATCCAGCTTCTGCAATGTCTCCAACCCCGCGACAGCCCCTCCATCCTCAATCCGATCACAGAAGAAAGTAGTCAGGACCTGAATCTGTTGTCTCGACAAGAACTTCGGTGGCAGCGCCTTGATCACAGCCGTAAGGTACGAAACGGCTTTTCCGCGCAAGATCGGATCCTCATCGTTGATATATTCGCTCAGCGACTGCACGACCTCAATCAGGGTGACCTTCTTGCTCTCCACATCTTTCCCAGGCAGTTAACCCCAATACTCCCCAGCAAGCAACAAACGAATAAACATACCTTGAGCAATTTGTTCCGCGATCTGCTTAGCCTCCTGCTTATCATGGTCCACGACCAGCAGGAATGTCTGCAACGCCGACATCTTGGGCAGTCGACTTCCAGGTGAGGGGCAAAAGGAACGGACTCACTATCTCAAGTGCACCTCCGCGACCGGAACATGACGCCGTTTGTGGCCCGCCTGATTGCCCTTATCGATAGCTGTCACGTGCTCCCCGCAGCACGTGCCCTGACACTTCCATCTCCCGTTTGGGGTTGCGTCATCCCCGATCCGCTGACACGGCCGATCCCAGCAACTAGACAACTACCTGCCACAAAACGAACTATAAATCTAGATAGATATTTCCAAAAATGCTACCCCTCATACTCACAACAATATTTACTTTCATCCTAACCCTAACCCTTCTCACCACCCCATCTACAGCCATCGACTTCCCCCTCCGAAAACGTCTCCCCCGTCCCCTCGTCTCCGCACCACACTTACGCCACGAACTCCGTCTCCAAGATAACCCCGACATAAAGCAGTGGGTGTCTAACCAACACCCCATAATGGGCAGCAGCATGTCCAATACCAACAGCAACCAAAATCCCATTATCTCCGATGTGCTTCCTAAGAACCGCCTGATTAACATCTTCGCATCTTTGACCCGGCAGTTTGATTCCGTCGAGTCGAAGCTAAACGATTCTCACAGTAATGTGACGGTTCTGGCGCCGAGGAATAGTGCTATTCAGGAGTTGCCTCGCAAGCCGTGGGAGAACCCGGAGGATTATGAACGGTTTGGGGAGGCCGGGGCGTACGAAGGGGAGGATGGACAGGATAGGGCCAAAAAGAACTTGGAGAGGTTTGTGCAGGCCCACGTTGTGAAGGGGAGTCCTTGGGAAGAGGGGGAGGAGGGGGTGACGTTGGCTGGGGATAAGTTGACTTGGTCCAGGGAGGGAGATAAGATATATGTATGTTGTTTGTTTTGATGTGAATATGGGCTTGGAGGCTAACGTATTATAGATTCAACCGGGAAATGTCGAGGTGGATAGTATTGCGGAGCAGGTGTCGAATGGGGAGGTGTGGATTCTGAATGGGGTTATCAATTATCGTTAGGTTGTATGGTCCTAACGGGTTAGGGCGTACATATTCTGTGGTTTGCTTCTGATGATTTAATGATTGATGGATGTTTGCACAAGACCTTGCGGCAGAGGTTCGACTAATGATGGCGGCTGTGTCTTGACATTGTCATTTATGCGCTTATAATATATGTCATATTGGTGTACATCTGAACTTCGTCTAATTTTTCAGCAACGCCGAACGCAAACACAGCCATAGGTGAGCTTCTCAGCAGTCCCAAACCTAATAGCTTTTCTTGCCCGCGTAGTGGCGCAGAACCCTCTCCTCAACGCCATCCAGAATGCAAAAGTGCTCCATAACCTCCAGGTTCTCAGCCTCGCTCTGGTACAGCTTATCGGGATCCTGGCCTGGCTGGAAAGGGTTGATACCACCGGCAGGGTTCATCGAAGCCATCTGCTGAGCCATATGGCTGGCGGCTAAAACAAGTCTGTCAGTACAGATCCACCAGGTCAAACAGGCGTAAAGCCCACAAGCGCAATCAACTAACCATTATCACTGCCCAGAATAAACCCAAAGACAGACTGCAGACCAAACAAGTTCAAGAAATACCACGAAAGACTAGACACCCATCTCACGTCCAAGTCGCGGGTCATGACACCAGATTGCAGCATCGACTTGAACCGAATCGTAAGGGGGAAGGGCAATTTCACTAGCACACAACTTTTGTTAGCTCGCTGCCACCATCCCCGGAGACCCAGAATAACCTACAAATCACGAATCCCGAGAAGAAGGCGTTAATCCAGCTCATGATCAGAGTCTGCGGGATCATCATCATCATATTCCCCTTCATCATGCCCATCATAGCCTCCATGCCTGCAGGGTCCGTCATCGGGTTCGCGGGCGGCTGACCGCGATTAGCGGGGTCCTTAAGGAAAGCACCACTCTGGTAAGCAGAGACGAGGTAGTTCTTCCGCATCTCGAAGGACTCCTTGGAGAGCACGGCATGGCAGTTGTTCCGTAGGTTGACGCCGCGGATGAGACCGAGGCGTTCGCGGGATTCGGCCAACGTCGAGGCAGGCTTGGGGGGGTTGTTCATCAAGATGGTGGCATAGTGACGGAGGATACCGGTCAGGATCTATACACGAATAGTTAGGACCTTTTTCAACCCCCAATCATCCATGATAAGTCAGGTCGCATACCATGACAATTGTGATAGGAAACACAATCCAATAGCTGCACACATCAGTATTTCCCTTCAACCCAATCACCCTCTCAGGAGTACTCACAACAGAGCAGGGTCCCGAAGGATCGTCTGCTCAACCCCTTGCAAAGCCATGGTGAGCAGAATTGATTAATATTAGCTGCGACCTACCCCTCGAGTACGGTCCGGAGGCAGAGGAAGAGGACGGATGGAAGCTCCCCACGAAGTTGGACGGGGCGCGGGCTGACTTGCCTTGGCGCATGCCATGCCGCTTTAGCTTGCGAAAGGGACAGCTCGCCGCAACTCTCCCCAAACCAATCCCTCCTTGAACCTCCCACGTTGGGGTAATAATTAATTATCTAGGCTTTGAAAACTCAGGAGCTGATTATCTCGGTAATCCCTATTCACAAATCAACTAAACCTCCCAAATGGCGTCCGCAGAGGTGCAGAAAGTGCCCGTTTACTCGGTCAATGGTTAGTTCGTTCGCGATATACATTATCTTGGCTTTGCGATCTATCTCCCCTCTAGTCTCTTATATGCTAGGCTTACTTGGACCCCTTCACTAACATTCTCACTCATACAGACCTGAAGTCTACCACAGACGATGCCCTGGCACCATACCTTGGCTACCTCCCACAGCCCTACACCTTCGCCCAAGACCACACCAAGACCAATGTCCACCTGTTCCTGGGCTACGCTGCCGTCGCGATAGCCGGATTCAGCTTCTATGCGGAACGCAAGCTACAGTGGGAGTCGACGCACTCGCCGTGGATTATCGCGGCGGTGTTGACCTACTTCACGCTGAACTCTATCCTCACGTACTGGGTCTGGGCGGTCGAGGCGGGCGAGGTATTTCGGGGCAAGCGCAAGTCGGGTGAAACGGTACGGTTCTCGAAAGCGTCCCTTTGTTATTAATGGTCTGTGGCTAACATAGTGTTTTGGGACTAGATCTCCATTCGTTCGTCGGCAAAGAAGCACTCCTCTCTTTACAAGCTCCAGGTTCAGCATAAGTCGGCGCAGGGCAAGGTGTTGCAGGAGAAGGAGATCGAGACGTCGTTCACGAGGTGGTTCGCTGCGGATGGAACGTTCCACCCCGAGCCTCTGCGGAATTGGCTGGCCAGTGAGATTGAGGTTCTTCGGCTTGCGGCGAAGGAGACAGAGAAGAAGACCGGGGGTGTTGCGAGCTTGGTGGGGGTTCAGGAGACGGGTGATGTTAAGAGAAAGTGATTTGCGTTGCGATGTGGGCTATTGGCAATTAGTGTGGCTTGGAAAAGGCATAGGAGTTTGTCCCAGGTTGTATCAGTCTCTGAAATGAAACCATTTTGTTGTTCAATTGAAGGGGGTGTTCTCATTGTGGGTCATAAGCAACAAGTATATCTGGATGATTCATGTATATTCATTTCTCATGCGTTGAGTTGCTCAGCGAAACCAGAGCCATGTGGGGTTCTAACCAAAATGCGACAAAGCTTTTGTCTTTTTATGCAAGTCGAGTTACATATAATATATGACTCAGGTTCAAGTGATAAAACAGAAAATAGAGAAGAAAAGGAATCTATGGCTGGCTCTGCTTAATATCGTCTCCCGTCGCACGTTTTAGAGGATAATTGTCGTAGAACATGATTACGAAGCGGCTTCCAGGGTTCCGGGGCGCTCGGTGGCTTCAGCAGGCTTCACGTCATCCATTCTGCTGTTTTGGATGAGTCTCTGTTGTATATAATTAGTGGATGACGGCCTTTCAACTGGGATACAGAAGGATAACTAACCAGCAAGTTGCGGAGCAAGACAACGATCGTGACCTTTCCAATCGAAGGCACGAAGAGGGAGGCCTTCTCCTTCACCTCGGGTCCGAAGTTCTATTTATAACAAGGTCAGCCTTTGCAACAGGGTTAAGCTGTCAGTGGCTGAGGACGTACCTTCTCGCTGGAGAAGTTGACACACACAGCACCCTCTCTGAGCAGGCTGGTGTCGAACTTGTACTTTTCTCCAGGGACACCAGAGATGACAACATCACACAAAGGTGCCACATCCTTCAGGGTCTTGCCCTCCAGGTCGACGACCTCGTGTCTGCCCTTCTTCAGACCCTCGCCACGGGTGAACTTCTGAACACCGGTGATATCGACACTGTACACGCAGGCACCGTCGTTGGCCAACAAGGCGGCGAGAGGACGACCAACCACCTCAGAGCGGTTCACAACACAGATGGTGTGTCCGAAGAGGCGGTTTCCATACGGCAATATCGTGTTGTAAATGTTGAGGTATTCGAGGATCTTGATGACGGCCAGAGGGGTGCAGGGGAGAATGCACTTCTGCTTCTTGGTCTCGGGGTCAAGGAAGCGAATGTTCTGGTACATGTTGAAGATGTAACGGTGGCTCAGGCCCTCTACATCCTTATTTATGTCCACAATCTGCTGCAGGTACTGGTCCTGGCGGTTGTTGAAGATGGGGTAGTATACGATGATGCCGTTAACATCGGAGTCGGCATTGGCAGCGAGAATGGCTTGCTCGAGGTCATCGCGGGCAACTTCACGGAGCGAGTAGCGGAACCCACTGTGCAAGAAGAAGAAACTACGTTAGCTACGAAGTGGCTTCCCACGATACTGCCCGCCGCGGAGCTCCGACATCGCAGGTTGAGTCATATGTGCAAAGTCCCCAAGGTAGAGACCAGGAGGCACAGTTGACGCAAATAAGAGTGAAAATGGAAGAATGCTCACTTTTCCTGACAAGTCTTCTCCGTCCACTGGGCATACATCAATGCCGCGGGGTCGTTGTTGGCGAGGAATCCCACCAAATGAGGTGCCTTCTCCAGGGTCTTGAGGCCCTCCTTGACCTCCGCAATCAGGCCATTGGCGACATGCTTGGAGAGCATGACCTTGCAGGAGGCCGGAGCCGAATCGGAAGTGGTAGCCATCTGTGCGAAAGGGGGGGAATGTATTGAAGCAACTGAGTGGTGAGTCAATAGTCTACTGAAGGTGGGCTATGGTGGAGGGGCATGGAAGAAATTTTGGGACGGAAAAGGCTATGCTCGCTTATCGATAAAAGCATGCCCGCATTCGGCCCATCCCTGCCGCTCTAGACGGCGACGATGCCAGCTTCACCCCCCCCGCAAAACTGCCTGTCATCTGTCAAGGTTCGTGGAGACCCGGTACTGCATGGTTCTTTCGCGATCTGCTGGTCAGCTATGTCACTGTCAGATAACTATGACACCCGTGATACGTGACCTTGCGGCATCGGCGGAGAAACCTGGGGGGTGCCACCCGGCAGTGGTTCTTCCCCCAGGGCTTCTATATATATCCGGCCTGTCCATGATCTCATGCCACAGGCTCATGCCGAACACCTTACCTACCCCAGACTGGCCGCTTTGACCGCCATCGTAGTACCAGCTAGGTCGATTAAGTGTCCACAAGAGACATGTCGGTGCGCCGATCTTTAAAGAACAAAGGAAATCATATTCAGGCTGCATATATGTAGACAAAGGTTTCATGAGCAGCGACCAGCTGGAAGGTATAATACAGTCCGAACCAGTCAATCCGTCCAAATCCGTTCCCTTGTCGCGCGAAATGATCTAAACGTACAGGATATTAATCGTATCTTTTTGGCCTTTCTCGCTCCACCGGTTTACCCCGCCCCATAGCTACAGACATCCGGCAGGAATACCATCGCGTAGATGCGGACTACATCTCAGAATATCTCGGCCGTTCCGAAGCTCTGGTTAACAGCAAAATAAAATAGTGGGTTCAAATTGTACAAACTATCTTGTCTATACACATAGAGTCAGGATAAAAACAGTACACGGTGGGCTACTGGCCCAAGAGCATTGTTGTGCTCACCTATGCGTTGAAAGACTTGTTGAAGCTGGGGATGATCTCCTTCAACTGAGCCTCGAGCTCCTTGCTGACCTGGCCCTCCTTCTCGATGGTCTCCTGGATCTCGGGGTGGTTGCTCTTGAGGTGAGCAAGGAAGTCAGTCTCCCACTGGAGGATCTTGGCGACGGGGATGGAGTCGAGGTGACCGTTGACACCGGCGTAGATCAGGGGAACCATGTCGGAGACGGCCATGGGGGAGTACTGCTTCTGCTTGAGGAGCTCGGTGAGACGCTCACCACGGTTGAGGGTCTGTTTGGTGGAGGCATCGAGATCGGAACCGAACTGGGCGAAGGCAGCAACCTCACGGTACTGAGCCAAGAACAGCTTCAGGGAACCGGCGACCTGCTTCATGGCCTTGACCTGGGCAGCGGAACCGACACGGGAGACGGACAGACCGACGTTGATGGCGGGACGGATACCCTTGTAGAACAGCTCAGACTCCAAGAAGATCTGGCCGTCAGTGATGGAGATGACGTTGGTGGGAATGTAAGCGGACACATCACCACCCTGGGTCTCGATCACGGGAAGGGCAGTGAGGGAACCACCACCGTGCTTCTCGTTCATCTTGGCGGCACGCTCAAGGAGACGGGAGTGGAGGTAGAAAACGTCACCGGGGTAGGCCTCACGACCGGGGGGACGACGGAGCAGCAGAGACATCTGACGGTAGGCGACGGCCTGCTTGGAAAGATCATCGTAGATGATGACGGCGTGGCGGCCGTTGTCACGGAACCACTCACCCATGGCACAACCGGTGAAGGGAGCAAGGTACTGCAGGGGAGCAGCCTCGGAAGCAGTAGCAGCGACGACGACGGAGTACTTCATGGCGTCGTTCTCCTCAAGGGTCTTGACGAGCTGAGCAACGGTGGAACGCTTCTGACCAACGGCAACGTAGATACAGTACAGCTTCTTGCTCTCGTCGGAGGTGTTGTTCCAACGCTTCTGGTTCAGCATGGCATCAAGGGCGACAGCGGTCTTACCGGTCTGACGGTCACCAATGATCAACTCACGCTGACCACGGCCGATAGGGACCATGGCGTCGACACACTTCAGACCAGTCTGGACGGGCTGGTTGACGGAGCGACGGGGCAGGATACCAGGGGCCTTGAGCTGAGCACGGCTCTTGGCCTTGGTGTTGATGGGGCCCTTGCCGTCGATGGGGTTACCGAGAGCGTCGACAACACGGCCGAGCATCTCAGGACCGACGGGGACATCAACCTGGGGAAGTGTAAGTACAGTTCAACAGAAGCGCTTCTGATATCCGAAAGATATACTCACAATCTCTCCGGTACGCTTGACGGTCTCACCCTCCTTGACGAGACGGTCGGAACCGAAAAGCACGACACCGACCTGGCCGGCTTCGAGGTTCATGCACATACCCTTGACACCAGAGGCGAACCTGATCATTTGTCAATTGGTGGGTACGTAAGTAAGTCATATGAAACGGGACACCTACTCGACCAGCTCCTCAGCCTGGACGTTGGTCATGCCATGGACACGAGCGATACCGTCACTGTTTTGATATTAGTCAATTGTTCTCGATCGATACTGAATGGTTCAAGCCGAAATTCCGAATATTTCGATGTTTTCGATGATATTGAAGCTGCGGCCAAAATTTTCAACCGAGGGAAATCGTCACGTACCCGACGGAAAGGACACGTCCAGTCTCGGCAAGACCAGCCTCCTCCTGAACACCACGGATACGCTGCTCGAGGATAGAAGAGACCTCAGTGGGAGCAGCCTTGGCCTCAGCAGCGTAGGAACGGATCTGCTTGGAGGCACCAGAGATGGGGCCGGGAACAGCCGCGCGAGCCTGTAGTCGTACGCAAAATTTGTCAACATCACGACCACGCAGTGAAAACGCGTCAAAAGGGTGCAGCAAGCATTGCGATGTATGGAGAGGCGATTGGAAGCATCATTGAGATGACTTCTTCGATGGAAACGGCCAAAGGGCGAAGGTGTAGTCGACCTGGGCAGGGATAGGACTCACCGAAGCGATCCTGCCAGTGGCAGAGGCGGCCGCGACGGTGCGGCTAGACTGCCGCAAAGCGTTTCTGAACATTGTGATGGAGGTTCAGAGGAATGGGAGAGTGGTTTCTCTGAAGGAGAGATGTAATTGGGGGGAGGGAGGAAGAGGAGAAAGGATTGTGGATGGATGGAAGGAGAGCTTTGTCGTCGGGGTTGGGAGGATTCTCAGGACTGCCACTAATCCTAGTTTGCCGAGACCTCACCAACCTCCGAAGCCGCCCTAGTGCGCTCACGGGACGCCCACCCACCCCAAGAAAGTCCTCGCAGGGTGTGATGTATTCCCCCCCATCTTCCGATCGGCTCCCTCTCTCTCTCTCTTTTTTTCTGTGTTTTTTTTTAAAATTTTGTCTCATAATTGCCTACTGCACCGTTGACCACTGGAATAAATTTACTACGGAGTGGGTGGACGAGATGGTGGCTGCTCTGCTCTTGTCTTGTGTTTCTCCGGGCCACCTGGCCATCCCATTTTTCATTTGTTCTTTTCTCGGATCTGCGGATACTGCTGGTTGGCTGGCTTACTCAGGTCATTTTCGTCGCAGCAACCGCCCGCAGGAGCCCTGCCAACAACCCGCCCGTCGACACCTCACTGCTTTGACCGGTTGTCCCGGTGGGAATCCCGGCTCGATGTTCGACCTTCCCATGGCTGGGAGCGGTCGACACTCGACAGCAGCTAAACTAACTTCCCTCTGTCCGTCATTTTCTCGTTGACCGTCCCCCGTCCCATCCGGTACATAGCCCTCCGTACATGCCAACATTCTCGGCTCTGAATCCTTTTCCTTCCCCGTTTTCATTCCTCCCTCACTTCCCTATCTACTCCGTACCGCTGGTGCTTACATCACGAATCCACCCGGGATGCATGTTGAATCTGCACGACATCAATTCATTCGCCAATGTTTCAAAACAGCTCGCTACTGAATAAGCTCAATTGCCGACGTAGTAACTAATAACGCAGCGCTGACAGACTCCTTACCCAATCGCTGAAATTTCCAGCAATCAAAAACATCCTGTTAACACATAGGAAGTGCTCCGATCAACTCAACAGTGTTGCACCAAGGATCGCAGCAACAACCATTAGCAGTGCACCCAGAGTAAAGTCATCAAGTTCGGCCACCCCGGATTCAACTCATTTAACAGCTTTGTCCTTCTCCGCCTTGAACGCGGCAATCTCCTTTCGCACGTTCTCATCGTACCTTGCCTTCAGCTCCGGACGGTAGCCAAAGAAGAAGAGGGCTTCCATCCAGACGAAGAGAGGTGCGAGAAGAAGGGCCTGGACCAAGTTGTCCAGCAAAGCAGGAGCCCTACGTTCAAAGGCACCATGGCCGACAAACTGGGCCACCCAGGACACTACATGGACACCAGCAAACCAGTAGTTAACGCTTGTGCCGTAGGTCGCCAGGAGATGGTTCGCGTAGGCTGCACCGCCGATTATCAAGGGAGCGACCAGAGCCCCAGCCACAGGTTCTAGAAGGATATAGAATGTGGAGTATACCAGGGCAGCGATCGTTCCGAGGTTGAGAGGAAGGTTATCAATTTGGAGCGCATCAGGAAGGGTCAAAAAAACCGGGGTGTTCGATGCCTGGTGAATCGCATCGGGTTAGGAATCCATTGCCATTTGCTGTTAGGGGAATACTAAGTCCTACCAGAGCGATTCCCGTAAACAAGAGTATCGGTACACATGTCATGTGAATCGCAACATTGACCTGAAAGATAGACAAGTTAGAGCTAGCAACAAGGAAGGTGCGAAAGAGCTAACATACCGGATTATTATGGTAGGCACCATACTGAGAGGCTTGTTAGCATGGAAGTACTCCAGCGAGTGTGTCCGAGAGTAGCGGCAGGGGGCTTACAAACAGAAGCTGCTTCTCGAGGTTCAAGGCCATCTTGTGTGCTTTTGTTCGTAAAGATGCTGCCGAGTAGAGGGAGAAAAGAGAATCATGCGCAGAAAGTGAGATTTCTTTTCTTTTTCTGCCACAGGATATTGCCTGATCGACCAGTTTAGCAGGTGGAGAGATAAGACATTTATCATTTGTTCCTGACTCTATGCTCGTGCAGACGTCATTCCGGCCTAGGTAACTTCGGTGCAGCAGTAGAGGGGCCGAGGATATTGTGATTGATTACACGATGCGTCTTGTCATGACCGGTTGTGCACCAAGTTGCACCCTAAATTCCCCGGTATGGTGTATCACTGTGTAATGCATTCAAGGCCCTTTCAGGTGGTCACGTGAGAGTATCCAACTCGGGTGAAGCAGACACCAGAATCCATGACCGCTATGACTTTGGTGTCGAATTATCTGGTGGCTGTTCCTTCTCCTGTCTGATATTGCTTGAAGGCAGGGTCTCTCGCCTGACATTGCTCTCATCTGCGCTCTTTATCCTGGTTGCGCGCTCCCATCTCAATATCATCTGCTGACGACGTGTTCTGGTTCCAAGTCGTGGATATCTTGCCATCCAGTATTGACTGCAAGTGTTCATCCTGTTGTCGCAAATATATCCATCGCACCATTCGTTCATTAGCGAGTCGCTTTGACCTTACGCACGAGCCGATCGAGATCCCCAAACATCTTCAACCAACCTCTGGCGCGCAGCAAGACACATCCGATCAGTCGCGTTAACCGCATCCCCTCACCCCGCCTGTCGAAACGAAATTTTGTATTATACTTTCGGGAATCACAAGCTTGCGACATGTTCTTTCTCAAAGAGGAGATCAAGGTTATCACCTTGCACCCGTCCTACTTTGGACCCAATATGCGCGAATACCTCATCAACCGGTTAAACGAGGAAGAAGAAGGACGTTGTACGGGTGACCATTTCGTGATTTGTGTGATGGACATGGTAGACATTGGCGAAGGACGGGTACTTCCAGGAAGTGGGCAAGCAGAATATACCATCAAGTACCGGGCAATTATATGGAAGCCCTTCCGCGGAGAGACCGTATGTTTTGGATGTCGCGCTGAATTAAGAATGCCCCTGATTATGACCATTAACATATAGGTCGACGCGATTGTGACATCTGTCAAGCCTACTGGAATCTTTACTTTGGCCGGCCCATTGTCTGTTTTCATTGCACGGAAAGTATGTCGATTGAGTTGAGTTGGGCCTCCTGGACTCGGATGCTAACAAGTTGGCAAGAACATTCCTTCCGATATCAAGTGGGAACCCAACACAGTACCACCCCAGTATACGGACCATGCAGATCAAGTCATCGAGAAGGGCACCAGTCTACGGCTAAAGATCCTTGGTGTGAAGCCTGATGTTGCGGCTATCAACGCCATTGGAACCATTAAGGAAGATTATCTAGGGTGAGTACCCAATTACGTCTTTGACCGTGGCTTTGGAGCGATCCAGGTTTACTGATTCATACTACTCTACCAGACCATTGTAATGCGATTGCGATGAGCCACCAAACTCCACCATTTACCCTAATGACTGATACCGCTTGACCGATAGGATCGTCGACACCTTTCCCTACTACTTACTATCTTCATATAGAGACGACCATGTTGAATGGTATCTGCTTCGTAAGGAGATGCGCTCATGGGGGAGAATGATGAGAGCGCGCCCAAAGCAGAGTCTGGGGCCTGGATATCATCAAAAGACATGATATCGTGCCTTTTTGCAGCGGCCCGCGCAGGCGAACGGGGCTGTCTGCTTTCGGCTACACTAGGATCTGTATCAACCAGAGAAACTATGACAGGGAGGAGTGGGCATTTCCTAAGACCCATGGCAGCCAAAAAGGAAAGTATATGTATTTCTAAGGCGGGAAAATGCGAAAACGGATTGCAGGACAAAAGGCGGAAAATAGAATAATAAACCAATACATACAGTAGACGATACAGATCTTTGTCCTTTGATGTTGGCTGGATAGGTAGTACCTAGATACCTTCTATGCTAGTCTGGAGTCGATCGTTGGCCCATTTTAGGGTCTAGAGCAGGGAATGATGCGGGCAAAGGCAGTGTGGCAGGCAGCACGAATAATGAATCCCTCCGAGCCCAAGCAGTTGCCGGAGAGACGCGGGCGCCGGTGGCCCATCGTGAAACGCTGGTGTGTCCACCTGTCCATCGTCGGAGCCGTGCGCGTGGCTTCCCCAGTCCTTAGCGTGGTGGGCGATTTCTGAGATTGGGATGGGCCTCAGGGCTCAGAGAGGAGCTCTGAATGAGTTCAAACCATGGCGGTCATGAATCTTGTGAATCGATCATTTGTGGTGGTGAAGCAGCCCGATGGGCATTCTAAGTGATGGGCGGAGTGGTCGGATTCACCACACTGAGTGGCCCGGATGTACTGCCCGGGCATGATACATGGCAATTACGGCTGCAGTTGGGGTAAAGGGCATCCATCTGGAATAGCCCGAATCTTCATGAAAAATCCCTCCTCCGTCCCTAAAGGGGGACCTTATGTAGTACTTAGCTGTGAATGGGGACCGTAGAAGGCGGTTGGTTGTAAATCGGTTGACCCGAGTTCCCCGGTTCTTTTGATTGTTGTTGTTGTCCCTTGCTCTGGATGTTGCCTGCATTCCTCTCCAGGCTACTTCCAGCAGTCGGACTGCACTTGACTGAAGTTAATCGGGCTCTGCAAGGCCCCAACCGTGGTTCGCGCCCACCAGCGACGGGCGGTTCCCCCTTCCCTCTCTCGTTTGATGGCTGGCTTGTTTGCTTGCTTGCTTTCTTTCCCTCGGCCTGTCACCATTCTCCCTCCTCCGATTCCCCTGTGTCTTTCCTTTGCCCAACCTATCTCTTCACATTCGTTTCGGCCATATTAGTTCTACTTGGAGGTGACCATGTCTTTGAAAGACGTCTACCGGCGTTTCCTAGCCGATCCCAGGTCGGCGCCCCTGGCCTCCGATGCGTCGTTGATCTATATCACCACCACCACCAAGCTGGACGGCGCATCCGCGGTGGTCAACCATCTCACTAAGCAGCAGAAAGGCATCAAAACCAAGTCGGAGAACGTCCTGGACCTCATCGAGAGCGCCAACTCCCTCTGTCTGGACATTGAAACCACCCTCGAGTTTGTTTCTGGAAACGGCGGGGCGTATCTTCCCTCGCTTGACGATAACTTCCTGGCTGGCCACGTCGCGACTTTCCCCACGGTACGTATGCGCCTTTTGACTTCTCGATACCTCCTCCCCACTTCTTCTGACAAGATGTGCCTCGTCCGTGTAAACAGATCCACATCGTTCGCTTCAATTCGCAGAATCAGATCCAGAATGTCCGAATCTACTGGGACCAAGCATCGCTACTGAAACAGGTCGATGTGATCGGTTCCCGTGGGCGCGCCTGGCCAGTTCGCGAACCTAAGGATCAGATTCGCCTGATCAAATCCTCGGTTGCCTCCGGCCCAGCTGACGACGGACCTGCTCCTACATCCTCATTGCCCACGGAGACCGCGAAGGAGAGTAACGACCGCGAGGAACCTAGCAAACAGGCTTCCCCGGGAAAGAAACATATCAAGGACCCCCACGCAGCTGACTCGCTCTTCGAACTCCTCTCCCCCGGTAAGGACCGAAGTGACCCGGTGCGCCCACCCCGTGCCCCAGCGTCTGCACAGCCCCAGCAGCGTGAGTACAACGAGATTTTTGGTGACCATGATGACGTGGACCTCGATGCCATCGAAGCGTCGCCGTCTCGGTCCAAGAACACCGCCAGGACTGGTGCAGGCAAGAACTACCAGGGCTCCCGTATCTTCGACAATGAAGAGGCGGGAGCTGGGGAGGGAGGCCACGAGCAAATCGCCTACCGGGCTCATCCCAAGCGATTCGACCACTTTGAGCTAGGTGCTGACAATAGCCAACGCGAGATCCACGAAAAACCCGGTCGTCCTGTGTCGCGCCAGGCACCTCACTGGGACTTTGATGATTTTGTGACACCGGAGAAGCCTAAGCGTCAGCTTCGCGGGGAAGAAATCCGTCATTTTGGCTGGAGCGATGATGAGCCGGACCTCACCTCGCCCCCCGTCAGGCCCCGGGTGGTCCATGCTCGTCCTGACGCCGAAACTCACTTCCAACTGACAGACGTCCAGGAGGAGGACAAGAATGGCCCCCGTATCATCAGCTCCTACCAGAACAAGGGAATGGGTCTCTACAAGAACCACCTGTTCAACGATAACGAGGGGAATGAGAACGCCCCACTGTCGGCAGTCAACAACGGACCTAACCGTAAGAATGAATTTGAAACTCACTGGTCTATGGCCGATTCACCACGGAAGCACCAGCCTAACCGCGAGAACCAAAAGCCAATCCCCGGTGACCGACAGAGAGCTTTGAAGAACATGGAATCGTCCTGGGACACCATTGAGTCACCGAAGCCGCCCGTGAAGATGACGCCCCCTCAGCGTCGATCCGTGCGATCTGTCAACCAACGCAGCTGGGACATGGGTGAAAACAAATAAATTATCAATCCAATGAGCTGGACGTCTACACCAGTGTCTACCTGCAATGTACTGGGCTCGAGCATACGCTCCTTGTTACATTCATCCCGCGACAACAAGTCTTCCCCTCGCATTTTACTAGAGAGCGTACCTAAAAGCCTGCATATGATACTTATTCCCGCCGTGAACGATAGCAGAGTCAACGCATGCACGGATCTATGATAAATTGCCCCTGTTCCTTTCCATTTTGCCTTTCCAGCTGTGTATTCTGCCAAGTTCAATATCATCATTCTACTTTATGTAATTTAGCTTTTTTTTGCTTCCATTTCTAGTCTTGAATTCACACTTAACATCTCTAGCTTGTTTGCTAAATAAATAAACTCTTCACCTTGATCCCACATAGACAGTTCAAAAATGACGTGCGGATATAAGCTTATAATCTTACCCAGATATCAATAATAACATAGTACGTACCCGGTAGGCAGTAACTAGCTAGCTTACTCACCTACGACGAAGAAAAATTCATAATAATAATCCAGTTCAATTGATCAGCTATCACTATCCTAGAAAGGACTGGTACCATCCATGTACTATGCCACATGACATCCAAGTCGGCCGCAATCTAACAATAGGTAGTACACACGTTTCGCATCTCAACTCACCCTGAACTGGAGACTCATCTCATTCATCCACAAACCACCAAATCAGAAGACAACAAACAACAAGAAAGTTGTCGATAAACAAAGGAGGGTAAGAAGGAAAATTTTTTTGGTTAAAAAAAAAAAAAAAAAAAATCGGGGAGGGGGGAGGTTGGTTGCCACTCAGAATCATCAGATAGTGAACAAGATAACTCCAATCGTGTCGGGACCAAAGAAACAAACAACAAACATTCACAAAAGTTACCCAAAAAAACTCAGAACCAAAGCCAACGATGGTAATGGTAATGGTAATTGATAAGGGGGGTAATTATTGGTTTGTTGGCTGCGGATGAATGCATGGTTGGTTGGATGGACCCGGGGGAGGAAGGGGAGTAACTTTAACAATATCCGACATGATAAGAGCTCTCAATTGCTTCCAACCTAGGTTGATGCAATTTGACATCGCGCTAGATGTAGAACATTGTGTCATGCAGATTTGCATGGATGGTCACGGCCTTGTTCTCAATCGCTGCGACGGCGCTACCGGCGGATGAGCTCGCTGTCTCGGCTTGGTCGAAGACCTTGCTGAGGTAGCAACGGGCCCGGGTGCATACCAGGTCTGCGTAGTATGCGGGAGGGCAGATGCTGACGGCCTTGGTGGCTCTGCCGTAAAGGTAGCACATATGGTGTGTTAGATTTTCCAACACATCGGCGGCGTTCTTGTAGGGGGGCTGCACTTTTCTATTGCGGAAGATCTCATCCCAGACGGTGAAGTAGTGCGCCGGTCGAGCGGTGCCCTGTATAGCATAATGCGCCTGTAGGTAAAAATCCCAATTCCGGGCTTCGGTCACGCCGCGGTCGACGACAGTGCCGTTGCGGGGGTTTCCATTGCGTTCCATGTCTTTTGTTGGATAGAACCGCGTGTGGTGGCGTTTGCCTACAACCACGACGGAGATACGGGGAAGACCCTTCTGAGTGTCGGAAGCTGGGTACATTTCCTTGCAGGCTGTCTTCAGAAGGGGAAGCTCTTGTTGCACTACAAGATCGTATTGGCCTTCAGAGACACCATCTCGGTACACGATGATATTCTCCGGGTAGGCGTTCTTGTTGTTGCGGGCCCAGCGCCTGAGATGAACCTTCAGCATTGAGTCTAGCTCAGCCACCATCTCTTTACGGCCTTCTTGCACTCGGAGTTCCGCAGGCCATTGAGCAAGAGACGAGTTGATGGAGGCGACCATGCCGGCGACGCTGGGAGCGTTGGACGAGGAACCAGGAGAAGGATGGGTAACATCAATACCGACGAGCATTGTCTTACCCTCTCCAATGATGCCTAGCTCTTTGGCCTCAATGAGCTGGTTGACCCCTCCCAGTTTGAGATTGATCTTAAGGCCGATATTTGCGTAATATTGGGCCAGAGCTTGTTCGGATTTTCGTTCCGATTGTTTTGCCTTTGAGCCAACAAAGTTGACATTGTGAACGCCATAATCCAGATCACAGATCCCCTTGATGCAGTTATAGAGGACTGTGTCCTGAGACGGAAGGACAAACACAATTAATCGGGGAGGCTTCTCTCCGTTCATCAGCCCGGAAACGGCCTTATCCAACCCTGCCTTGTAATGGTCTTCCTTAGGCTGTTGGAAATTAACCACGGAACAATGATCTGGCTTTGAGACGTTCATGCCAAGATCCTGCAACACCTTGGTAAAGGTTACGGCAGGTTCAACCTCGGGTTTGGCGTATGCTGGGTTCTCCTTTGAAAATGTAAGTACAACCAACGCCCAAGAAGGCACTCGGCATGGTGAGGACAATTTCGCTTCACGCATGTTCCAACTTCCAAACTTAGGGCCGATTTCAGTGGACTTAGAGCCCTTAAAACCTTTGTAGTAGAGCTTGGGCGCCGGGAGTACTCGACCAAGTACTGTGATCAGCTGAAGTTCGTTCTCGACGCCAAATTGCGCCTAGACAGATACATCAATGATCATTCACGAAAGAAATGTTTGGCGAAGTACTCACGAGGATTGGGTTCTTAGACCCTTCGAGACCGAGCACATCCGTACCCTGAGTCACAATCGACTCGGCATTTGCGTTAGGAGGTCGCACAGCAAAGCGGATCATAGAACTGGTTTGTTCAGGCGAGAGTTTGGTATTTGCCGGCTGACCGGGCTCAACTTGACACACTTCAACAGGCAAGTAGCTGGGCCTCTCTTTTGTCCCGACATTCACAACGGGACTGCCAGGGGTAGATTTGATATCATAAACTTGGAATGAGTATGTTAGGTACCAAACACTATAATAGGCTCGGAGGGAACACTCACTGTGCTTGAAGAATTGGGCAACACTAACATAGCCAATAGGCAGGGGCCTTGCCTTAGCAGACTGCTTCACCGGATGGACAGGTTTATCTAGGAAGAACTGCACATCCTCGGGCCCTGCGCCGTCCCGAGCTACTTTAGGGCGATGCTCCAACCCGGCTCCATCGCGCACGGTAGCCACGTTGGAAATGCGCTTGATTCTTGGAACCAGTTCACCCTTCTTGTTGCGTCTCTCGATATGGGTCACCCGAACCCTCAAGCCTTTCAGGACACGGAGCAAGCCTCGATATGGATACGCACGCATGACATTACTCAGCGGACCTCCCTGGTGACAAGCAATATACTTCACTTGCACATTTACCAAAACACGCGCAGTTGCGGCACGAACGCTGACAAAATAGCCGCGGAAAGCCTCAAGCGCATGGCCCAGGTCGTATTTCTCCGCACCTTCACCGATGGCGAAATGCCTATTTGCTCCCACGGAAGAGATTTTCGGATCGCTCTTGGGTTGATGACCCAGAATGATGTTCATGGCCTGGATGACATCTGCCTTGTCTTTGAACATGGCGGACGCATTCGACGAAGTCAAGTAATCCAACAAGTGTCTTGGGTAGAGGGTGCCCGTGAACTGGCACTTCACCCGGTAGACCTTTGGCTGCTCAGGGTACTCATCTTCGTGTTCATCACGATATCGAACATCAAAATCCTTTGGCTCCTTTCCTCCCAGGAACTCGACAGCTGTAATAATTGTGGACATGTAATCCGTGACAACTTGGTCCTGGTACTTGGAAAGATGTTCTTCAATAAACAACCGCACAATGTGACGGGCTTTCTTGCCAGCAGGCTTCTTGTTGGCCGTGTCACCTTGAATATCGAGATGATAGCGATGCAGCTGGTTGCCCACCGATTTGAGCTCAAAGTAGTTGGCGTAAAGTAAGACAGGCGTTCCTCGCGTGCCAAATCCGGGCCGCTCTGGCCAGTCAGTCGACCGCTGCGTTTTCTTTGCTAGAGCTGTGGCAACAGCGTCTTCCACCTTCGCGACCTCAGGATTGGGCATAGGGATTCCACCCGGTGGACTAAAATAAAGGGCCATCCAGTTATATTGAGACCCAAGATAGCCTGACGCGTGAAAATAATACTTACGAATACAACGCGGGTTCTGGTCGTGATCCTCCACCTCCACCTCCACCACCACCACCGCGACCGCGACCACGTCCATCGCCACGGCCCCTTCCACGACCCCAACCTCTGGAGTTGCCATCGTCGGGACCAGGACGAATGGGAAGATTGGTGGTTGAGCCTTCTCCTCCTCCACTGAAACGGAACCCTCCTCCTCCTCTCCCACGTTCTCCACCTCTCCCACGTTCTCCACCTCTGCCACGTTCTCCTCCTCCCCCTCGTCCTCTTCCTCCTCCTGCACCTCGACCTCTTCCTCCGCCGCCGCCGCGGTTGCCCCCTTTACCAGGTCCCTGACCAGGGGCACCTTGAGAGGACATGGTGGTTCTACTTTATTGCTAGTAGAAGATGGCGAAGATAGAATTTAGGCAAGGTTTTAGGATCAGAGTACTGAAAAGGTAGGTAGTGTGTTTGTATGAAAAGAGATAGTAGAAAGAAACAAGGTTGGGGTGCATGGGGACTTGGAGAATTTAGTACGCCTAAAAACCCCCTACCTCAGGCAGTGATCTGAGCTTTCACAGGACACGGCGTGTTGCTGCAGCAAGGAGCCATGCGGACTGAGTTGGCCAAGTGAAGGTGCATGCGGTGAAGGGGATAGATCCCGGGGACTTATCTGATACATCCATTATCTCATTCGTCCAGGATGACTGGGGAAGGCAGTCGCCGATGAGAGGGAATGACGTTGGGGGGTTCCCGATGGCTGACAGCCTCTTCACAGTCCATATCCACCAACCGAGGACATTTCCATAGTTCAGCCCAGGTTTCACACGATGTCGGGGAAAGGAGAAGGAATGGTGCACCCATCGGGAATTATCCTTTCTGACAGCTGACTGCGTCTTCCATGGATTGGCAGGATGGCCGCAGAGGGGCCCACCCACACTGGCCGGGTCAGCCTTCCGGTCCATCACCGGGCAGTTTACACAGGACTACTAATACTAAGTAAATGGAAGGTTTACCCTCTTCAGCAGTTAACCCATGATTCGTAAATAATTCACACCTCTACGAAGAGTGTTGGCATTCTTTACTAGGCTTATCCTCATTTGCAAAGCGTGTTACACAGATACGTACTAGTACTACTGTAAGTGGCACTGAGTCTGAGCAGCACTTGCACGAGTTTCAGGCTTCTGATTGGTTCTCCTTAATACTCGTATTGTGTACTCCGTACGGAGGAATGTGATGGTACTGTCAGCTCTCACCAGGGATGTTCAGCTTCATTATTAGATAGGTGCTTTATATGGCACCGCAGTCGCCTGCGGGCCAGGACCTAGATGATCTTGATATCTCCTATGGACTACTCTTCAGACTCCCCAGACTCCGGAAAAATAACTCCACCAGAATAAGTCTCAGTGATATTACGCCATACGGAGTAGGTAGTACATACCTACTTAGATACTACATGGCCAGTAGATCGATAGTTGAAACAGTCAACAGACGACTATAAGAATAATAATGTGAGTCAACCGACTGTCCACTTTCGGATTCGCCGAGCAGATGAGTAGGTAGCTTGATTGCCCAAGGATCCGAGGCGGACCCCTAGACGAAAGACCACTGCAGCCGGGTCCAGCCTGCTCGACCACGAGAGACAAGCCTCACGCAGATACGGAGTCTTGCGCAGGAGTAATTGGATAGCCGTCTTACATAACCGTGTCCTATGCAGGCCTAAATTGTCGTCTGTGTCTTGTCTTCTTCGGAACCTTATCCTCACCCATCTTCTTTCAAGTGAACGATTTCCCCCCTCCAGCCTTACGTCAGCTGTGGTGTTTCCAATAGTTACCGTATTTCACGGGTCGACCGACCGCACGGGTCATCCGACCGCCGCGTCAAAAAGTCATCGCGTGTTCGGCACCTCTCTATTCAACCAACCACCATGACTCCAAATCGAAAGAAAAATCGTCAAGAATTAATTGAGCAAGAGGGCCGGATCCAACTTGCAATTAAATATTTAAAAGATGATAAAAAACGTAAGATTCATCCAACAGCACGCGCCTATAATATCTCATACAGAACCCTCCGCGACCGTGTACAGAGAATTGAATTTCAATTAAAACGCTGCAACCATAACCTTAAACTCTCTGAAATTCAAGAAGATACTCTAATACAGTGAATTCTATCGCGTGATCAACATGGAGTTACTCCACAACCTGCTCAAGTACAAGAAATAACAAATATAATCCTACAACCGCAGACCCCTCCTCCTTTAACCCTGTTAGCAAGAACTAGGTTACCACCTTTATACAACACCGTGAAGAGATTAGCTGTCAATTCACCAGAAAGTACGCCTATAAAAGAGCTAAATACAAGAATCCAAAGCTTTTACAGGACTGGTTTACAACCCTACAAGACATACAGACGGAGTTTGGAATATTAAATAAAGATATCTTTAACTTTAACAAAACAGGCTTTGCAATAGGAATAATTACAACTATAAAGATCATGATAAGAGCCAACATGCCTGGTAAACCTCATCTTATACAGCCAGGCCAACGCGAATAGGTGACAATAATTGAGTATATCAATTTAATAGGATGGAGTATTCCCTCCACCATAATTTTCAAGAGAAAAGTCTATATAAAAAGATGGTTTAATAAATATAACCTCCCACACAACTAGCATATTAAATTATCAGCAAACAGATGGACAAATGATAACATTAGCCTGCAATGACTTAAAGAGGTCTTCTTACCTGCTACAAATACTCGAAAAGTCGGCCGATATAGACTCCTTATTCTTAACAGCCATGGGAGTCATTTAACACCTGAATTCGACAAGCTCTGCAAGAATAATGAAGTTATTCCCGTCTGCATGCCTGCTCACTCATCTCACCTTCTACAATCTCTTGATATTAGCTGTTTTGGACCACTGAAGCAGGTGTATAGCCGCCTTATTGAGTCAAGAATACGACTTTCATATAATCATATTGACAAGCTTGACTTCTTATCTAAGTATCCCATCACTCACCGGGAGGTCTTTAAGCCTCAGAATATTTAAAGCGGCTTCACTGCAGCCGGAATACACCCATTTTACCCTGAAAAAGTCCTTGAAAAGCTTAATATTATACTATATATGCCGACACCCCCCCCAAGCCGCGGGGGGCAATCTGCGACCTCCTCCGCGCTTGCAACACCATATACAGTCAAACAATTACAGAGACAGGCAGAGTCATTTAAAACGCTTTTAAAAAGAGGAAGACATATACTTAGTGAAGTCGAATTAGGCCGTTTAGGTCGTGCCCGTGCAGATAGTGGCCGTGTTGAGTATGGACACGTTGGTTACGGCCGCGTTGATTACTGTCGTGTTGATCGCAACCGTTTCAACTCTACCCGCATATCCAAATTAATGGAGATCGCAGAGTCCCTCTACACCTTCAAAACATATCCTACAACAAATTATTAAAGGCGCCCAGATCTCTCTATACAACTGTACACAACTGGCACTTAAAAACCATGAACTCCGCGCTGCAAATAAAAAAGAGAAGAAGAAGAAGACATGTTTTAAGCAACAGATGACTCCTACAGGCAGCCTTACAATACAAGAGGGTATAGATCTTATAGCAATAAGAAATACTCATTTGAATACAGAGATAGGACCCTCTACAGGTCCTGCACCTTCAACTTTAGACACGCCAAGACAAGCTCCACCAACATATTCTTTCTATCATATTCAGGGCCATACAAGAGCTCAATATTCTATACATTGTCAACACCAAGAAAATTAAAAATAATGAATTTTGCGTTGTTGCGAATGGCTTCAAGTTGTAGAGCATGGTCGAAAAGCGGGGCGGCGGTCGGATGACCCGTGCGGTCGGTCGACCCGTGAAATACGTTACCCAAGATCTTTGACCGCCTTAGAAGGTGATAACGGAGATAGCCAACTTAAACACTAAGCAAAGCAACGACGTCGTCCTCCACTGGAGGCGCCATCTTATCCAACCCGACTTTCCCACCTCTTTGCTCATCTCCCCAGGTACCTTCGATATTTTAACCAGCGCGCCTGGCATTGCTTTCGACACTGCCCGGGTGGTCGTGGTCTGATCGCACGCTCCTGTTGCTACCGGACAGACCGCAAAGCATCCACAGTATTATCGCGCCCCTCCTTCGTGCTCAGCGCACTTCACCTTCCGCCGGTTCCCCCTTCAAGCCGTTGCGGACAAGCCAGGACTCTGGCCACATTTGTGTGAAGTTTACTTGCCTGCGGGTTAGAGGGCGACCTGTGCCGTGTGTCGTCTCAAGCTGTGCTGGGTAAAACAGCAAAGAGACTGTGTCCGCAGTCGCGCGCCGTCAATATCTCATACGGTACTTCGCCACATCTCATTCTTACAGTTCGCCAACCTGATCGCCGGAACATTGCTCAGGCTCGCATTGTGACGTGGCCATATTACCCCTAGTATCATACGAGTCCCTAGATGGTTTCAGCTAGCAGGGATTAACGCGCCGTTTCCCACTAGAGCTTATCCTTCGCTCCAGTGTCCCGCAAAACGAGTCTAGAGGACTAAGCGATAAAAGTGCAAGCATATCATAATACGGCCTCCTGGCTTGGAGACTGGCCCTACCATATATTACAGAATGTCTCCCACACCTCCATCTACAACGTCGTCGAGTGCTAGCGCATTCTCGCCAGAAGGGCAGTTCAGGGTTATCAGGAAAAGGAATCGGGTGCCTCTCTCCTGTGGACCCTGCCGACATAGGAAGTGAGAATTTGTGCACACCTTGAATATATCGTTAGTTACTGATCACCGATGAACAGGCTAAAATGTAACCGTGCAAACCCTTGCGAGAACTGTGTCAAGCGAGGCGATGCTACGTCATGCTCATACGCCCAGGCGAACGTCCGAAAGAAGAATACGCCCCAACAGTCTGCTTCAAGCTCTCCAGATGATATGCAGAACCGGATCGATCGACTGGAGAGCCTCGTTCTGTCGTTAATGACTAATGGATCACAGGCCGCAGGTCCAGCTGCGGCCCTTGCTGCGATATCAGGCAATAGCAGCAGCGCTGGTTCGGTACCACACACAGGTGATTTAGACCTAGAGGATGAATCACCCAATGGCCCGGAGGAGAGTGACACTGAGCAAGTCACGAAGTCATTCGGTATCATGAAGGTGGACAACAACAAGTCTTGGTATTTCAGCGAAGCTCATTGGGCGACTGTGATGAATGATGTAGGTCTTTCCCGGCGAGAAGGCTCGGTCGGTGTGCTTATTATCCTTTATAGATAGCAGAAGTCCGCAATTACTTTCAGACACACAAGAAACAGTACGAGGAACAGGCCGAAAAATTGAAGGCTACCAAGCTTCCTACCGATGTCCCGGGCTCTGCATTGTTATTTGGAGCAACGAAACCTCTGACTCGGGCGGAAATTATGTCTTCTTTTCCGTCAAAGTACACGACGGACATGCTTATTGCGCGTTATTTCAGCTGCTATGACCCTTCAACTCGTAAGCCAACGATGTCTTTCCCCTACGGGGTAGTGTCTGACCATACTGACGTAGGGAACAGACATTCTCCATGGACCAACGTTTCAAGCTCAGGTAGGCCGCCGATCATTGCGCCTCATACCATAGAGGCATTGTACTAATTATGCTCCAGTATAACAAACACTGGGAAGACCCTTCGCAGACATGTACTGTTTGGATTGCCATGCTCTTTGCCATGATGCGACTTGCAATGTTATCTTACCATCGAGATGGAGATGAGCCACCAGAGTTCCGGGGAAAGTCCCTAGACATGGCTGGCACATTTAGGAATCTTGTTGCGCAATGCCTTACCTTGGCGGATTACACCAAGTCATATCCAAACTTGATCGAGAGCTTAATATTCCACCTTCATGGAGACCTCTGCCAAACTCGAGAAGCGGACGTATCAGTTTGGGTGCTGGTAGGAGTGATTACGAGACTGGCCATGCGGATGGGGTATCATCGCGACTCCAAAATGTTTCCCAACATCACACCTTTCCAAGGTGAAATGCGCCGTCGAGTGTGGTCATTCGTGCGGCAAGCCGACCTCCTATGTTCCTCGCAAATTGGTCTGCCCAGCATGATTCGCAGCGCTGACAGTGACACGGATCTTCCCCGGAACCTGTATGACGACGATTTCGACGAGAACTGCCAGGAGCTTCCTCCATCCCGTCCTCCGAATGAACCCACCCCGATCTCTTATCTCATTGCGAAATCACGCCTGTCATTTGTCTTTGGCTGTGTCGCCGAGTCGGCTTCTCCCCTCCAAAATGCATCCTACGACAAGGTCATGGAGCTTGATGCTGAGCTTCGTCGAGCCAGGGACTTGATACCGGAGCACCTACTTGTTCGTCCCATCGAAGACTGTCCGCTAGAATCGCCAAATCTCATACTGTCACGATTTGCTGTAAGTTCCTCCCGCGATGCTTCTGTTCGGTACTGACGGCGTCCAGGTGGCAAGTGTTTACCACAAAGCACAATGTGTCCTTCATCGAAAATACCTTATCCGAGCACGTGAGAATCCTCGGTTTACATACTCGAGGAGGACCTGCATCGATTCTGCAATGGAGCTGCTGCGGTATCAGTCATTGCTTCATACTGAGACTCGGCCCACGGGCCGTCTACGAAGTCGACACAACCGAGTCACCTCGCTTGGCTCTACCGATTATCTCCTTGCCGCAACCATCATATGCATCGATCTGTATAATGGACAGCGACTCCAGGCTGCAGGCAGAGTCTCTAACGACTCATATGCATGGGGTAGAGAGCGACGAGATGAAATGTTGGCAGCTCTACAGCGGTCCAAGGAGATATGGGAGGAACTGCAAGACGAGACAATGGAGGCTTGGAAAGCCGGAGGGGCTCTAGGGGTGATGCTTGCCAAGTTGAACTTGGGATTCCCCGAGAGCACTGCTGCCGCGCCGACATTCGAGCCGCAGGATGAGAAACAAAGTGCGGCGATGACCCTCGGCCTTCTCAGCAGCGGGATGAGCCCCATGAACCCTGGCCACCAATCCCTCAATGACATCTCATACAAGATGGCAGAGGCGCCTTTACCCGCGCAGGGGGCGTTCGGGACGACGGCAGATATGCCCGGGGCGCCTTCGCCTTTTAACACAATGTTTGGGCAAATGCCTGATATGCAGCTTAATCTCGATTGGGTAAGTGTTCTTGTAGGATGTGACGGTGTGAAAAATCATCTGAACTAACCGGCCATCAGGATGCTTGGGACACCTATATTCAGAACTCAACGCTAGAAGCTTCGTCACAATGGTGGCCCTCCGTAGACATGCAGCAGCAACAGGGCCTAAATCCGCTGCCTCCGCAGGTGCCAGCGGGTCAGAATGGTGGCACCGATAGGGTTCGCCCCTTGCCTCGTGGTCTCAACCTCTTCTCTCCCGAGACTAGTGGCTATGAAAACAGCAGTCCACTTGCGGCGACGACTTTTTCTGCCAACGGTAATTCAGGGCAGGGGGCATCATGATGCCCCCCCGACCGTAATTCGGCCACGCAGGATACGAAAATTAAATGGCAAGCATTGATGTGAAGGTCAAATGCTGCACGGTTCCTTTTGAAGTGTTCCCTTGTTGGTTGGCTGATCTCCTCTCACACGAGGCGTGTCTCCTTCCCTTCACAGTATATATTGCGGAGTTGGTGTCTGAATGGGGTCAGGGCTTGGGATGATACCACTGTATCAGACACGATGTAAAATAAATAATTCAGTCGTTCATTGCAGCTATGCCATGGGCACTCTGCCGATCTATTAGTACCCACATGCGGCACGAAGTAGTCTTTGCGGATATAGAAGCGCATCAAGAAAGACCAGGCTAGGCCATACGCCTCCCCCTACCCCAGACCTTAAAGCTAGCCAGCCACGTGACATAATCGGCTCGGATAAACCATATTTTCCAAGCAAATGTCCGAAGCAGCTGAATCCCAGCAGAATCCCGGTCAATCCCAAAAATTTCCTTGTTTACAATTTTTCTTTTTTTTTTTCTAAAGAAATTTGTTTCACCCCAGGACGTTTGGTTTGAAAAGAGAAAATGTAGGTTGATGGCACCACACCCTGAAGGGAGCAGTTGACTTTGTGTTCAAGTTAACAATGAACCCCTACACAGGCATTCCTTCCGAGCAGCTTGTCGGCTGCTGTCTTTGACGGCCCCAGCCCCGTTACGCTCAACTCAGGCGATTCCATCCTTCACTTCTCGCGTGACAGTTCCTCTCCGAATTTCGCAGCCGCTCCTCCAGAGCCGCTGGAACAGCAATGAAGTTAAACCCCAATCAGAGCCTACCAGCACCGATGCACCGGCTGAGACCCCGGTCGAGACCCCCGTCGAGAGTGAATCACGCGAGCCCACAGCAATCCGGTTTGTGAAAACAGAAGAGGCACACAGCCGACTCACCGAGGAAGAAAGAGTCGCGAAGAGGCGTGAACAACGTAATCGGCTTCTGTCAACTCCCCCGAGCCCGAAGGAGACCGTTTTCATCGGCAATCTCTTTTATGATGTGACCGCCGAGGATCTGAGACGGACGATGGAGAAGTACGGAACTGTTGAAAAGGCCATTATCGTTTTTGACAGCCGGGGACTCAGTAGAGGGTGAGTGAGCTCGAACGGAGACAGGAAAAGACGGCTCTAGAGCGCATGGTCTGACAATTCTTGATAGGTACGGCTATGTGCAATTCGATACTATCGAAACCGCTCAACGCGCCATTTCTGCCATGCACTTGCGCCTCTATGAGGGACGTCGCGTTACCGTGCAATTCGCCCAGAACAACATGAACCACCGCCGGGTTCTGCAGGAACCTTCGAAGACCCTGTATATTGGTAACCTGCCGTTTGAGATGACCGATCGGGACATCAATGAACTGTTCAAGGATGTTCAGAATGTCATTGATGTTCGTGTGGCGGTTGATCGTCGGACCGGGCAGCCTCGGGGTTTCGCTCATGCCCAGTTCATCAGCGTTGCTAGCGCCCAGCAGGGATTCGCGGTTCTTGAGAACAAGAAGCCGTATGGCAGGACTCTGCGCCTCAACTACAGCAAGTCCACTAACAAGAGTGTGACTGAGCCTCTGGTTAAGGAAATCGAAAACAACACCGAGTAATTTGCCACGGCTGGTCTGGGTTGATATCTCTTCTGCATAGGAGCTGTCAGGAGAGGAAACTTGTCATGTACTTTACCTAAATGATTCGTTTTAAGTTGTGTATTTTAAATAGTATATTATACCGTTGAGATGACATCTCAGTGCCCTCGAATTCATAAGAAACACGTGACTGCCGGGGAGCCTCGGTATCTTTCCGATCGGCTGCAGCACGGCTCCGAGACCCCACGATCGGTGCTTCCCCTCAGTCAACTCTCCTGAACGCATTCTCACATCGGCTCGGTCAAATTCCCGAGATATTGACCTCTTCCGCTGAAATATTGATGATATAACTGAAATCGAATCCATTACGAAACCGCTACGACCCCGCAACAATATGTCATTCCTCGGTGGCGCCGAGTGCTCTACGGCGGGAAACCCGTTGACTCAGTTCACAAAGCATGTCCAAGATGATAAGTCACTACAACGAGATCGCCTGGTAGGGAGGGGCCCAGGAGGCATGCAAGAGGGCATGCGGTCCCGGGGTATGATGGGAGGCCAAGATCAGGTACGAGTGAGCATGAACGATGGACATCCATCCAGTGCTAATGAGTGATTGGTAATACATACAGATGATGGACGAATTCGCCCAACAACCTGGTCAAATCCCCGGTGCGCCCCCGCAACCGTTTGCGATGGAACATTTGCGACGCGAGTTAGATCAGTTTCAGACAACCCCTCCCCGAACAGGTTCCCCCGGCTGGGCCGCTGAGTTTGATGCGGGTGAACATGCCCGGATGGAGGCCGCCTTTGCCGGGCCCCAGGGCCCCATGATGAACAATACGTCGGGATTTACGCCCGCGGAGTTTGCTCGATTTCAGCAGCAGAGTAGGGCTGGCATGCCCCAGACGGCTAACCCGGCTACGTCTTCCCAGTCTCCGATGATGGCTGGTTACCAGCGGCCTATGGGTATGGGTGGGTATATGGGCATGGGTGGAATGGGTGGGATGGGAATCATGCCTCAGACTTTCAACCCGATGGCAATGCAGCAGCCCGCTGAGGCGACTACGCAGGATAAGGGCAAGGGACGCATGGTCGAACTGGACGACGAGAACTGGGAGGCACAGTTTGCGGAGATGGAGACGGCAGACACTGAGAAAGTGGACGAGGAAGCCAACGCAGCTGTGGAGGCGGAGCTGAATGATCTGGACAGGTCAGTCCCCCTTACCAGTACGGCGGAAGATCAGGATTATGGTGCTTTTGAAAGCGTATGGGAAAGGGTCCAAGCTGAGACCGCAACAAACAGGAAACTGGCTGAAGAGGGAGAAAACTTATTTGACGTCCACGAGAACTTCCACGCGGGAGATATGGGTGACTGGGAGGGATTCGACACACTTAATACTCGCTTCCGCAACCCCCAACTGGGCGACTACATGTTCGAAGAAGAGAACGTGTTCCGGAATGTAAGCAATCCGTTCGAAGAAGGTGTGAAGATCATGCGCGAGGGAGGGAATCTCTCTCTGGCTGCCTTGGCTTTCGAGGCGGCGGTCCAGAAGGACCCGCAACATGTCCAAGCCTGGACCATGCTGGGATCGGCCCAGGCTCAGAACGAGAAGGAACTGCCGGCCATTAGAGCGCTGGAGCAGGCCCTGAAGATTGATGCCAACAGTCTGGATGCGCTTATGGGGCTGGCTGTATCTTACACTAACGAGGGCTATGACTCGACTGCCTACCGCACCCTGGAGCGCTGGCTCTCCGTCAAATACCCTCAGATTATCAACCCCAAGGATGTTTCCTCGGACGCCGACCTCGGATTTACGGATCGGCAGCTACTTCACGACCGCGTAACCGACCTCTTTATCCAGGCTGCTCAACTGTCGCCCTCGGGCGAGCAAATGGACCCTGATGTACAGGTCGGCCTGGGTGTGCTCTTCTACTGTGCGGAGGAGTACGACAAGGCGGTTGACTGCTTCTCTGCTGCGCTGGCTTCCACGGAATCTGGAACATCCAACCAACAGGAGCAGCTTCACCTGCTGTGGAACCGGCTTGGTGCTACGCTGGCCAACTCAGGTCGTTCCGAGGAGGCGATCGAGGCCTACGAGCAGGCGTTGAACATCAACGCCAACTTTGTCCGAGCGCGTTACAACCTGGGGGTGTCGTGCATCAACATCGGGTGTTACCCGGAGGCGGCGCAACACCTGCTGGGAGCTCTGTCCATGCACCGGGTGGTCGAGGAGGAGGGTAGAGAGCGGGCGCGCGAGATCATCGGTGGCGACGGGGGCATCGACAATGAGCAGATCGATCGGATGATCCACGTCAGCCAGAACCAGAGCACGAATCTGTATGACACGTTGCGGCGGGTGTTTAGCCAGATGGGACGGCGGGATCTGGCCGACCAGGTCGTGGCTGGAATGGATGTCAATGTGTTCCGGAAGGAGTTTGAGTTCTAAACAAGCCATCTAGGTAGTTGTATGTTGGATATCACATAGTATATATTTGCGGTGTACTCGGTCAATGAGAATGCGAATGATTGCCAGTAAAACATGGCTGGCTCGGGCAGTCAGTCAGTCCACTTGCAGGTCGTCTCCAGTTTGTGTCCAGTTTACCTCGGCCCTTCGACTCCGCAATCCCCAACCTTCTGCAGCGGAGAAGCCTGTAGCTCTTGCACAGTGCACCAACCAGTCTCTCATTCTTCTTGCTAGCTGCCAGAGCTGCGACCGACTCGCAATGACTTCAATCACCGGCGCTCAAATAATTGCCCGGACGCTGCGCGATCTGGGGGTGACAGTCATCTTCGGCATTGTTGGCATCCCCGTGGTGGAGATCGCCGAAGAGGCCATCAACCTGGGCATTCGATTCGTGGCCTTCCGCAACGAACAGGCCTGTGGCTATGCTGCCAGTGTCTACGGGTACATGACAGGGCGACCGGGCGTGTGTCTGGTCGTCGGAGGGCCCGGCGTTCTCCACGCGCTGGCCGGCGTAAGCTCATCCTCCTCCGCTAGGCGTCTCTTGGCTGTCGTGCTAATTGAACTGCTTTCCCTTTCGTCTCGTCCAGATCGGAAACGCCTCCGCGAACAATTTCCCTCTTCTCGTTCTCGCTGGCTCTGCGGAGACCACCGGCATCACCAAAGGCGCCTTCCAGGAATTGGACGCCATCTCGCTCCTCACCCCCCACACCAAGCTCGCCGTCCGCGCCTCCTCCCTCGACTTCATCCCCAGCGCCGTCAAGAATGCCTACAGGACATGCTGGTACGGGCGTCCGGGCCCGACTTTCGTCGATCTCCCTGCCGATATTATCCAGGGCAAATGCTCTCCCGATTATCGTCTTCCCCAGCCTGAAACCCTCCGGGTCCCGTCGCCCCCGAAAGCAAGCGGAGACCCGGCCTTGATCCTAAAGGCAGCGCAGTTGCTACGAACCGCCCGCTCTCCGCTACTGGTTATCGGAAAGGGCGCCGCATACGCGCGAGCAGAGCATGGAATCAACCAATTGGTGGAGCAGACCTCAATTCCCTTCCTGCCCACACCAATGGGCAAGGGTGTGGTGCGGGACTCACATCCGTTGAACGCATCCAGCGCACGTAGCGCAGCTCTGAAGAATGCAGACGTCGTCCTGGTCCTTGGGGCGCGCCTCAATTGGATCCTACACTACGGCGAGGCACCGAAATGGTCACCCACAGCCAAGATCATCCAAGTGGATATCTGCGCGGAAGAAATTGGCCGCAACGCTGGCACCGCTGAGCTCGGCATCATGGGAGATATCAGTCTGGTCGTGGACCAACTGCTCTCTTCTCTCTCAAACTGGAAATACTCCCCTCAATCTTCGGCCAAAGACGACTTCGCTTCTATCCTAACTGCCTCGGCCAAAAAGAACGAAGAGAAGGCCCTACGGGTCGCTCTTCGGCCCACTCCACCAAACTCCCCCCTGACGTACCAACGAGCCTACCACATCATCAAAGGGACCTTGGCCGGTTTAACCCCCATGGACGAGGGAAACATCGTCTACGTCTCCGAGGGCGCCAACACAATGGATATATCCCGCTCCATGTTCCCCCTCAACCACCCCCGCCAGCGCCTCGATGCCGGCACTTACGCCACCATGGGCGTTGGCCTGGGATACATCGTCGCAGCCCATGAAGCCTTCAACGCGATTCCGGGCTCCCCGCCCAAGAAAATCGTCGCCCTGGAAGGCGATAGCGCTTTTGGATTCAGCGCCATGGAGATCGAAACCCTCGCCCGCTACCGCATTCCCGCGTTGATCTACGTCATCAACAACTCAGGCATCTACCACGGTGACTCGACCTCCGAAGACGCTTGGAAGACCCTGCAGCATGAGACGGCCCTCAACGACACCAAGTCCGCCGACGGGAAGAAGGGTCTCCGCTCGACCAGTCTGCTGTACGAAACACGGTACGAGATGCTGGCGACCATGTGTGGCGGGAAGGGATTCTTCGTGCGTACCGAGGATGAGCTCCGGGCTGCTACAGTTGAGGGGTTCAAAAGTGGTACAGTCACAGTGGTGAATGTTATCGTCGAGCCGGGAATCGGGAGAAAAATCGGATTCGCTTGGCAGGGGAATACTGCTGAGCAGGCGAAGTTGTAGTTACTCTAGCATAGGTGGTGGATACATATAGTACGGGTGCTTTGTATGTATGCATATATTTGCATATAGTTTGGTATATGATAGTATTTTTTTGGGCTAAAGAGTATGAATGGACAGTGCTATGCATAACGACACCCGCCACTGTAGATATGTATTTATGCTAGTTGAACCGATCCCACGATCCTCATATAATATCACACTGTTATCCCACCCAACCACCACCATCGAACATATCTACAAAACCTCCTCCAAAACCTTCGCCACCGCAACAGCCTTCTCCTCCCCGAACCTGCCCCCAACAATCTGTACCGTAATCGGCATATCCTTGACCAAGTCGACGTCATCTGCATCACACATCCATCCACAGTTAGCAATCCATTCCTCAGAACCGCAACCACCAAATCGAACCAACAAGAGCAAACATTCCACTCCCATAAACAAGAAAATAAAAAGGAAGGAATGTGCTTGTTGGTGCTATTCTTGAAAATATGAGAGTAAACGTACACTGTCCCCAATTAAACCGATCCGACTCATTCCGTGGTTTATGTCCCAACCACTCCTCGTCCGGTTCATCAAGAACCTTATCCACCTTTGTGACGGGAACAGTAACAGCCGCATAATTAAGGAAGTTCCAGAGTGCCGTGTAGCCGAGCCATTGGGAACTGACTACCCAGGATTTGGGTTTGTAGCCGACCCATGGCGTGACGGGCATCAGGAGGGCGTCGATGTTGGCTGCGTTCCAGTGGGAGAGGAAAGTGGTTTGGTAGGTCCATTTTGTTTGTTCGAGCTGTTGGTTTATTTAATTGTTTGTGTTGAGTTAGTGGTATGTGGTTGGGAGGAGGGAACTGACCTCTTCACGTTCGGGGATGGACAGCTCGTCTTTCTCGGTCCCGACGACCATTCCTTCTATTAGAGGCTCGCCGACAATGTCGCAGAGGTAGCGACAGTGTTGGCCGCCGTCGGCAAGGATGGCTTTGGTCCAGAGGTTGGTGCCGGTTGTGTGGAGGGCGGTGTCCCATTCGATGACTTGTATGGTTAGTTAGGGATGGTGATGATAGGATGGTAGATGGAAGCAGATGTATACCTTCGTGGCCGGCGTCTTGGAGTTTCTGGGCGACTTCACGCATTGCCCTGGCAATTGGGGGTTGGGGTTTGACGACGCCGTCGTCGTAGATAATCCCTAGCCGGAGTTTTCGGGTGGGTTTCGCGGCCAGCTCCTTTCTCCAGGGGATGGGGAGGCATCCTGGGTCGATGCTCCAGGGCTCCGAGTTGAAGAGGGACTGCATGAAGTGCTCGATTGTGGACAGGCTGCGGGCCATGGGCCCTGCCACTGGAGGGACGAGGTAGTGCTGGTGCATGCTGCGAATGTTAGTTGTTGGCGGGGGACTGCATAGGTGAGGGCCTCACAAAGAGCAGTTCCACGGAACTCGGCCTGTCGTAGGACAGATCGAGTACAAGCCCTGCAGGTTGGCTGGGATGCGAATCGAGCCCCCGATATCTGTCCCAATGCCTACGACACTGCCGCCGCTGCCGACCAGGGCGCCTTCGCCGCCGGAGCTACCGCCAGAAATGAGCTGGCTGTTGAAGGCGTTGATAGACTGACCGAAGACGTGATTGTAGGAGTCGGACATCTGACTTGATCAGCGCCTCCCTGACGTGTGATGCAGAGAGCGGTTGTTACCATCAGAGACTGCGGCACGTTCGTCTTCACGTACAACACTGCTCCCATTGATTCCAGCGATTTGGCGATACTGCTGTTGCTCTTTGCCGGCTTGCCTACCAATCCCACCCATCCTACCTACCAGTTAGCTATCGCCGACCCTCGTAATGGTAGAAAGGCGATGTCACAAACCAACAGTAGTATCAAACCCCTCGACATCAAACCGATCCTTAATGGAGACCGGCAGTCCATGCAATGGCCCCGTCACCTTTCCCGTATTTTCCAGCAGATCATCTAGCTCTTTTGCCCGTGCCAGTGCCCGCTCGAAGAAGATCTCCGTCAGACACTTGATCAGCTGCTGGGCAACGGCCGCGCGTTTACAGAAAGCTGTTGTGAGCTGAACGGAGGTGATCTCTCGAGTCGCCAGCATAGCAAGCAGTACGCTACTGTCATCAATCTCCGTCCACTTCAGCTCATCCTCACTAAGGATGCCGCAGGTGCGAATGACATCAAGGGCATTGAGTGGAGGATTGGCGATGATGGACTCTGGGAGACGCCAGCTGGGCGGGATCGCGGCCAACTGAGCCGCGCGTTTCTTGAGTACGGTTGGTTTCCAAGTCGGAATCGTCATTGTTATCTTGCTTTGAGGGTTGTCTTGGGTAGAGAGGTAAAGGAACGATCACTGGTTGCCGGTCGGATAGCGGGACAATTGAGACTTATAGCGGGTGAGTATCAGGCCTCCTGCAGGACATTCACGGTGGTTATCATGTTAATGAACCAAGGGAGTAGATAAGTTGAGATATGGGGAGTACTGCCAATCATGGCTGCTGATTGTCTATGCGGCCTATCTCAGGGAGGACGGACTGATTAGCTTTGTATTGTGGATTGCGCTGCGGGGACGGGAGGGGAAGCTGACCGGTTTGGGGAACGAATTGCCCCTCACGATTGGAGAGGTGATGGATTCTGGGAGGCAAAGGAGAAGAGAAGCTGACGAGATGATGGAGGGTCGGATGACTGGCCCGCCAACCAAGAGGCCCGGTCAGGCGCCGAGGCGCAGTGCTACGGCCGGGACAAACACGAGCAGCAAACATATAACACTCAATCATCACTTGGATATGCAATACTATCGTACATACAACGCTCTACACCGTGATCAACATGCTGGCGTTCTTATACCAGGTCAACAGCGGATTCTCCCCGTTCTTCGTCTCCGTGTCCTCAATGTACGCCCACCGGCGCATGAAGTCCTCGTGGCTCATTACCTGGGTCAGCTTGCCCGTGATGGCGCGGTAGATGTCTTCAGTCGTGTTGAAGTCGGTTGGGAAGAAGATGTCAAAGTATCCTTGATGGACCTAATGCACAGTCAGTATCCGGGCAGCAGAGTCGCGAGAGGGAACCTACAAATGGCGTCGTAACTGGAACGGTCCGTCTCTTGTACCGCGTCTGCACCACGGGCCCATTTATGCCAGGCACCGGATCCGGGAGAACGTTAAAGTCACTGGAAACCAGGCGGTGTCCCGGGAAGTAGGTGTTCAGGATGTCGAAGAACTGCATGAGGCGGGTGGGAATATACTCCGGCTGTGAGTATTCTTCACGGCTTAGGTACCTCTTGTACTTGGGGCTGATCGGCGAGCGGAACTTCCGCCGCGCCGCAGCCTGGCGCACTCGCAGGAAGCGAGCAGCAACCGGATCCAGCTGCGTATTGTAGTACTCGTGGAACTCGCCGGTGGAGTCAATCAACACGCCGCCCTGCTGCGGCAACTCCGTCTTGAGGTCGTAGCGGATAGTATCATGAGAAAAGTTATCGAACACCTCCAGCGCCAGAAAGAAGCACGGCGAGTGCACGTACGTATCCCAGTCGAAGATGGAGCGGTTGATGATCTCCACATGGTCCTCATGGCCAGCCGCATCCAGCGACTCGGTCAAGTTCTTCTTCTGAAGCGATGCCAGCGCCGGCGAAATTTCAATGATCTTGAACTTGGTCCGCTGATAGACCTCGTGATCGGTGTCGCGAATATAATCCAAGATGTTCCTCATCATCGTTCCATTTCCGGCACCCATCTCATATATGATCAGGTCGTGGTAGGGGTACAGTGTCAACTTATAATTCGACACTAGGTAGCGGGCGATGGTCTCTCCGTAGTAGGGCCGGAAAAGCTCTGTCGGCGTATGCCACAGCTGGCGAGCAATATCTGGGTTGATTTCATCCAGCCGGTCCTCGAAATCCTCGTAGCGATCCCCGAGCATGCGATGGAACGCCGGGCCGTCCTCGATCTCGTTGAAATAGAACGGGTCTCCGGGACTAAAGATGGTGGCATGTTTCGAGAAGTAGCCGTAGTTGTTGTTGTACAAACTGTCTATAACAAAGAAGAAATAATCAGCGGCTGTCAATTCCACGAGCAATCGGCGGCTTACCGTCGATGAATTCTCTCGTCAGCATCTTCACTTGTCGCGGCCGCTCGCGATGATTGCGGAGCTCTTTGGCCGTCACCAGCGGATGAGTCTGGAATTCCTCATGAAGATCTTTATCCAAGTGCTTCCGTTGGTTCCAAACCACCCCAGGATCCATAGACTTCTTGTTTGCCTGGCGTCGCCCGAAAAAGGACCGACATTGTTGACGGGATGGGTTGGACAGGCGCACGCAACCCGGTCGGCGCCCTGACAGGGCAGACGAGGGCCGCAAGGACCGACAGGCAGGATGTTGGAACAGCTGCCGTAACAGCTGATTAAGGACTGGCGAGTCCATGGGCTGGAATTGGCGGCGAGTAACAGCAGCAGCCGGGCGATGTGGAGGACCAGAGGAGGAGAGGTCAGGTAATTCATCCGCGCATCGACGAAATCCATTGGCGGAGCTGCGCTGGTGGCCCGAGCTTTTTCTCCGGTGTCTTCCCCGACTCGTCCTGACGTAGATGATCCCCTCTGCGTCTTCTTCGGCGTCTTCTTCTCCTCGGTCACTGCAGAATGGATGACCACTCGCGCATCTACATAAGCACCGCCTTCGTGGCCGGTGTCCTGCTCACCCTGGGGTTCAAAGACCTCGTCTACCCGGAATTGGAGCGGCGCATCCGAGACTACTATCAAACTGACTCGCAGTCCAAGTCTGCAACAACCTCCACTGACCTTTCAGAAGATGTTCTGAGCGCCAGAACAGGCCCCCCTGCCATTGTAGAAGGAATTGAAGGCTGCATTGGGAACACGCCATTGTTCCGGATCAAGTCCTTGTCCGATGCGACGGGATGCGAGATTCTGGGCAAGGCCGAAGTACGTCCTATTCCTTGACTTTCCAGATGTCGGTATTGTTCCTTCGCTATGAAATTCACCTAACATTGATGCAGTTCCTCAACGGAGCTGGCCAAAGCTCCAAGGACCGCGTCGCGCTGAGCATGATCCAAATAGTACGCAGTCCCGTTCAACGCATTGAATCACCTCTCACATTCCCTGCAGGCTGAACAGCATGGTATTCTGAAACCCCGCTCAGGCGATACAATCTACGAAGGTACTTCCGGCTCGACAGGAATCTCCCTGGCTACCTTAGCTCGAGCGAAAGGCTATCTTGCGCACATGTTCGTATCCGTAGCCTACATAGATCATATGCGCTTCCTATATTGACAAATCCCTAGCTGTATGCCATCTGACCAAGCGATCGAAAAGTCCAATCTCCTTCTTAAACTCGGCGCGATAGTCGACCGTGTCCCACCTGCGCCAATTGTGGAAAAAGACAATTTCGTCAACCGTGCGCGAGCTCTTGCTCAAGCACAAACCGCTTCGACCACGGACGGAAGGGGTTTTTTTGCCGACCAATTTGAAAACGAGTCGAACTGGCGGGCTCATTTCAACGGTACAGGACCGGAGATCTATGCGCAGTGCAATGGGAAACTGGACGCTTTCGTGGCGGGTGCTGGGACTGGGGGCACCATCTCTGGCGTGGCGCTCTTCCTGAAGCCTAAAATACCCAACTTGCATGTGGTGCTGGCCGACCCTCAGGGAAGTGGACTGTACAACAGGGTTCGGTTTGGCGTCATGTTCGATTACAAGGAGAAGGAAGGCACTAGGAGACGCAGGCAGGTCGATACTATCGTCGAAGGAATTGGGATCAACCGTGTGACGGCGAATTTCGAGGCTGGGAAGGAGCTGGTCAACGACGCTGAAAGGGTGACGGACGCTCAGGCTTTGGCGATGGCTAGGTGGCTTGTCGAGAAGGACGGCATATTCGTCGGCAGTAGCAGTGCCGTGAACTGTAAGTGCTCTCCAGGTTCTTTTGTCGCGTCAACCATGCTGACCTCCTATCACGTAGGTTTCGCGGCTGTTAAGACGGCATTGAAGCTCGGCCCCGGTCACAGGATTGTGACCGTTCTGTCTGATTCTGGGTCGAGACATCTTTCCCGGTTCTGGGCCAAGGCTGGTGATGTTGGTGGCGCCGTCGATACAAAGTTGGAGGATGTTTTAAACGCCAAGGAGGATGATCAATAGAAGCTACGGTTCGTTTCGGGCAGCATGGGGTTGTTGGGGAAAGAAAGACAGGGAAAGAAAGATCCAAAGATGGGACCGGGAGGACCCCTGGACGGGCGACAAGGCCTAAGCATGCTATTCTCGCTATGGCTGAAGGTGAAGCTAGTGTCTGACATGGCTGCGGCCAGGATATGCCCGTTGCCGCTGAAACCGGCTGCCTGGGATCCTCTCGGCTTTACCCGGACGAACCCTGGCGGTGGCTCCCATTCGCGCTAGAACCGCGCGAGTGCCCACGTCCTCCTGTCACCCCAAATGTCCCTCCCCTAGTGGGTCATGGCGGGGATCTGGCAAGATTCGTGCTCGAAGCGATTGCCCCCGCCGACTGGCTGGCTGCACGTAAGGATCGAATTCTGACTCGGGTACCACGATGCCGCTTCATGATTCGTCCTTGCCTGTTGACCCGGCCATCGAATCACCGGCCTCTTTGTGCAAAACCTCCTCGCCAACCCAGCGCTGCAATAGCTCGAATTCGATCTCCGCGAGTGGGCGCCCGGGCAGCTCTGCACGGATTGTGGCCCATGAAAGCCCCCGTTGGTCTTTGATTTGGTCCAGCTGTTCCCGCTCTGGATTGGTCCAAGGCTTGGACAATGGAGGCGGCTTCGCTCGGCGATCACTCCAGTGGCTCCTATTCCACTGGATGAGTTGGCTCAAGCTTTTCTGTGGAAGCTGGTCAAGGATATCGTTCCACTTCTTCCCCTGTACTTGCCTCATTCTAACAATCAACCTTGCTTCATCCGGACCAATGAACGTCCTGACACGTTTTTTCGTAGGCGTCGTATCGTTATCCACTGGGATGTTCTCCGCCGCTTTCGTGGTATTCACCGAAGAAACGGCCCCTTTTTTGGCAGAAGTGTTGGCGGAGGTGGTGCCCCCTTCTGCCTGCAACTTGGGAGTCCGAGGGTTGGTAATGGCCGACAGATGCCTTCGGACTTCTGCCTGATCATGCTGGCCATCCGCCGGCTTGGACAGGACGTCCTTCAGGTGGGAGACGTAATCGGGACGAGCAAAGTATTGCTGGCAAGACTCGCATCTGTCTTTCGTACGAGTCGGAGTATGCGATTCCAAGCGCTTACCTCGGATTTCGATGCCCCGTTTGGGTGTTGGTGACGGCTCGTAGTCTTCCTGCAACGGGTCGTCGGATTCATCTCCGTCAGGCGTTTCCGCAAAGGACCAGTCGCACCCGACGGGGCTGGACTGGCATCTCCTCCCCTGCGGAGTGGTCTGGGGTTTCTTTGCGCGTTTCGATCCGGAGCTCCGGCGGGACGACCAAGGAAGTGCCCAGGTAGACCCTGTCCGCGGTGGGGACTGAGAGCGTACAAGATTGAGCGAAGGCGCAGGACGTGACTTGTTCCATGCCGGTGTAGCGAACCCCCCACTAATTTCAGGAACGCGCCATATTGCCTCCACCGCCTCACTGAATTTGACCCCCCTGGATTGGGCGGATGCTTCAGCCGCAGGATTTGCTTTTTTGGTAGCAGGCTTCCCTGTAACATCTGCCATCGCCTTGCGGCCCCGAGAGCCATCCGGGTCATTCTGGACGCACAATGCAGTATCCAGCAATGAATCCGCACTAGACCTATCGTCGTTAGTATCCGGGTCGCCATTGGCTGCTTCGCTCGCCGTGGTCTCCCGTGACTGGTCTGGGGCCAGCCCCGTTTGCGATGGAATCGAAGCCGGTGGATGCTGAGATTGCGTGCCGTCATCTCCTGCAGTATCGCTGCCGGTTTCTGCATCGGGCTGATGAGCAGAACCGCCCAATGTAACACCATCTGCTTCCGGGTCTGGGGCTGCAGACAAGCCCGGCTCGAACAGCCAACCACTCTGCTCGCCGGTATCATCTTCACCGTCCATGGCCTCGATGTGGCCATTGTCCACGACTATCTTTCCGGTTTGTAAATCAATTTCGTCGCCGACGTCTGTAAAGTCTTTGCCGTATTTTTCAAAAATGCCTTCGAAGATCGACTTCAGACGGAGGTCATTCTGGGCACGCGCTTCATGGATGTCGATGTCGTCCACCTCCCCCTGTGGTTCCGCCCCGATAGACAGTCGCGGTCTCTTGGTAGGCCTCTCCATTGCTTCGGTGAGTCGTAGACTGGGTGGGAACGCCCGAAAAGGGATACAGCGATCGAGGGAGACTGAAGTACTGCTTGTGCGAAACGGAACACTGGGCGAAAGTCGTATATATCACGGTCGTGGCATTACCCTGATGAGGCTGTTTCAACATTTCGTCAGTCCCGGGGAGGTAGTCCATAGTATAACAAAACAGAAACAGAAGAATCATAAAAGGGTGGAAAAGGGAACGGGCAGTGATATAGTAACACGGAGGGCCGACTAGAGCTTTCACTGCCCGTTGAACATTTCATGAAGATCCTGGAAAACAGTCGGATAGAAAAGACCAGCGCGGACATGGCATACCTTTGGGGATTCAAACCAATTGACTGGGGCCTCCAATTGTCGGGCGCTTCATTGAGTGAATTCAAATCAATCACTCTGGCCGGGGATGTCCCGCTGTTGAGAAAGACGCCAAAACGCGCGCCGCGCACGGGTTGCCGCATGACGTCTCGTGAAGGAAATCCCCTGCCGAACAACCAACTCCTCCGTCCCTAACTCCGTCGGACAAAACAGCTCTTCTTCTCCCCCACCAGAATGCATGAAAGGTTGATTCCAGCCCTCTGCGACCATGTATTGCCAGAAGTGTCGGACTCCCTTGAAGCTGGATGGCTCTCTCGAGTCACTCAACCCCGCCGCCTTCGACTTGTTGATCGGTAGGTAGCCTCACCTTATCTATCTCCCTCTGCCGGAATCATGCCGGAACTGACCACGCCTCGTGGAACACTACAGGGTCGACCGGTAAATCTATTCCAGACCATAACTCTAATACGTTATCGCGGCCTCATTACCCCCAAGAAAGACGAGAGCTCTACGACCGGGCCTCCAAACATGCTACACAACCAGTCTATCGAAGATCCATCCCGGCTCCCCGCCAGGCGGGCAGCAACTCGGCCAACCCTTCGAGACTGGGACGGAGTGAAAGTGGCAACATGTCCTTCGTTATGCTCACAGAGTCTCAAGTTGGGCTGCCGCATGGAATCTCCGGTACCAACGGCGACAGCCCATCGAAGAGTAAACCGCCGATCAGCACTCCGTCCAATGATCGAGGGTCAGAGGAGGCATCGTTCGCGGACCAAGTCGAACGAACAAGCCGGCTATTTGACATTATCTCCTCGCGCTCCGACATCGACCATCCCATTTGTACCGAATGCACCGAGATGCTGGTGGACGGGTTGCAGCAGCGATTGGTAGATGCAACCAAAGAGCGGGATGCATACATCTCATTCTTGCGGAACTTGAACACCTCCGTACCGACGGCCGAAGAGCTCGAGGCAGCGCAGAAGTCGCTTAAGGAGACCCTAGATGCGGAAAAGGCTGCCTTTGAAGAGCTCCTTGCGTTGGAACAAGAGAAGGCGGCCTTGGACGAGGAAATCGCCGGGTTGGAGGAAGAGTCACGTCAAATGGATGTTGAAGAAGAGAAGTTTTGGCGCGATCGCAACACATTTGCCCTGACTCTCGCCGACTTCCAAAACGAACGCGATGCTTTAAATATGAAATACGACCATGATTCTCGTCAACTTGAACGACTGCAAAGGACCAATGTGTACAATGATGCCTTCTGTATTGGCCACGACGGCTACTTTGGAACGATCAATGGGCTGCGGCTTGGCCGGTTAGCCAACCCATCGGTCGACTGGCCCGAAATCAATGCTGCTTGGGGCCAGACGGCTCTCCTTTTGGCAACTATCGCCGATAAGTTGGGCTTCCATTTTCAAGGATACCAAATCAAGCCACTGGGGTCCATGTCCAGGATCGAGAAGATCGAACAGTCTCGACCGTCCCCGGCCCAGTCTGCGCTGAGTGGAGCAAATGCGATGTCAACCGCAACGCCCAAGATCACCACCCTCGACCTGTTTTCTTCCGGCGAGCTGCCACTAAATCTCCCCTGGCTTCACCGCCGGTTTGATGCAGGAATGGTGGCGTTTCTGGAATGCTTACGCCAACTAGGTGAATTTGTGGAGAAGACGCCAGCGCCTGTTCCCTCAAATCGCCGGGGTCACGCCAACACCACGGTGCCCGGTCTGAAGCTCCCGTACGAGATCAAACGTGATAAGATTGGTGATGCCAGCATCAAGCTTGGATTCAACCAGAACGATGAGACCTGGACCCGTGCCTGCAAATACACCCTAACTTGTTGTAAGTTTCTGCTGGCGCATGCGAGCAACGTTGCCAGTGCGGGCTCCAGTAATGCTGCGGCCGTAGCAGCCGCAGCAGTTGCAGCTGGTGAGCAAGCCGGGATGCCACCGGCGAGCCCTACTACTAAGTGAGGTCATCATCTAAGATAGACCGACTGTGCGGGATTAAACGAAGTGCACCGCTCTGCCCCTATTATTCGACTATCTTCAGATGATCAAAGGGAACAGTGGCTCTCATTCATTCTGCACCTGAAACCGGGATGCTGGGTAACCTGCTTTGCTCCCCATAATCTGCCAGAGAAAGGAATCTCAAGGGACTAGAACACAAGCTTGATCATCAGGGTGAGCTGGCAGTATGGCATCTCCGCATGTATTCAGCCACAGTGCTCTCTCTTCCTTGCATTACGCGGTTGTAGCATGACCATCGGCAGCAGCCCTTCCCAGTGAGAATAGCAGCATATGATCAACGCTCCCGCGCAGTAGTTGGTATTTACGTATTGCCTCTTTTGTCTTATCTCATGGCCTTTCGGCGCCGAGCCCTGGTGGTGTCGGAAGATGGCTGCAGTGCCCCGAGCAGATTTCACGTCGACGTGAGCAAGAAAGGGTTCTAGGCAAAGCCTGCTGGGGGTCCAGTGGACCGGCCCTAACACGGATGCGCAGGGAACTCGTCCTTCTTGTTTTGGGTGGCTCTGCCTTGCCTTTGCCTGCCTGTCTGGCTGCCTGGAGGAAGTTGGAACACAGCCTTTGAGCGCAAGGTGGTTTGGTCAGACGGGAGATCGTCCTCTAGTCGGGGGGGGGTGTGGTTCTCTCCGAAACCTGACACGGCCTGACACTCATCCCGTAAGCAAAATGCACGCGCATCGAGGATAGGTATCTTCTACCTTGATATCCTTGGAGGCCACAGTGGACCACATGGAACAACCATGGCCCAACTGCCTGCCTTGCCTTGCTTTGCCTGTCCTGCCTACCTGCCTACCTGCCTGTCTCACCCTCATTGCTTCTTTCGACCACCATCACCATGCGTAATCCTCCAAACGGGACCCATGCAAGCCAAACCAAAAGATTGACGCCGCGGCGGGATCGAAAACAAAGAAAACAAAGAAAATCTGCAGCCACAATAAATTCGGACATTGTGCGGATCCATGGCACTGGGTCCCCCCCTCTTCCCCTTCCCCTCTCCCCCAATGTTATACAGATAGCTCCAGGGATGATCCTACACGTCAAAAGGGAAAAAAGGCAAATGGAAGGGAAGGATGGAATGAATGGTTTCGGCCCGCCCCCGGGCCACTAAGTACCTACTACTACTAGTAGTAGTAGTAGTAGTCCTCCGTACTAGAGAGAGGGGGGGGGAGGGTTGTGGTTGTGTGGGCAAAACAGTCACTTCCGGCCGACCCATCCATCCACCCATTCCCCCTCCCCTCCCCCTCTCCTCCCCTCTTTCTTTTCCCTCGATGATGATGATGATGAGATTAGCGTCTTGTGTAGCAAGGTATCCAAGTACTAGGTAAGTTCGAACGGACAGACAGTGGCGGGCGCGCGCGGGCAACGGATGCACTATTCACGGGCTGACATTAGCGTGTCTCCTCTTTCTTTTTTCTTTGTTTCTTGCTTTATTTCTCCTAGTTAGATAGTAGTTATGTAAGTATGTATTATTAACTATCTATTCCTCTTTTTGACTCTCCCATACCCCTGTACCTAGATAGATTACTGGATACTAGATAGTTACACTAGATACTTTACAACCAGATAAGTAAAGTGAGCCCCGCTGCAAATCACGTTCTCTACTAGGTAGATAGATAGGCTACATGCCGTTACTGGCGGATGTTAATATTCCTTGGGAGTTTACTGGTCAGGAGGTCTTAGGGTTGTTATTATCATTATCGTTGTTAGTATTAGTATTATTGTTGTTGTGGTTATGATCTTAGTGTTCTTATCCATAGGTCCGTCCCTAGGGTTCTTTCTGTTCGTACCTTTGTCTACCTACCTACCTACCCACTTATCTTGAGCAACCCCCCAATGTATGGATTTGGGTTTTTTAATCTCGCCCCCAAGTAGTACCTCGTACCTCGTACCATATGTGCATCGCTTTTTTTGATCCAAAGTACTTAGGTTTTTAATTATACCCCAACCCACCCCCACCAAGTAGACACATATATCCAGCGACAAAGCACGTTATGTAGGTATGTATGTTCCCCGGTTGCCTTCTTCCCGCGTATGTAAGTACATCGGTTAAATTAACAAAGCAGTATTATTGCATTGGGCCGTGCATGCTTGTTTCAACCCTTACGTGATCCTAAAACTTAGGCGGAGGATATGCGAGAGCCACCCAAGGAGGTACTTACTCAGGTAGGTATAGGTGGGTATGTCCGTGTGGTTGTATGGGGTGTATGGGCGTATGCATGTAGGTTAGCTGGTACTTTTGACCGGGTTCGCTTTTCCGGATAACCAGCACAACAGGGCACCATTTGCTTATTCGTCTCCCTCTTCTTGTTTTTCTTTCTCCTTCATTACTGCTCTTGGTCATTGCCATTTGCTTCATGGAGAAGGTGGAAAAAGAAAATACTTACTGGGTCATCAGTTGGAGTTGGAAGGGGAGAAGGCCCATCGGTAAGAGGGATGGAATGGATGAAATATGAATTACTTACCTGACACTGACAGACAGCCCAGGGAATGCAACCTAGTCGAGTTCGATGATGGCGTATGATACTGTACTGAGTATGTTTACACAGGTAACACAGATACAGCCTGGAGGGACGTCCGTGGTGGTTAGAGGGGAGCTAGTATTCCAGGGGACGGCCGTCGGTGGTCATGAATCGTGGTTGATATCATTGATTCTATACATGATGCACAGCGAAGATTGACTGGACTCAGCCTTCTAGTGTCTATGCATGGAAGCATTTTGAGTAAATCATCAATCACCTGCAAAAAGTGCCCGACAGGCAACAAGAAATCAAGGCGTTAGAGCATAGATCCCTGCCCTACTGGACGGGAGGATTAGAAGTTTGGCTCTGCCGCAGAGCCCAGTGGTTAGACTTCCCATGCAGAGCAACACAATGACGGATTAGCTCTGATTCCAGCGCCGACGGCTCTCGGGATCTGCCAATGGACGCAGCATGTGAAACCCCAGATCGAGGGTTGACGGTGGAAACTTCGTGTACGAGAGCCCCCAGGGGCAATGGAATAATCCAGCGCAAAAGCTCACATCATTTCTCCGGCCCATCTCTTACGCCATACGATGTGGCTGTCTCGACGCCCTACCACGAGCCGGACGATCCTTGAGCCTGTTGGCTAGCATACTCTAAAGTAAGAAAGCGAAGTGTCCGTCATCCACAACCGTCCTCAGCTGAGCTTAGCCGGCTCCCTGAGGAACAGCAGAGAAACAATGTAGACACCACCAGGACAAGATGACACATGCACCATTAGCAAGGTTGTGGAGGGCTTGCCCAAAGATACCAAAGTACCTTGGGCTGCTCTCGTCCAGTCCTAGAGCAACTGGCTCACCTAGCTGAAAGGTTAGCTGGTGACTGCGCTTCGTCTTGGTTTGGTTTTAAGCCGATACGCAGCGCCGGAGCTCCAATAGCCTGGATCAGTATCCTGCACTTAGCTCGGGGCATCGGGATCAGGATGGCAAAATGTGCTTTTTCCACAGGATTGTACCAGTACAAAAGGTGAGGTACACAGGGCGAGTGGCCATGGCTTCATGTACTTATAACCCAAGACAGTCTGTGCTGCCACCGTTTGCGCTCTTGGTGGCTGTCTGATGTCATCGAAGTTAGAGGATCCAATGAGTGATCGTGAGACACTGATCGAGATAGAAACTGTATTGTTTTCCGAGGGTGCTAGTGGCGAATACAATGCACTGTCGACAAAGAAGAAACCAGGTCGATCAGAGAGGCTGATTTAGTGAGGGACCGAGTGTAGCCCTGACATCCGAAAAGAAACAACGGTTAGAGTATCAAGGACAAGAGCATCGATCCATCGCACTAACTGCTTCACTTATCGGGCTTGCCAGTCCTCCTCGCGTGCCAGGCTTCATTTGTATGACCAGGAGCTACGGAGTACACTACTTGCTGTCTCCGAGCCCCAGCGTGGTGCTCAGGCCGGCTCGGTAAGCTTGAACAGGTAAGAGGGCAGGCCGTCCTTACCATCGCCCCGTTCGTAAATACCGTACCTCTGCTCCCTCTTGTATTTTTGCATCCCCGTCAGACTTTGGGTGGGAAAACGGGCGGACCTCCGATCCGATCCGCCAACATGACGGGCCGAAAGTTCCAGCTGTCGCTGAATATCCTACCAAGGCTGATCTCGTGAAGAACCGGATATTGGGAGACGTTCGCAGCGGTGATCAAGTCCAGGTCGCATCAAATAGAAGCAAAGCCAACGACCGGAAGCATTGGGGAAGCCTTTCTGGACAATCATGGCCCGGACTCCGTCCCTTCCCCCCTGATCAGGGTAGCGTCCAAGCCACAGCCATGAAATGAAAGTTTCGCTTGGGAGAGCTCAGGCCTCATCCTATGATCCTTGCTATGATCCAACTTTGCCACATCGGGTCATGAGCCCACTCCTCAGGACACGGACGCGCGTGTGGGAGTTCCGTCCCGGAGATCCACGAATCCAACTCCAGCAGGAGAGAAAAACGCAGCCGCAGTCAATGGGTGCTGTCAGAGAACCAAGGTGAGTGTTGGTCCATCCCTCAGGGTTTTGACTTTTTTTTTATTTTCGTCGCTCTTTCCGTTTCTGCTCATTCTGCTCCCAGTCTCTTCAGAATGCTGCAACCCACCCCGAGCAGATCCTGCGGCGATGCGCGAACAGGAAGGCATCCTCCCCCGACCCCCTGTCAAGCTTGCGAGGAACGAGTTCCTTGGTGTCAGGAGCCTAAGACTAGGAGATGCAGCGGAAGTATGACTGGGGTTTGGATATATACGTTGGAGCTAGACGGATCCTTCGAGGTGTTGCACCTGCAGAAATGGCGCAGATTTTATATGAAGGGACCACTTAATACCAAGTAGTTTGGTCTTGGGATGGGTCGCAGACTGAAGACCTTGTCGCTCCAGGCAGGCTCCGTGTTAGCATCGAAATGGTTCTCAACATGAACCGTCTGGGCTTATACTCTCTACGGTGTAGGGAAGATATCCTCCGTTTGGGCGTCTGCTGCGGATATCCAAAATTCATCAATGGCGTCATTGTGGAAATATTCTCCAAGGTATCGCATGCCTAGAACACTGGAGACATCCCTCCGAGAGGGGGCCCTCCAGGCTAGTTTTATTCCCGGGTCCCGGTACCTCGCACTTCAACTCCCACTCACACTCCCAAGAGAGATGAATATCATATGACCGCAACCACGCAGCGGCCGTAGGCAGATCGCTGTAATGGACACTTGTTACTTGTTCTATTATCTCACTTGGAACAGATATAGGGTGTAAGTAAGAGTGTTACTCCCCGTTGACGATACCGACACCTGCACTATTCAGGCAATAGGTCTTAGCTTCCGAGGCGGTTGACCAGATTAACCTAGGCAGGTACCTCGTAACGCCTAGGGTAGTGCCCACTGCCTACCTGCCTGCCTGCCCGCCCGCCTAGGCATGGCGATGATTATTATGATTTATTATTATCGTTATTTTTATTACTTACAACCAACCGTGAACTGTACTCCGTACAGGACCAGCAGACAGAACGTGACAAAAGTACACGGACCACTTGAGAGGGCCCGTGATTGGCCCGCGGGAACATGGATAGCGACTTCCGCGGGCTTTTCAGCAGCAGGTCGCCGCAAAGGGTAGGCGGATGTTATTGGCCCTGCCAGTCAGCAGCGGTACTTTTATTTAGGCCCGTACTAGGTTTACCCCAGCGGCGAACCACCCGGTTGCCCTGTGGGATCCTCGCCTAGTGGAGGAAGTACTACGGACTACAGCCTGCGGTATCGAGGCTTACCTCCAGGTCCCAATTAACACCTGTTTGATGTATTTTATTTCTTTTTTTGTTTTCTTTTTTTCTGCTCTTACTCTGTCTCTCCCTTCCTCCAGCCCATGGCGCCCATAATTTGTCGCCGTGAGAGGCTTGGGGTTTCCAATTTGGCATCCAGGGTTCGATGACGGACTTGACCTCCCCAATGTTTCATTCCCAAGCTGCTGACCTCTGTTTGTTGGCATCGTTTGGTTGGAAGGAGGAAACTCCAGCTTGCCGGTCAGTCAACGTACATTACTTACATGCATACCCCGTAGTACTATCTGCTCGCTCCTCGTCGATTAGTCTGATTATTTTCCATTTTTCCCATCAGGACGATAATAATAATTATGCTTGTTATTATTACTGTCGCCATTACTACTACTCCTATTCAGACTTTGAGACTAATATTATCGCTATTGATTCCGCCGCCTTGACTGGCGGTTGTCGGACACCGTGACACTACGTACTGACTGACTGACTGACTGACTTACTCGACTTACTCTTTCTCCGTTCTCTGAAATTCCCTCCGAACTATATCATCATCAATCCCGCCCTCCACAGATTAACATTATCTACTTTACGACCCAGCGAACTAAGACGGCGACCTGGCTTGCGGCTGCTTCTGCTGTCTCTGCCTCTGCCGCTGCTGCTGCTGCTCTGGCTGTTCTCTGACACACCCACTTCCCACACCCCCCCCCCATTGAGGACGCCTCTTCTCCGTACGGTTCTCCGTCTACATACCCATTTCTCCTCTTCACTTTCGATCCTCATCTTATCCATCTGCCTGCCAATTACCCTCCCTTTCCCTTTCCCTCCCCCTTCCCCTTCCCACCTTTTCTCTTTCCTCCTTCCTCCTTCTCACCTTCCTAGTCTATACTCCTCCTCGCTCCATGCCGTATAATTTAGCTCCTGCATAACCGATTCTTACGTTCTGGACTGTTTCAGAGTATGATTGACGAAGAATAGCCAGTGACTTATTCATGATGGATGGTTCCATCCCGCCGCCGTCGTCCACTACCACCACTACCACTACCACCACCACCACCACCATTCCAACGTCCTCTTCTCCAACCGTTTTTCGACCCCGCAAATCCGAGGACTGGAATGAATATCGCCCGTTCATTGAGCATCTCTACCGTGACAATCAACTCAAGCTTCGCGATGTGAAAAGAATCATGGAGCGTGACTATAACTTTGTTGCCTCGTATAGCTTCCATTTCCCTTGTCATCACTGCCCTTCCCCTCGCTTTTCCCCCCGTGTCCCGTATTTGTCATTCTGTTTCTCTCTGTCTTGCATTTTTGTCCCTGTGCAGAAATTCTCTGCTTCTTTCTTCCATCTCCAGGAGAGGGAGAGGACAGTGCGTCGTTGTTATTTGGTCTTGCTTTTTCTTCTTTTCTTTTTTCCCGCTTCTGGACGAATCACCATGGGTATAGGGTTCCCCTGACATTCAAACTTTCTAGAGAAAAACAATACAAAGACCGCCTGGCTGCGTGGCATGTCCGGAAGAACATCAAAGCCAAAGAAGTCCATGTTATGATCCGAAAGCAGCAGAAACGAGCTACCCGTGGCAAGCAAACAGCGTTCCGCGTTGCGGGACAGGAAGTCGACTCCAAGCGTATCTCACGATTCGTCCGTAGATATGGCGCAAACATGGAAACTAATAACGCCCGCGAAGACCCCCAACTCAGTCCCCAGGGTCATCAGATCATCCAACAAGTCCACCAAATTCAGCAGATCCAACAATCTCGCCAGATCCAAACCACGAGTCCAGAACCAGGTATGGCGTCCCCAGTCGGGCTTCTAGTGTCTCATTACTCATGCTAGCCGGCAGAAACTCCATCAGATATGAGTTATTTCACACCACCACCAGATGAACGAGCAATGACATTGTCTCCAACAGAAACAAAATCACAATTTCGTGAGAGAGCCCAGTTTCCCTTATTTACCCCTGCTATGAACTTTGTCTCAACCAGGGCCTATGTCCGATTCTCAAGATATCTGGCTGGGGTACTGGAGGGTTTAGTTAACTAGATGACACAGATGATGATAAGCCGGAACCAGTCCGTAATGTGGAGATTAGCAGCACACGATCTTTATCGGTCTCTTCCGGGACCATGTCCAACGACCTATCGAAACCAATGGCCGATGCACTCCAAGGGCCCGACGGCTGGATGACACTCGAGATGTTCCAGGAGAAACTCCTGAAGCTCTCGAGGACCCTTGACCAGTCAATGTCCAGATTCGTCCCTGCTGAGGATCGAAGTCACCAATCCTCTAATTCTGACCAGTACCCTCGCTCCTCAGGCCAGTGAAAGGGGGAGGGAAAAGCCAATAGACCACCAACCCCCCTGGATGAGAACGAAAGAAGACTTGGAAATTTGTCAACATCCACATACTCTGCTACTTTCTGTTCCTGGGCAGGGCGAGTTGATCACCGCCTTCTCGACTTGGTATTTCTCTGTAATATTCCAGTTCATTTCCCTTTGTTTTCTTTTTTCCTACCGTTCTTCTATTTCACAGAGTGCCGACTATATAGAGCATCCATGGCTTGAATATATTGGGAAACCGGTCTAATGTAGGTTCTGGCATACCCTTAAAGATGAACAAGAGACAAGACTACGGGGCCAATTATGGTGGCATCTGTGCTTGGTATGTCGACGGTATACGTTGTCTGACATTGTGACTTTAGTGACCTGCCTGCTCTCTGTGGGGTACCGCAGTGCATCCTGCTCGAAAGACCCTTGGTCCCGACCATGTTACGACAGCTCATAGATTGCAATGCCCGACCAGTTTATGGGATGCACTGTCGAACACCTGAACATCTCGGCACAAAGAAAACATGTGGGGATGATGCAGAATCCAGTCATTTCCACAATCGACACGGTCGAGGACTTGAGTCGACCTGTTGTCACGGTCGGCCTCTCGATATACTCCGTTCACGACCCCAACCTATGGTTGGCAGGCTGCCTTCGAGCGAATACTCGACCCCTTTTCTCGAGCATTTGTTTCAGACTCCAGCGTGGAACTCGACCACGAACGTTGACTACGGTCAAACTGGGGAGGCCTTGTGGAGGAACTTGGCAAGATTGCTGGAGGGTGGAGCTCATGTTGGCTATATGTTGCTGAGGCTCACTGCAAACAGTCCAAACCCTTGGCTTCGCCTTGGATTGATCTGACATGCCAGAAGGTGATCGCTGAGATGTTACAGGATTACCGCTTTTTCGCGTCTACCACCATGGTGCAGTAGATCGGCCGTCACTGCTTTTCTGTTGATGAATGCCTTGGCCCGACCATCAGCAGAAAACTTTGGGGCAATTACCAAGGAAGCGTGCAGAAACGCCAGGCTTGTCGATCGTGCTTTTTCGAGAAAGACCATTCGATATACAAGCGTCATAGTAGCTGTCGATCGAGCCGTGACACAAGGATATATTCCGATCGTGCATCACTCTACCGTCGGCAAGCACAGGCGGCAGCGATCCGTGATGAGTCCGAATAGGGGAGGCATCAATAGTCGAACCACGACGATTGGCACCTGCATTTAGTGTAGTACAGCTGTGGTCGGACCTCTCGACCAAGCCAATTTATGGACCCAGTCCTCTATTCCTGCTCCACCACTAACATAGACATATTTTTCAAGCTACGCACATGGAGACGACCAGGGTCCCTGCAAGGCAAGAAGAGGCCCAAAAAAAGAATGGCGACCCAAAAGAGAGGCAAAGACTGGGGGGGTGGGAAGGAAAAAGAAAAAGCCATAGTAGATGGGAGCGACGAAGCCTACAGGCTGTGGAAAACAAATCCGCCCCGGCCTCGGCTTGCCAAGAAGGACCAATGAGGACGCGAAAGCAGGGGGGAGATGTGGCAGTCAAGCCCACTATCTACTAGGTAGCATAGAAGGCGTGCGCCTTGTCCTCTTGCCAGGACGGCCGGGACACGGTGGATGGCAGATCGGAGGGGACGAAGCGCACCGGTGGTTTTGAATTCCGCATGCCCGCCCTTCCTGCTTCCTTCCTTCTTTCCTTCCTTCCTTCCTGCCAACTCCGCCGATCCAGCCGCCCGCGGGCACTAGCTCCTTTAGTCCCTGCCTGGATATCAGAACATCCTATCTGCATCTACGCTCTCGTTCCCACCTCCACGCCGAGCCGTCATTTCAAATCAAGCTTCGCTCTGGGGTTCATCCCACCCTGTCTGCCAGGTCCATTCACGAGGGCGCCCCAACAAGCAGGCACGACAGGAGGAACCCCGACCCAGATGCACCAATGTCCTATTTACTAGACTTCATCTACAGATCAACTGTATCTATCTATGAATGCGCCGCAATGCACCTAACTTCGAACACTGTAGTCCTCCAAAAGTACGTATTGGGCCATCGGGCAGCAACTTCACTCAACAATGGTCTCTACCTAAACACCTATCTACCTCTCATCCATCTATCTATCCATCCATCCCGCCATCCTGTTAATTAACTCCCCCCTCCCAGCCAGCAATGGTGAGCTTCGTATATGCCTCAGATCTGCACGATGATGTAAGGCAAGTTAAACCCTCCGTACTTCCTTCCCCAGTGCCCTCACTCGCCCACCCCCAATGTCTTACTAATGCTGCGTCTGGCCCTCCTGGGTAGGCACTAGGTAGCTGTGTCTTAGGCTAATGATAATCGATGCCTTAGTACCTACGCCGACGCCCTACTTTTCTCCTACGTACCTATCTACCTGTTTACCTAGCCAATATTGTCATAAAGATGAGGCGGGCAGAATTGACATGACATGGCATGACATGGCATGACATGACCTAGTATGGCATTCTTCCCACTCGCTGGTCACCTCAGGTTCTTTAGGCTGTACCAGGTTGGGTAAGAGGGATGGATGGATGTTTATCTAGCAGACAGGATGAAGAAGTATCTCTTCTCTTCGTTAAGAAAGGATATTTATTACCTGAATTATTCGAGACGCAGGGCGAGGCGACGCGGGTGTTTTTTTACACGAGTATGAATGAAAGTAAACAAGTCCATGATCATCCTTTTATTTTTCCCATCCGACGTATCTATCTACCTAGGTCAATGAATATCAATCAATCCTGTAGAGAACAGAAAACAGAAGAATATGGTAATGTAATATATTTCGTCCCCAGTGCACGGCATAGGCATGGAGATAGGAGGTGATAAATGAGATGAAGAGGAAGGAAGAACTGAAGGAAGAAAGTAATAAAGAAAGAAGATGTAAAGATCCTTCTTTTTCGCTGGAACGTGCACCGGAAACAGATGAGTCAGACCCTGAGAAAAGAAAAACGAAAAATAGAAATCCCATATACCAGGTACCCAACGCTAGAAATTCAGGTAATAACAGTAATTAACAAATGATGAAAAAAGAATGGGGAAAAGATAGTCATCAATCGGTCGACCTAGGTCCTGCCACGAGCTTCGTGGTTCATAACATACAGACATGCATGCAGTTAAGCTGGAATGTGTGCGTCAAAAGTGAACTATGATACTAGAGATGCGAGGAGGAGCGGGGGTGGGTAATCTCTCTCCCGCGCTCATGAGTAGAAGGCGCTCTTCTGGAAGCTTTCGGGTGAGATATCGCCCATCTTGCCCTTCAGCTCGGGCTTCTTGACCTCCGTGGCATTTTCCTCGGCTGCGCGTGCCTGCATCGAATTGCTGCGGCTATCAGCCTCGCTGCCGGAGGTAATCGCCTGCTGCTGCGGTCGGCGCTGGATAGTCTCCAAATACGGGCCTGGGAGGTATCCGACGCGGCCGTCACGAGCACGGCAACGCCACCATTCCGAGGCATTACCCATCGGGTCAGATTTGCTGAGGACGGCGACAATGTCCCCCTTCTTCACGGCGAGGTCGATCCCAGAGCTCTCCTGGGCCTCGGGAGTGTAGTCGTACAGCACGCGGCAGAAGTCGAGCTTGGAGGGATCAAGCGGCGCGCTCTGGCCCTGCTGCAAGGGCTCGCCGTTCGGACCCATCATCAGCTGACGACGTTCTTCTTGCGACCGCGCAAGGGCTTTGATGAGTTTGCCCATCAAGTAGGGAAGACCGAAGACCGCAATAAGGAACATGAAGAACGGCTTCTTGGAGGGCTTCGCGGGCGCGGGGGAGCCATCAGGTAGGGTAACTGGGGAGGAGCGACCGCTCAGGAATGCTGCGAAGGCAGATGGAGTGAGAGCGGTGGCATCAGCTGGTGGGGGGCGGCCAGTGATCTTCGCGATCAGGGTCTTGAACCAGCGGATCAGAGTGAAGATGCCCAAGGCGGAGCCGAGAGTGTTGCGGAGGTTGCCGAACTGTTCTGCCACCGAGACCATGGCTAGTATCGTTAGTAGGTACATAAAGAACGGAGGGTAAAGTGTAAGCATACCAAAGAAGGAGCTATGAGTCGCCATGTAAGTACTCTCCAGCATCTGAGCGAATCCTCCAAAGGCACCGACGATGCTCTCAATCATCTGGAAGGTAGCTTGGGTGCTTTGACTGAAGGAATTCGTCAAACTGTTGGGATCGTTGGGATCGCCAGGCATACCGCCGCCGTACATCCCTCCTCCCATGCCTCCGTACATGCCACCATAGCCTCCGTAGCCTCCGTAGCCCCCATACATGGAACCCATTGTGCCGAAGCGAGAGTACGGGGAGGAGTATCCTCCGTAGCCGCCGTAGGGACTCGTTCCAAACCGCGAAGCTGTATAGGGAGAGTAGTTTGATGCCGTGCGATTCACAACTGTGTTGAGGGAATCGGGACGAGAAGGGAGACCGGGGGCAGCGGATGTCGAAGTGGTGGCTGCGGGAGCCGAGGTGCTGGTCGCGGTCGGAGCGGTCGTGGCCGTCATCGCGGATGAGGAGGTAGCCGCCGGTGATGCTGTCAAAGCAGAAGACCCTTAGTGGAAAATGATGTCAATAACGATGCAAGATCGAACGAAAGAAGGACAGGATGGCTGTCGACATACCAGCAGCAGCGCCTGCCCTCTCCCACGGTTTAGGTGGCGATACGGACGCCATGGATATGCGGGAGGGGTTAATGGGTTAATACCTCAACAGTCTCGCATGGAGATGGACCCCACGAGGAGGTCAGTGGGTGAGACCGAGAATGTGGATAGTGTGAGAGAAAGATAGTGCCGTCTGGGGAAAGGGAGAAAAGAGGGGAACAGTAGACAGCTCGATAGATGAGATGGGATGGGATGAATGGATGGGAATGGCGATGGAGACGATGAGATGGAGCCGGAGGCGGTGGAGCCTCGCGCAAAAAGAGGAGAAAAGTCGGCGGCGGCGCATGTGGCCCGGACCTGCCGAGGCTCCCACTTGCCGACGTTGTTATCTAGGAATCGCTACACCGCAGATAAGACCCCGTTATCACAAGATTCGAGAGGGATATCATTGTCAAATCCAAATTATAATCTCAACACAAATCGGCCCCCCCCATAATTTACACCGGCCGCATGCACCCAGAACTCCCAAGATGCAACATGCAACTCTTAGCAGGCATCAACAACGCCGGCCCAAGCAAAACGGAGAAAGAACAAACCCCAATGACGCTAGTATACATTTCCAGTGACCGCTATATCCATCTCGCTCAACTTATAATTCCTCATGTTTCTGGGGAGCAGGACGCTTGGGAAGCTGGATCTTCCATGACCGTGGCGGCACAGGAAGTCCCAACCAATAGTTCCACACGCGAGCGACTTCTAGGACGGCAATTTCGAAGCTGCGGAGCTAGGTCAGCATATTGAACCCACCAATGTTATCATATCCCATCACTTACAAGGTCTTCGGGGCATTGACCCAGCTCTTCATCACGTAGACATAGATGTCCCATACCATGGAGAATTCGGCCTTGATATCGTCCCAGACGGTATCCGTGTCGCGGCGTTCCCGGACCTGCTCCCACGGGAGTTTCTCGGTGATATAAACGAAGTTATCATCGTCGTCATCCTCATAGTAAAACGTCGAGCCACCGTCCTTGAGAAGACGCCTGGTTTTCTTCGAGCCACTGTGTTCCTTATGCGCAATGCTCGCGGGGATCGTGAAAACCTCGCCATCTCCTACATCCATGGCCCGATGGAAACTCCGGACGGCCGCTATGCTGTGGGAAATGCGCCCAAGGGTATTGATCAGTGCCACCAATTCGGTGCGACGCAGTAGCGGATTCTCGCCGTTCTTGGTCTCGTCGTACTCAAAGAGTACCTTCAGAGCAGTCCCATATCCATTGACTTGGAGCTTGCCCCACAGGCGGCATTTGTCACATCCCACACAATCCATAAGTCGGCTGACGTTGCGGAATCGGTTCCGGAAGTCTTCTTTCAAACCAGTAGCGCTTGGATCCTGGAACATGATATTCTCGTCGAAGATTTGGTGTCGCCCAGCCAAGGTGGAAGTCAACTTCGAGACCTTCTCCCTGGCATCGGCATCCTGCACTGGGTCACTAACACAGTAGCTGTAGTGTTGTAGGTGTTTTTGCAGCTTCGCCACAGCCCGCGAGACCAGCGCGTAGTTGAAGTACAGGTTCGAGATGCGCTCCGGGTGATCGTGCAGCCGGTCCTTGAAACACTGAAGGTTGGGATGCCACTGTCCCGTCGTCTGGTTGAGGTAATCCCAGCAAAGATGAGTCGAGATAGACGCGTGCATCCCACTAATGAGCCGATGGAACACACGCTTCTCAAGACATTCATTGTCCAAGTCAAGCAGGTCCGGGCGCTTCAACTCCTGCTGAAGCACATTGCGGAAATCGTTGACGGCCTGAAGACCGCCCAACTCAGGCACGGGGGATAGCTCAGGAACTGGTTTGAGGAAACAATTCTCACGGTAAATTGCGTCCCAGACTTGGTGGGCACCCATACCGGCGTACCCCGTGAACCGCTCTGGATTATCAACGAGACTGACATAGTCTCCCTTGCCGCCAGCACCCTCGTCCTCGGGAACACAATAGTCCCGTTCGTCACATTCATCGTCATATTCCACCACACAGCTCTCTCCAACGTTTTCTCCGAGCATTCCTTGGAGCGGTCGATTACTGGGTCGCTCTTCTTGTAGCTTGCGACCCGGGTGGCCTGCTTTGGGCCCCTCGAGTTTACTTAGCTCCTCGGCGCGCCATGTTAATGGGATGTCCTCTTCCGATTCGATTGTGTTCACCGAGCACGCAATGTTCCCGCACATGCTATTGGCATCGGACCAAAACGGACAGACTTTATTGAATAGGTTGAGACGGTAATATGAGAAAAAGTCGGTTTCTTGCGTAATTGATTGGAGAAGGGTATAGACTTGGTCGTTCAGATGATCGATGGTGGCGTAGGAGACACAAGCGTCGGACACCATAGCGGAGGGATCGATCTGGGGAAGACGAACATGAATCAGCCAAGTCCAATCCTCAATATGCAACAAGTGCACGCCTGAGCGTTCTATCGACTTACCGCACACTTGTCTTGGTTATGGTGCAAACCGGTCTCGGCATTGGAAAGCCTCGACATGGCAAATACAGCCAAATAGAAAATTTTGGCTGCGGAGCGCATCTTGGATCAGCCGGAACGGCCAGGCGAATAGAGAAACGAAGGTAGAAGTTGGAGTGTATGACAGAAAAAAAGTAGTTTATGAAGTGCAGGTATACAACAAAGGTCTATTCTTGGTAAGCAAAACAGGGTCCTTCACATGAAGATCAGCGACGGGCAGGGAGGCCTGGTAAACGGTTGATTAGATCAGGTCAAATGACATTTCCCTGCGAAAGCGATAGAGCCCAAACCGCAGCGAAAAAGCAAAACGGACGTTATGATCAATGGGCCAGGTGGAACGAGAGGGAGTATTCAAGGAATGCCCGTCGCGAAGTGGACAAGTTGTCCTTGGTGGCGCGGAGTTGCATGATCCGCAAGTAGTCATCAATAGTAATCAAATCGATCCCGCTTGGGGGTTATCGCCGCCGCCTTGCGCCCAGGGCCCTGTTTCAACTTCTCCCCACCTGTCCGAACCATGGACCTCTTCTTGGTCGTCTGGAGAATGATTGATCGGTCTTCTTTGTTATTCTGTGTCAGTTCATGCCGAGCGACGTTGACCTGGTGCTGCTCGAGGATCATGGGGTGTCAAGGCGCATCTCCAGACCCGGATATCCTCGGATCAGGTGATGGCACCCCTCTCGCCCATACTGTGTACTAGTAGTATCTAGCCAGCGTTGGGAGGGCATCGCATGGACTGATTGGTAAGATTAAGGGGCGTAAGGAGGCTACTTCAGGGCCGTCGGTGGCTGCCACGGCCCCAGTGCAGCAGTCGAGATGCGCAACACATCAGATCCCACAAAATCAAGGATCGCATTGCTTTTCTTCTTCAGCTGAGTAAACATACAGGTGGTTAAGGGAGTAAATGAACGCATACCGATTCTGCACGCAAATATATAGCTCTGGATAGGTCGGATGCATGTCTAGGAGGAGGCTACTATAAATATATTTCTCGGCGAAATACTCTCCGTACGATGAGCACAATGGCTACAGATTCGCTTACTATCTCACTTTCAAGGAGCCGTGTCAAAACCATAAACCCTTCAATTAGCGACTATTGGATAGCAAAAATAATAACAATCGTGGATATTCCCAACAAAATCCCACAAGCAAGGATAGCAACCATGAACGCCTCCCCCAATGTTACTCCATGCCTCAACTCCGAGCGTGACCCATCATGTCATACCGTATCCACCGTAGTCGTGACCGGTGTAGCAGTGGAAACATTGTAAAAATACATATAGAACCCGACACCGAAAATTCGCGAAATTTAGCAGTGCCCCCAAGGCGCAGCTGCCTTATATTATACCCTAGTTGACCGTAACTGTACCCCGCAGTACGGTCGTATAGACTGAAGTCCGCGTGGACTTGTTTAAGAAGTTCCACGGCGCTTCCGACGACGGAGACTGAGCGCCTTTCGGAGAGAAGCGAACGGTTTGGGATGCGGCATGTTGTAGAAGGGGTCGTTTTTGAAATCTTCATCGGTGAATTTCTAGAAGGATGTCAGAGCATGTCGTGGTAGATAAACAAGGTATCAGTGGCTTACCTGGCCAGGACAACGCATAAAGTTTCCATAGTCGTTCATCATGTTCGTGCCCTCCTCGTATTCGTAGGTGCGGCCCTCCATGTCTGTGTGACCTGGAGGGTAGAAAGCCACACCGTCAAGGGGACGGTGACTATCGATGCAGTCTCTAATTTTATCTTTCGGAGTGGCCTTCAAGGCTTCTGCGGTGGAGCCTTTGACTGCCTCAACTGGGCTCTGTTTGGTATGGTAGTTTCTCTCCGGGTAGACAGCATCGTAAGGTCCCTCATGATGGTATTGGTAGAGACTCGCGCTATCCAGACGGTCGATAACGTCTGGGTTGACCAACATCGAATGCCGAGAGAATTTGGTCTGCTGAGGGCGAGAAGGGCTGTCATGACGGTGGCGTCGAGGACCGTGCTGAGAGGCAGGGCTCTGTTTCCTGCGTCGTGGCTCAACTGGATGATGCTCAGGAGAGCCCGAATAGTAAACCGATGGGAAGGACGTAGAACGCTGACGATTCAAGGCCCGCTGACTCGGAGAATGAGCGAGGAAGCGTTGGTATGGAGCAAAACTATCCATTTCAACGTCCATATCCATCAGGTTGGGAGGATACCGGGAGAAGGAGGGCTGGTGCGAAGTCGCACAGGCCGGAAGAACAGAGGACGCCATGGCTAATGGACGCCAGAGAAGGACACGCTGAGAAAAAGGGAGAAAAAAACCGGAGAGAGAGGGTCTCTCAAGGCTGGAAGCCGGATGAAGGGTATATATAGGGACCACGGGTATGTCCTATAAATGTATGTAGGCGTTTAATAGTAGCAGATACTAGTGACTGCTTGCGTATGCAGCCCCCAACTCAAAATAGTGGTGGGGCTAGCAGCGGTGAAGTCGGGTATTGAATATAGAGTTGGAAGTCTGTGTGTGTGTGTGTGTGTGTGTGTACTTCGTGTTCAAAGGTGCGGTCTGTGGTGAATACGAGGGTCTCGAAGAGTAGACAGTAAGTAAGTAGTAAGACGGGCAAAGTTGTAGAACGATGATGGAGGGATATGAGGAGGAGGAAGAAGAGGGAGAGGAGTCATAGTTCTAGTCATGATTATTATTTAATTACTTAGGCACTGGTCATCGCAGGTCATGCAAACGCAGTGCCGTCAACCGAGGAACGGTGGGCCGTGACGTGACGAGCAGCGTATGATGATTTCGATTTGTCCATTCTGCTTTCCACGCGATCCGGGGGTGGGCAAAGCGCCTTATCGATAAGGCCGCGCTGGCCTGTTCGGGGCTAGGGCCAGGATAGGCCCGGATGGACTAGGCCTGTTCGGTTGCATCGGATCGCCTTCGATGATGAAAATGAGGATGAGCAACACGGAAGGGTCGGGCCCCAGGAACCTCCCGGTCTAGACTCAGAACCAGTCAAGATGGCCCAGGCTGTCTGCTCGGCCGCTATGGAACCTCTAGAAGGTCCCTGGGCGACGCCAGTGGAGCCTAGGTGGCAATCATCGCCATCATGATTGTCGTTGTTGTCGTCACGCTGTGGATGCCCAGGGCCACCACCGGCCGGCTGACTTAATCACTTGCACCTCTTCGATATCGAAGGAGTCTTGACATCATAGCTAACACGACTGACTGCTACCCTTCCGACATTCAGATTTACATCACCTGGGACAACAGGTTCTACCAGCAGCAGGTGTACGTATTGTCTACTGAGTGCTGACTGCCAAAATTGATGGCTTAGCGGGCCCCAATGTTAAGCTTATCGTTAGTGACGATGATAGCGTCAACGGCTGGCCTAATCTAGCCCGGTTAGTCCAGCAATTGATTCCAGTCTTGGTATGCGACTAAAAAGCACGCGCCAGAAATACCGGCGCTGTCACTCAAGGTCTGCATGCTCCTACAGTGATTCCAACGGGCTGTTACACTCGTGGACGGATAAATAATATCATGGTCCGCATCGCATGCCAGCTTGGACGGTCTGCATGGGCGACCCGATGCATGGGCACGGTGTGTTACACAGGGTCTAGATTTGTTCTACAAGCTCAGGAACCAAGACTTTGCAGGTTCCCGACAAAAAGTAAGTACTACAAGTGCTTTAATACTACAGTTCCCAGGTACATTTTGTTCGTTCTCTATTTCTTGCAAAATCCTATGCCCACCCATGGATAGCGTCCCGAGCCAACCATTACAAGGTGACATGGCCCAAGCAGGCTTGGAAGAAAATTTTCATTGTCCTACATGTCTATTCTTCAGGAAGTTTCATCTTGGGTCTAGGGACCTCCTGATTTAAGCCAAGAATGAGCGATTCTTCAGAAAAGGTAGGTTGAGTACCCAGAACCATATGCTCACTTGGTGTTGTTATCTCGACCCTTACTCTATGCGAGACAAGACATGGCCATAACGGCAGCATTCGGTGTATAGTAAAGCCCTATAGGTACTGATTATTTCGCGATTATCCTGTCAATCCGTCAGAACCCACATTCCACACGGACATCTAGAACCCCTGCCAAGTTCCAACTGGTGAGCCTTGGCAGCCCTACCCTACTCCGTAATACCGATACCGCCAAATGGCTCCACCATCCGACCCGACTAGACAACAAGTTACTACCAAACGGAGACACCCCCGTCTTGATGCCGCTTCCACAAGAGCCTCGAACCTGTAATGGCTTTGGTGCAATACTCTGAGTCGGAATCCGAGTCAGACAATGAGCCGCCCCAGCGTCCAGTTAAAAGGCCTCGTCAGACCAGCAATCAACCCTCACTCCCACCATTGCCCGCGGCTTTCCACGATCTCTACGCCTCCAGCACTCGCGTCAGCGTAAGAGACGACCCCAGTCTCCACGGAGGCCGGAAAAGAGTCATTCCCCATGTCGAAGGAAACTGGCCGACCCACCTTTACTTGGAGTGTATGTGTCATCTATGCGTGATTCCAAGAACGGAAATTCATCCGTATGATTAAACAGGGTATCCTTCGAAGGACGAGCTTTCTATTCTTGGCGATGTCATAGATCAGATCAACGACAGGCTTGACATCAGCACGACACAGCTCCATAGCCTGCTACATAGTGACCTTGGCGCGCAGCTGCCACTCCACATCAGTCTTTCCAGACCGGTGGTGCTAAGAACAGAACAGAGGCAACCCTTCTTGAAGGAGTTTCAGTCAGCGTTGAAAGAGTCTCCAATACCATCGTGAGTTGCTCACCTCCCTACTTATTTTTAGTAGCTTGGGTATTGATCAGGCAAATAAGGTTCGACGTCTCGACAAAAAGTCTAGACTGTGTCTCGAATTACGAGAAGACACGGTGGTTCTATGTCCTGCGCGCAGACAAGCCAGAGGAGGATAATTTGAACCGCCTTCTTCGACTCTCAAATCGGTCACTTGCTCGGGTTGAGCAACCACCGCTATACGAGACGTCGCAGGATGTGGCGGCAGTGCTGGAGTCAAAAAGTCGTACGGCACAGCCCCAGGTGAGTCGTGGAACTGGCCAGACCCGGGGTGATTATTCGCACTGTTTTCATGTGTCGCTGGCATGGAGCTTAACGGGTCCATCTTCTGAAGAAAGAGAGGAGATAGTAAGTATAGATTTACAGAAGGTACATGGGTTGAATATTCGTTTTGATTGTGTAAAGGTGAAGATTGGAAATAATGTTTCGAGTATACCGCTTTTTGGTGGCAACTAATAGAGGTTCTATCTACATTAATTTGGATATACGAATTTCAATACAACATCATCCAAATCATCAATAGTTGTGGGTAATTGAACTAGATTGACACTATCTTGCAATGCTTGTTCCAAGATAGTCCACTTTGTGCCTGCAAAATTTTCTTTTCTCCTAAACCATTAAGCCTCATATGTACAACAAAACAATGGCATGTGTGAACAGAATGCCATCCTTACCAGACCAGTCGAGTACACAATGCAGTGTAACCCAGCTAGAATACCTACTCGTATCACTAATTGTCCGACTAACTGATCCACCCCTGTCACGATACACAACGATGGATTCTATTAGTGACTATAGATCATCGACCATATCAATGACAGCTGGCATGTACATGAACATGCAACTCATATGCAATGCAGAATCTCTGCCCTCGCTTGTCTTGGGAACACTGTTTTGTCTGTGCATTTCTGATACAGCTGGTCAACTAGCCGATGAAAAAAAAAAGAAAATATGGTAGTGTATCACACCTAAACCTGATATGCTGCAATTTCATCAGACTCGAGCAGAAGCAATAGCGTTTGGACATGTCAAATCAATTACAAACATCAGTCTATTCAGAACTATTGGGCTCCTAGAGATACCTTCGACACTATCATCTCCTAGAACACCCATGGATATAGTAAAGCTCAAGATACCGCGAGATATAGTACACATGGACACCTACAATGCTCAACCGACTCGATCGTCCGATTGCCTCCTTTAAAGCCAGGCAACGATCACAAGAAGCTTGATGTCCACAAGATAACCCACCAGCAACAATATTTCCCAGTGCAGCTACCTATGCCACCATACTTCAGTAAGATTGATAGAGTCCCATTTGGTCTGTACCTATCCCAAACATCGAGCGAATAATTCCTCCTACAAGAGGGCACAGATAGTTAACCGCCCGTACGTAACCCCTCGTAAATAACAACCCACCATACAATACCGACCCGCTAGGCACGTCACAATAATACACACGCACGCGTAGCTAAACCAGCTAGCTCTCCATCTTCGCCAACACCTTCATCTTCTTTCCCCGAACACACTCACCACATCCTCAACACCTCAACCACCCAAAATGTTCATAATAGCTCCACCACCTGTCACCCTCGTACGTGCTTCCCCTGCACCTGTCTCTTCCGCCTCCCAAAACAGGAAAAACAAAAACAAAGCTAACCTCCACAGGAAGACCTCCAAGCCTTTCAAGCAAAACACTTCCCCGGAAGCACACAACCCCTGACGAACACCCTCGCAGAACAACACCCAATCCAACAAGAAGGAGAAGAATACTACTATGACGAAGAGGAAGACGACCTGGGCTACTACCCCGACGGAGTAAAACGCACTCTCACGGACGAACAGATCCGGATCTTCAGACATAGTGAGATTCATGCGTTGCTGAGAGAAAAGGAACTGCGGGAGGAGGAGGAAGCGGAGGCAAGGGCTGAAGCTGAAGCCGAGGCGGAAAGAGAGCGCACGAAAGCGAAATATGCAGCTGCAGACGCAAAGCCTGTCACTCTGTCAACAGCGACAGTGACGGTGGCGCCTGTGCGGGAAGCCCAACAAACTACCCAGACTCGGCCGGATGAAGATACTCCTATGGATTACGGGGATGGTGGTTCTGCCCCATCTCGGTCGTATGGGGATGCTTCGGCCTCTACTTCTAGACGTGCACCGCAGTTCCCGGGGAGGAGAATTATCTCGTATGATGACTGAGGGGGCCTCTGGTGGTTTGCATACCTTTCCTCAACGAGAAATGATCCGTTTCAGTGCTTCGTGTGCACAGGTGCCTAGTCTATCTGGGCTTCTATCTGGCTGTCTGACCTGGTGAGTCCTTGGCATTTGTTTCCTTGCTATCCTGCCCTACACCTATGATAGAAAACATCGTATCAGTCATCCTTAGTCGGAGCGCCATACCATCTGCGGATGTGTAAGGCTATGTCGACTCAAATCTTCTCTCTGAGGTTTCTTTATCTTGCTGATTGTCAAGAGTTATTTATCAAGTTCTACTGCTGATTCTGTCTAATTAGGGGTTGTCCTTACCAAGTCAGGACAACTGATAGATGATCCCAATATACCTGTAGTTCCAGTGCGAGCACCCGCTGTGACAGACTGATGGGCACCACCTGCCGTTTAATATCAGACACTGGACCCAGAAATGGTGTTTGGATGGTCGGCTACGGAACGCTGTATCTCAAGTCGACCGACTTAGCCCGGAAAGGAGATTTACGGAAGCAGCATGTTTCTATGGCCGAACCATAACAGCTTAGGGGCTAATCTCAGTCCTGATAATTGTGACAATCTATTGATAAATAGGGCGAGAATTTCACATCTTATGTCTCGCGCCAATCTGACACATCTACTCAAAGCGTTATCGGTCTCTGTCTAGGGACCAAAGTCCAGAAGAAGGCAATTCCCAAGAGCAGCCCCACCATGATGGGCTGCAGAACCTGGACTCCAGCCTGGGAGGCGATGGCTCCTGTCATGAAAGGGAAGGCAGCCGACCCAGCCTGTCCAATGCTTGCAGTGAAGCCTGTTGATCATCAGCATGAAATGCTACACATGGAGGTTTAACCACTCACCCATGGCTCCAACGTGAAGCTCCTCTGGGATAACCTTGGTTAGGACATAGAGTCCAACCGGGTAGAATGGGCCAATAAAGAATCCTGATACCATCTGTCAGCCTTCTGACAACCGTGATATGCTTTTCATCTCAGGCAACCGAGACCAGAATGCAATACTTACCCAAGAAGCACACCGTAACTGCATTGACAGTAATGTTTGGAATCAGCCAGAACAACAACTGCATCGCCAGAGCTAACGTGGTATAAACAAACACCATCCGCCGCTCACCCAGGCGATGCGTAATGTCTGCTAAAGCGACCCGGCCTAGGGTGAAGCCAGTCCAGAAGCCCGAGGCGATATAGCCAACCTTCTTGGGATCGCCATTTCTCACCGAGACGAGAAACTGGACGAGCCAGCCTGAAACACATCAGCAAGGGAGCCCCCTCAGTCTTGGGGAAGACATACCTCCAGCAGTAACCTCCGCACCAACATACAAAAAGAAGAATCCGTTGAATATCCACACAGTCCAGTTTGCTACTGTGTCGCGCAGCTCTTTGCCAGCCGTCTCTTTTGAACTGCCCACGTTCGGACGGAAAAGTCCCTTTCTAAAGGTCCACGCCAGAGACGCAATGTTTAGTGCTGCGAGAAACATGGTCACAAGGTAATAGTGATGCCAAACCGGCATCTGTGAGGCAATGGTATTGGCGATCAATGGACCAACAATAGTCCCGACGCCGTATACAGCATGCAAGACACCCAGCCACCGGTGGGCGTCCTTGACGGTGATAGTGAACGTGTTCATCTGGGCGTCTTGGAACGCCACACCGCAGCCGGAGAAGAAGAATGCCGCCATGAAAAGCGGGAAAGGCGGGCTCCAAAACATCAAAGCATAGCCAAAACATTGAATTGATGCACCTAGGACCAGGGTACCGCCAGTTCCTAAGTATGAACACACATGGATGTTGGCGAAGCAGGCGACAAGCCAGCCCATGAAGTTGACCAGGTAGATCATGGAGACCTGCAGAAGGCCAACATCATAGGTTGGTTGAATGTAGGGAATCAGAACGCCCAAAGCGGCATCTTCATCAGCAAGGTACCATCGGCCGTCAGCTTCGGTTTGTCTTGAGGGTGCGTCTGGCTGACGGGGCAAACGTACCGTTGAGCCCGGCTACGAAGGCGGCATAATTCGTGGCGAGGATTTTGCTTTTAACCTCTCGTACACTATTCGCCTTTGGGAGGAGTGATGTCGACTCGGTGACCGGGTACGTCCCATCCTGGGCGTGATTGCCATGCTCTGCGTCTCTGTTGTCGCCCATTTTGCTACCTGGGCAGATGAGGTCGTATGAGAGGGTGAGAGCAGGACTCTTGAGTAGTAGACACCTATATATGAACGCGACCCGTAGTCCCTTGGCAGGGTCAAGGCACAATGGCCGCTGGCAGCAGGTAATCGCGGCTAGGCTAGAATCCTCACACTGATGGTGGGGTAAGCCCGGAGTTCAAGCGAGGGGCGGCGAATGGGCCATCCGCCTGTCGGTGAGAGACATCATCGCTAAAGGCCCGTCGATCTTCAGGTCTAACCCTGAGCTCAATTTCGAACTGCGACTGTGCTTGGTGCTTTGCACCGTGCAGATGTGACTTGCAGCCAGCCAAGTCAGGCGCTGACTCGGCTCTGGATGACGACAAGTGGAACGGACACTGGCCGGCGTCTCGATTTGCCTATTCAGGAAGGTCTGCCAGCTGCTGAGTCAGGCCTATCTAGCGCCAGGAAGGACCTTCCTCCGCCGGGGGGATCGGAGATTCGGACCGGTCGAGCATGGTGGAATGCAAGAGCATTGATAGATGCTCGATAAGGATGTTGCCACTATGGTAGTAGATGCGCTCGTCACTACCAGCCACTTACTGGGAGGTGACTCTACCTGCTCCTGTTGGAATCGTACACGCAAACTTAAGCATGCGCCGACAGATTACAGGTAGCGGATTGATTACTTGCTGGTAGTCATGTTGGCAGGCTCGGCATTCCTATACCTTCTGCAGGATCAACTCATCCCATCAACCAACGACTTGTAGTCAAGCGGCTAGTATTCCGGTGCTTAATAGACGAGCTAGTCGCGCTCGAAGTAGAAGAGGGATTTGGTCATCAAAAGTTGCAAGGGCAACACTGGCCATCAGGAGTGAGGTTAGTGGCGTCTAGTTAGTTGTCTTTGCATGGGCGATGAAGGCTATATGGGAGAGTATCGCATCATTGACCGATCAACTCCATCCCACAGTTCGTTTTCTTTCGGGAAGGAGGGGATGCAGGCGTGAACCATTTCAATCCAGGGTGGATCCATAGCAATCCGATTAGCAGCGAAGAACTCCCTCTCAGGAAGAGAGTACCCAGCTTCACCCCAATCTACTACCCCACTGACCACTCCGTCCTTGATGAGGATATTGCCTGGATGTAAGTCTCCATGAGTCATGACGCCCAGGTTAGGAGTTCTCTCATCACCGAAGGACAGAATCTTCTCTTTGAGCTTCTGCTCTTTTTCATACCAGACCCCAACTGGCCGTGACAGACGGAGCGCTTCCACCACGGCATGCTTGTATTGCGTAAAGGAATGGAACGGTCCATATTGCTTGGTAGATTTGTAATCCCAAGGATGTCTGAAGAGGATCTCCTGGCATGGGCCGCCCGTCACCGTGCCCAAGAAAGAACTGCCCAGTTTCCGCCATTCCAGGATATAGGATTCCAGTTGACGTGCAATGGCTTGCAGTTCCTCACGAGACATGGTCTCCAAGCATGTGGCAAGCATTTCACCCTCGATCTTGGACATGAAGATGAATCCTACGTCACCGATCATGTACGCGCTGAGGACTTTTGGCACAGGCACATTTGTCTTGGCCGCAAGGAGAATTAATGCTTCCGCTTCAGCCATGTTGACTCTCCAGCCGACTTTCAGAACCGTGGTTTCTGATATTTGCAATATCATATTACCGCCCAGACCGTTGGGGGCCAGATTTATGGTCGACTTGATTTGATCGATTGGAACAACGAGTTTATCATGTTCAGGAAGAGAATCCGTGAATATAACCTTGGATAGGTCGGTCATGACCTCGATCAAGTATTCAATAAACGTCCCTTTTGGATTCTAGGAGTTTCCCTGTTAGACTAAGGACTTCGCATAGGGGGCCACTAGTGACCTTTGCATAGTAGCGTAAAGCACTCTCCGGGAGGCTCCCCATGGTTGTGATATTCGGTACAGCGGCGCGCGTGCCGATTTGAAAACCGAGTCGTCGCGGGGTAAACAAAGTACCTAGGGCGGACTGTTGGGACGCCTGCGCCAAAGGGTCTGCTTTTATCGTCTACAGATGAGACTCGTAGCTCCTTAGAGTTGGCTTTGTATCTGCCAGTGTTTGAAGTAAAGCCATTATGAGAGGAGGGACAGAACGGAACAGTTCTATCTACTGTACCCTTCGCATGCGTCTAGTGTGCGAGACTTCTGATTGGGCAGGAAGCGGGTGCAACATTGTTCCAGTGAAACTCCGCCGTGGGGTGGGCCTTGGCATTCCTGCCTCCTGCAAAATCCCTTAAGTCGGGGCAACCGGATCATCAGTCGGCGATGCTTTGGGGATTTATTCAAGGAGGAGGGATCCAGCATCCTCAAAGCTTGACTATGGCGAGAGTTTGCTCTTGTGCCAGTTGGGAGTGGAGCCGGTGGTCTACAGCCGGAGGTGCAAGAGATTGAAGTAAGTATACACAACAGGAGGTATGGAGGTTCTTGGTTCTTCACGGGATCGATTAGAGTTAATCCGAGTTCTGCAGACCTGGAAAGCCACGGATCATCCGGTTCTCCCCCGAAATCTGGCCCATCCCGGCAAGTGCAAGTGCAAGCGTGGGTTACGTCGTCGATTGCTCCCTCGGCCTGGACCCACCGGATGCATGCGACATCCTGAAGATTCCGAACGATGCTGGATCGATGGTCGTGCAGGACCACAGCAATAACGCAATCCAACCACCCGGACTCATGTGCCTTTAGCTCTGCTCTTCTGGGGAACCTCCTCGTTCTCCCACCCCCTCCCCTCCTGGAGTTTCTTCCTCTTCCTCCCTATATATCTCGCAGGTCGACGAAGGGTCTTGCTCTTTTACCATTGCACGAGTTGAATTACAACTCTAGCACTCGCTTCTACCCTCTGGTCTGACCAGATACGTCGTCAGTATGAGATCTTACGAGGTCCATTCGGCGCCTCCCACTGCCGTCGACCTGGAGATTTCACAAGGGAAGGAAGGGACGGCCGAACACAGCTCCCTGGCGACGGATGAGAAGAAAGATTTTATTCCTCCCAATGCACAGGACCCTTTCGGGGATGAGGAGTTCGCGGAGGTCAAGTACAAGGTCCTGAAGTGGTGGTATGCAAGCCATTGTCCTCGACCCAAGGAGTGTTCTTGTTTCTGATGTCCTTCCAGGCAATGCGGCCTCCTCATGGTGGCCGAGACGGTGTCATTGGGGGTGCTGTCCCTGCCTGCTGCTGTCGCCGGCTTGGGTCTAGTCCCGTAGGTGCATGTTACCTCACCCGAGATGCCCTTCGCTGACATCATCACCCAGCTCGGTGGTCATCCTGGTGTCCCTGGGTGGTTTGGCTACCTACACCGGCTATGTGATCGGTCAGTTCAAATGGAGGTATCCGCAGGTCTGCAACATGGCCGACGCCGGTGAGGTGCTTGCCGGCCGCTTTGGCCGTGAGCTGTTGGGAATGGGCCAGATCATATTCTTGGTTTTCATCATGGCCAGCCATCTGCTAACCTTTACGATTGCCATGAACGACATCACGGACCATGGGACGTGCTCCATCGTCTTTGGAATTGTGGGCTTGGTCGTCTCTTATGGGTGCACCCTGCCGCGCACTCTGGCCAAAATGTCCTGGCTCTCGCTAGTTTGTGAGACATACGTGTTGTATTTTTCGAGCACTGCTGACCTGGGACAGCATTCATCAGCATCTTGTCCGCCGTGATCGTCACTATGATTGGTGTGGGCATCACCCACCCGGGCGAAATGGTGCAAGCGACTGTCAACACCAACCTATACCACGGTTTCACTGCTGTGGCCAATATTGTCTTTGCATTTTGTTAGTATCAGCCAGGGGAGGGTTCTTACTTCATACTAATCGTTGAATAGCCGGACATGCAGCATTCTTTGGCCTTGCGGCCGAATTGAAGAATCCCGTCGACTTTCCCAAGGCCTTGGTGCTGCTTCAGAGTATCGACATAACTCTTTACGTCGTTGCAGCCATCGTGATCTACTGCTATGGAGGTTCAACAGTTACTTCTCCTGCACTGGGTTCTGCCAGTCCAGTCGTATCCAAGGTCGCCTATGGCATTGCCCTTCCAACAGTGAGTGCATCAGTCCGCATATCTGAAGCGCTATTGACAAAATATAGATCATCATTGCTGGTGTCATCAACGGACATGTGGCCTCCAAGGCAGTCTATGTTCGCATTTTCCGCGGCACCGACCACATGCACAAGCGTAGTAGGGTGGCCGTGGGTTCCTGGGCCGGAATTTCCCTGGGACTATGGGTGCTTGCCTGGATCATCGCAGAAGCCATTCCAGTATTTACCAATTTGTTGAGCTTGGTTGTATGTCATACTCCAATCCCACCTGAGGACCAGGAAAACTTACAGTGCACAGACAGCACTCTTCGCTAGTTGGTTCACGTTCGGTCTCAGCGGGATCTTCTGGTTGTTCATGAACCGGGGGCGATGGTTCTCATCTCCGGGGAAGATCGCCCTTACGACGGTGAACGTGTTAGCGATTGGGATTGGTGGGTGTCTGGTACGTTTCTGTCACGTTTCTGTCTTCCTGCTTCTGACCTGAAACTCACGAGTATAGTGCGGTCTCGGGCTTTATGTTTCTGGAAAGGCTATCCATGACAACCCCAGCAACGCCAGTTTCTCCTGTGCGAATAATGCATGATGACGGTTTCTGTTTTGGTTCTGCTAAGTCTTCCCAGCGCGGTTGGGATATTCTGGCGCATGGTGTTTCTTCTTCTGCATTCTGCATGCTGCATGATATGAGTGTAACGGCAGCACTGTGATGTCCTATACAAAGCATGATGGCGTCTTGTATATAGATTTTGTACATACATCATGTGTATTCACAGCTGATGACAGCCAGCATGACATCATCGGTCATACCCAAGTCCAACCCCAATAAGCTGAGGTGGAAAAATCTATACACTGTTGATACACGTAAACTTCAGACCATACCGACGAAAGAACCCCTAAGAAAATACCAGTCCTGTCCTGTCCTGTCCATCCATCCATCCACCCATCCATCCAGCTAAAACAGAGATACTAAAACACCATCTAAGAAGTATGCATAAACGACCCCACAAAGAAAAGAAGAGTAATAAAAAAAAGTAAAGATAAAATGGTATAATAGTTTATAAACACCCTCTTCCCCGCGCTAGACCTAATACAATAGAAGAAGAGGAAAGAAGAAGGGAACAAAGAAAAGAGAGAGGGAGGGTAAAGAGAAGAATACAATACAGCCAGCTCCCCACCCCTTCCTTTACAACTCCAGTTCCATGCACGACCTAAACCCATCCAATATATGCATGTATCCTACCCCGTCTCCGTCTCGCCACGACCACTGGCCCGCTTCATTCGGCGTCTCTTTCGTCGACACGAATCGATGGCTTCCGGGGTGAGTATCTCAGCGGGGAGCTCGAATTCTCGTTCGTCCATTTCGGGGATCGGGTGGCCGAAGGCGAGACGGGTTCGGCCTTTGCGGTTTGTGGCGGAGAGGGCTAGTTCGCGGAGATGCGGTTTTGAGAAGAAGGATGTGAAGGGTTTATCGGGTTCGAGGGGGAGGGGGAGGAGGTGGGGGATTGGTGCGGGGGGTGGAGGCATGGTGTTGGAATTGGAGGATTTCTTGGACGTGGAAGAGGGTTTTGATTTCTTGCCTGTTGTGGGGGTGGCGTTTGATGAGGTGGTGGTAGCTGATCGCGCTTCCTGATGTAGTTGTCGTGCTGCCCAGGCGTCTACATCGTTTGGGTCGGGAGGGTCACCGCCGTAGCTTTGGACATCGGAGACAGCGGTGGTGCCGTTATTGTTATTGTTGCTATCGCCGTCGTCTTCCTCGTCGTTGGTGGTGGTCTCCGGGGTGTGGTCTTTGTTGTTTTCCTCCTCAATGAGCTTATTGTCCTTTTCTAGCTTGCGGCGCTTTTCTTCTTCTTTCCAGATTTTGAATTTCTGGAGCACAGCCGAGATCTCCTGGATGAAGTGGGCGCGTTTGGTCTCGTAGTGTTTGCGCTCTTGGTCGTTGATGTGCCCGGTGATGCCCATGGTTCGGAGCCAGTCATGGCCTTGAAGGTCGTCGAGGAGACGGTCCAGCTTTTGTTTTTCGTACTGATTGTGGTCGCGCTCAATGTTGCGCAGTTGCTTTTCTTGACGCTCGTTTCGCCGGTGCGGACGGAAGTAGGTTTCTTCGCTGAGAGGGTCGGGGGAAGTGGATGAAGATTCGGCGGTATTAGAATGGGAGGGAGGTAGGGGATCGGAAAGTTTGATTGTTTCGCAGTTGTGTAGGTTTAGAAGGGGGTTTCCGAAGGGGGTATCGGTGTCTGTGTCGGAGGAGAATGGTATGAGTGGTTCGGAGAGGTCATCGATGATTTTGATGGTGGTGCTTCCGGCGAGGAATTCTATGCCAGTATGTTGTTAGCTAGATAACAGGACACATGGATTGGCATTGGAATACCGGGCTTGGGAGTCTCAAAGCTGATGAGTTCCTCGTAGTTGGGGAAGTATTGTGCCAGCTCGCTGCGTGCGCGGGAACCGCCATCATGGGAGCGGAGGGAGCGCCGTTGCTCGCGCGAGGTAGAGGGCTGTTCCGTCGTCGGACTGGTCTGCTGTGCGGTCGCATCCTGGGAGGATTGAGCCGGATTCGACGACAATGCGCCTGCTTCGTGCTGGACAGGAGTGACCGCTGGCTCCGGGTCGGGGTTGGGGGCCGGAGCTGAGCGGCGCGGGCGACGGGCGGAGGAGGATGGAGCAGCGGCGGCGGCGGCGGAGGGTCGTCCCGCGGGAGACAACCTCCGCGAGACGGAGGACTTGATGGTTGCAGCCGGGGAAATGGTGTCTAAGGGATCGGGCGATTCGCGACCGCCACGCAGATAAAGCGACGCGGGGGCTATGGTGGGGTGGGACTCATTGCGGAGGATGCGACGGTCGGTTGGTCGGGGAGTGACCGGGGAGGCCGTCGGATTGTTGGCCAGCGGGCGGCGCGTCGAGGTCCGCCGGCGCAGGGGATGGGGCGAAAGCTTGTAGGGCGAGGCGGCAGACGACGAGTTCTCGGTGGTGGTGGTGTCCAGCAGGTCCGGGGAGCTTTTGCGACGACGTGACGAGAGGTGCTGGAGGCGAGGCCTCTTCGCAGGAGGCTCCGGGTCCAGCTGGTCGGGGGAATGGCCGCTGGGATCTCGTCGCAAGGAGACACGGACAGGCATCAGGGTGGTGGAGGTCATTCGGATGGAGGAACGAGGAATTGCGGGCGTGGGGGGGAGGGGAGTCAGGAGGGATGCATCCACGGCATAGCAGAGCCAGTCGGGGTGGAGATCGGAGGATTGAAGTCGCAAGTGAAGTCAAGGGAGGAATTGGATTTGGCCAAAAGCCGCTGCAGGGCTGATGTCCGGATTGGGAGGTGCTGTGAAGTCGATACTTGTTTCTTACCGCATACAATCCTCTTCTCGTATCACCCATACTCCCGTACCGCACGGCTGGTATGTAATCCCGTATGGTATCCGGCAAGACCATACCAACATGACAGGACATGACATGACATGACATGACATGTTTTTCTTCTCTCCTCTTTCCTCCTTCAAGCTTCCCCCACAATCTTCCTTGACTCCAACAGCTCTCCCCACGGAAGCCATGCACCCCATTCCCATCCCCTGATACGCGGTCCAACCCCTTCCCCCTCGCCATTTCTCCGAGCGCCCAATTCTCCGAATGACCCAGTCCTCTGCAATTGTGTTGCCATGCAGAACGTGGGGGTGGTGGCCATGCGCTACCCGCCTATGGGATGGAGGCATGGCCATGGGGGGATGGCTCTTCCAAGCCGCGAGCGTGTGGGGTGCGTGGGGGTTGCCTCGGGGCTCCCATCTTCTGGATGGAGTCACGGCTCAAACTCCGATTCTCCATTCAAATGAGGGCCACTGGCTTCTTATATCATGACCATGGCATGCTCATCGCCCTCCTTCTGTAGCCCCTCTCTCCCCGCATCCAATTCCAATCCCTATCCCATTCCCATCACTCCTACCTCACTCTCTCTAGACTTCCACCCAGACTAACCATCAATTCACTCACCACCACCACAATGGCAATCACTGCTCGCCCCCTCAGACCCGGCATCTACGTCCCAACTGTCGCCTTCTTCACTGAGCCCAGCGAAGACCTCGACCTCGCCACCACCGCTCTCCACGCCACCTACCTGGCCCAAGCCGGCGTCACCGGCATCGTCGTCCAGGGCAGCAACGGTGAAGCCGTTCATCTCAGCCGTGAGGAACGCAACCTCATCACCAGCACCACCCGACAGGCCCTCGACACCCATGCTCCCTCCACCCCGCTCATCGTCGGCTGCGGCGCCGCCTCCACGCGCGAGACCATCCAGCTCTGCCAAGATGCCGCCGCCGCCGGAGGCGACTACACCCTCATCCTCCCTCCCTCCTACTACAAGTCCTTGCTGTCATCTGAGGACATCCTCGCTCACTTCCGACTCGTCGCCTCCGCCTCCCCGATCCCCGTGCTGGTATACAATTTCCCCGGCGCCTCGTCGGGCCTGGACCTCTCCTCGGACGATATCCTGGCGTTAGCGGAGCATCCCAACATCGTCGGCGTGAAGTTGACGTGCGGGAACACGGGAAAACTGGCGCGCATTGCGGCGGAAGCCAAACCGGGGTTTTTGACTTTCGGAGGCTCTGCGGATTTCACACTCCAGACATTGGTGGCCGGTGGTCATGGAGTGATTGGCGGCGTAGCGAACCTGATCCCTAGGTTGAGTGTGAAGGTGATGGAGTTGTATCAAGCGGGCCAGGTTGCCGAGGCGCAGCGGTTGCAGGCAGTCGTGGCGAGGGCGGATTGGCAGGCCATCAAGGGCGGGTTTGTGGCGGTCAAGAGTGCATTGCAGTCCTACCGCGGCTATGGCGCGTTGCCGAGGCGGCCTTGTGTCGTGCCCTCGGAGCTGCAGGTCACGGCTTTGAAGGAGGCGTTTGCAGAGGCATTGGATGCAGAGAGACAGTTGGAGAAGCAGGCTTAGCTGTGCCTCTCTACTCCGTAGTTGCGATGCATTAAATGAATCAAGGATATTCTAACCTCCACATCAAATACATACATCAAAAACATCCATTGCGCCGATGGCCACTACCACTACCACCGAAAACAACAAACACTAGGTTGCCTTTCAAAAAAACAGCTCAACCAACCCTCTAGATCTTCACGAATATAAAATCCTATCCAAGGACATTCAACTCCAACGATATCATCTCTCCCTCCCGAGACCACCCCATCCCCTCCCGATCCCATATACCCATCCACTACTTACTCCATCTTCCAAAAATATCATCCAATTTCCTTCCTCAAGGCAATAGATAACACGATTCATCTCTCCCTCTTACCTGTGTACCTAGATTATTCATCCCCCCCCCCTCCCCAGAATTGTCAAGGTCCTAAGATACTAACTAACGAATTAGAGGCAGAAGATGTATTCACTCGTTAGATACGTAATCCGTGTTCTTCTCCCTTCTAATGGATATAATATATCCCCAACCCTAATCATAATCCTAATCATAATCCTAATTCACAAGATAAGGTAGTAAGACAAGGCAAGACAAACGCCAACGACATCAAAATATCATAGCATGAGACACTGTACCTACCAATTCCATATCTCCATCCATCCATCCATCCCGCTTGTGTCTATCTGGTACTTAGTCCACAAATGGCAACACTAAATAAGAGCCCACCTCCCCACCACTATGCACCTCATGTTCCTGCTCTTCATCCACCTCACCCATACTCATCCCCTCCACCTCCGGATAACACATATCTAGTCCCGACACCCGGAACATGATTCCCTCTCCGGCTGCAAAGACCATTCCCATTGGCCAGAGGGTGATATCTAGCGGGATGATCTTCCCCGCTGGGATTAATTCCGCACGATCGTGGCGGTAGACGACTTCGGTGTCTCTGGAGAGGGTTTCGTCGCGGGTGACTGCGTGCGAGGCGCGCAGGAAGCCTTGTGGACCGAGGGTTTTGGCGGTGTTGACGTTGGGGATGGACGAGGTGGGGACCGGGCAGGGGTAGTTGAGGTGTTCGAGGGGGGTTCCGGAGGAGGAGATCTTGCGGATTTGGGCGACGATGTCCATGTCGTTGTGTTTGGGGGTGGAGAGGTACAGGTGGGCGTGAGCGTAGCCGGTTAGGGTGGTCCGGGTGGGGAAGTAGAGGGTGAAGTCCTGGGTCTGGGGTTAGGTTTGGGGTATTATGGGGAGGGGAAGGAGGGGGGAGGGACGTACTGAGGTGGTGTTGGCTTTGTGGATGGTGGAAGATACAGTTGGGGGGAGGTCTGGTTGGAGGGTCTTGGTTGATGCGTTCAGGTAGAATTTCTTCAGGACTTGCCGGGTCAAGGGGAAGGTTCGCTCGGGGCGTTCGATGATGGTCAGAGCTGGGCTGCCGTCGAAGCCGAGGAGGGAGAGTCGAACGGGGGGTGTGCATTCCCAGTCGTTGGGGATGTCTTTGAGGTAGTGGTCGAAGTAGCGGGCGAGATCGTCGACCATTTCCGGACGGTATAGATCGTACCATTCTTGATAGGGATGCACGCGGAGCCATTTGCGGGTACTTTTGGCAGTGCGGAAGGTCTCGAAGGAGCCATGCGTATGTAGCATGGAAGAGTATGATGCGAGGAGGTAGAGTGGGATGTCACCAATGCGTTCGGTGTGGATGCGTTTGCTCTCCCAGTAGTCGTCGAAGAAGGGTCGTTTGTTAGCCATGGCAGGCATGTTCTCTGCGGTTCCATGGCCCGCGAACCCCTTCAAGATCAGTTTATGAAAAGCCTCGTTGTGTTTTCGGCCGCCGCGCATGACCAGGTCACGGTATAGATCGGTGAGTCCCTCCCAAGGAGCGAGGGCTTTGAGGGCAGGATGCTGGAGACGGGAGGCGAAGTTGACCTGCGCGATGGAGAGCCACGAGTTCCCTGCCATGCCGACGGAGCCGTTGCACCAGGACTGATTGGACAGCCAGTCGATTGTGTCATAGATATCTTCGGCTTCTTGCTGGCCCCAGAAGTGAATGTTGCCTTCGGAGTTGCCGGCGCCGCGGGCGTCGATGTTGATGATGGCGTAGCCGCGAGGCACCCATTCGGCTGGGTCGGGGGCTTCGAACTTCTCGTAGCCTGAGGTCCAGCTTTTCTCGAGCCCGGCACGAAAGGGAGCCATGCTGTCGTAGCTCTGTGGGCCGGTGCCTGTTTTGCCATAGGGGCTCCAGGGGATGATGGCTGGGACGGGGGTGGTCTCGGAGTCGACAGGACGGAAGATGTCGGTGTAGATCTTGATGCCGTCGCGGAGGGTGATGGCCACGTCGTGCTCAAGAAGCACATCCGTAGTGAAGGCACGGTGGCCGGGGAATCGCACATGGCCTTGCGAGAGAACGGTCTTCTTTCCTGGATGGAAGCCATAGTAGGTGAAGACGGGATGTTCCCCGGGTGGTGTGAGAGGGTGCCATTCAACATCTGGGAAGGCAGTGCGAATCTTTTCCTCGGTGGTAGCCATGATGTTATCTGAACAAATAGTTCTGGGTCCATATTCGCCTGATGTCCTGGCTGTTTATATAGAACATGGGATAATGATGGGATGGTGGGGGAACCCGCATCCCCACTGCCGATTTCCCCCACATTCGGGACGCAGACAGAGACCCATTCTGTCAGTGGTATAGCATCTTATGAGGATGTTGAAGAGGACATTGTCTCATGGGGTTGCGTACGGTCAAGGAGTTGTAGGTGGTTGCTCTAACGCCCCACCGAGTCGTAGAGAACCGACATTGAAGAGCATCGCCGCCATCCGGGAGAACTTGTACATGTCTACCTCGGGAAGTGGGAAGTGGGAAAGAGAAGTGGGAACACATTCAATCCACATGAATCCAAAGAAACGGATGGGGAGATGGGGAGGTGGGGAAGAAAGTGGGAATGTGCGGAGTGTATCAAGTGACATCACTTCACGTTACATTCTTCCAGGCTAAACTACAATCAACCTCTTCCTCATCCTGCTTCCTCCTCCATCCCCAAAGTATACAAATCCGGTACATCCATCTTCTCCTTGACCATTCTCTCTCCCAGAAACTCCCTCGCACCCACCCCCGCCTGCCAACCCGCCATATCCATCGGCTCATCCACCGATCTCATCGACGTCTCCCACAGCACCCTCGCACCCCGACACTGATGCATCGCGCCCACCCCATCGATATCAAAAATCGTCTTGCCATCCCGATCAACCGCTTTCCGGGGCGGTTCGATCGTATCATCCGCGGCACAGAGAATGCCCTGCCATGATCAGTCTCAGATACAAAATACAGACACGAATGGAGTGGCCTATACTAACCTGGGCTATATAGTCGAAGCAATGCGCCTAATGGCCCCGATCATGCGCCATATTGCCCGTATGCGCCCCGCTCGTTGAGTTGATCTTACTCTCCGATGTTTCGGGGAAGACAAGTGCGCGGAGCGCAACCAGACAGTGCAGTTGATGGAACATGGAGATGCCCCAGCTGAGGATCTTTCCCTCCCGGCTATGGTTGAGATGGATACTGTCAGGGACTGTGTGGGAGTGGATGCCCCCGCCGCTGGGTGGGATGAGAAGAGATTCCCATGTTTGGACTTCGTCGGAGTCGGAGTCGGCGTTGATGCGTTCGAGTTCGGGGCGCTCGGTGAATATCCGGCCGTGGGTTTGTTGGGCTTGGTCGGGGGGTTGTGCAGGACAGATGGGAGGGAGAATACGTGGGAGGATGTCGGGAGGTGTGAAGGAGAGAATGGTGATAGTTATAAGGAAGAGAGTGGTGAAGGCTAGGGAGATGAGACAGGGGGTGGAGAGTTGGGATGTCTTGGACATTTCATGACATTGCTGGTTGCTTGCTTGCTTGGTTGCAAGCGTGGTATGGATGTTGCAGTGATGTTTTCTTTTATTGAGGTGTGGCTCTTTATTGTTGCCGGATTGGGTGTATAATGATGATTATGGGATCCATGGTTGAGCTGCGTTTATTATTTCTGGGTGTTGAGATTTAGAGTTATACCTACCTAGGTTATTATCCGTATCGCTTCCAAGTTCCAACCTCAAGCGAGTGTGCTTGTATAGGATATTCACATGACCACCTATGCCTGCATAAATCACATCATCAGCACCATCAACCCCTGCAGGCAATTCAGGGCCAACTCACCCAAATCCCGAGTCTGCAACTGCAACTGCAGTGTCCAGCCACAGTGCAAAGCCAGTGGCGAAAACCGGGCAACCTGCAGAAGAACTAAACCCGCCTGATTCATCCCTCAGGATCAATTCCTTGTCATCCGACAATTGGCCGTTCGTTCACCACCACCTACTACCTACCTACCTACCTACCCGATTGCCTAATCTCTTAATTCATACAAACACCTCCAACCAATCCATCAATCCAGTCCTCCGTAAATAAACATCATTACCTACCTACCCACCTACCCATCAACAAATGATTCCGACACCTCCGAACCAAACCCAAGCAGCACCAACCGGACTAACCGATTAGCCTACTGCAGCAATCGCCCTAGCCTCGAGACTACGTGACTAGCTGCAAGTACTAAAATCCCTAGCTTGACTTCTCACTGGACATTCCCATTTGAAATACTTCCTTAGTAGGGTAAGTGTGGTAGGGGGGGAAGAGTTCAGCCAGCCTCAATCCTTATCCACATGCCGGATGGAGAATAGGGCGCATACTTTTCCCCGGTACGAGAGATTTGGCTTGGGGTTTTAGCCGGGAAGCTACCTAGGTAGGTAGATAATGTTGAATCTGATTTTGTTTCTTTCTTTCTTATTTATCTAGTGGGGTTTAGTGATTACGGGGTTAGTTAATAATGGTGGTGAATGGGTGGATGGGCCGAGGTACATACAATTATCACTAGATACCTACCGTATCTACTTAGTAGTAGTTTTATCTTGTGCTTAGATATTTAGTGCCGAGGGAATGAAAAAGATAGATAGATAGATATTAGATAGGTGTTTAGACGCTGTCAAACCCCGACAAACATGATAGCGCTAGAAAGATAGCGACACCGACACCGACACCAACACCAACACCAACATAGCCATACCATCGGGGACGACACTGCATTACATCGGCGTTTAAGTTATGTTTATCGGGCTTTCATAGGTAACCATGCACATCGCGACATGCATGCATGCCACATACATACCTAGCTGGGGATTTAGATAGGTAGATAGGTAGATGGGGTGGTTTGCGTGCCCGACAGCATGGTTCTTCCCATCACCACCACCACTACCTACCTAAGTAGTATGCTTCCCGGATTCCCGGATTTTTGGTTGGTTTTACGTAGTATTGTACGTTAGGATGCTATCGTTTGGGTATTTGGGACCACCATAACCAACATAGTGACCACTCATCTAAGTCCTTCCCTTCGTAAGGATTTCCTGCAAATATATAGTATGTAAACCATGAGCCCATAACATCTCTACAACCAAAGACTAATAGTATAAAATTACGAATACTGCCGTAATCCTCATCCCCAGTTCCCCGCGCTTGGCGAAAGTGGAAAGAGGGGTAGGTATACATCCCTGAATCATCCCCGGCTCCTCAACCCAGAAAAACATGACACAGTGTACAGGTCAGGCAATTAAGGCAGACAGGAAATGGGCTATTCTTAGCTGCAGGTGCCATACATACATACACCCTTAATGGAAGTAGTGGGCGGGAGGATGGAAGGATGGACGAATGGACGAACCAAATGCCTCGACTTGGCGCTGGATGCCTTATGGCGGTTAGAGCGCGCTGCCAACATATACTTATATTTAGGATGGAGAGGGTAGTAAAGTTGGTAGGTAGTTATTTTTGTATACGATGTGGAACTCAACTAAATATATACACCCATGGACGGATAGTTATACTAGATTATCATCGATATTCTGTAAAAGAAACTATAGAGGTAGTAATTATAGAACATGTCCTACATCGTACTGACCATATATATCTCACAACCAATCCCATCACATCCCGCCCAGGAACAATGCTGACATGTAACTGTTTTTCCTGTTGTCGAGCACATTGCCATGCTTATTCGCTGCCGTAGGTGAAACTTTATTCCTCTGGTCAGAGACCTCGTGGCTTTGACAGCTGCAGGGCAGATATCCTGGAGATTTTGACTCCCCAGGTACGAAACAGTGGGATACTAGGATGGCGCTGGTGCCGCTGAAGAGATCCTTGGCGGTTCTTTCGACTCTATACTTTCAATAGCCGCTGGACTCTGGAGACATCCACTGTGGCAAATACCTCGGACGAAGTCAAAGGTTGGTGATCCTTCTGCCCTACATGATCACCGACCACTGTTGATTGCTTACTGGGCATTTGAGTAACTCCCGCCGTAAAATAACCGTCCCTGGATTATGCTTCCGGCCTGACGTGGCACAAGGCTTGTGCGGGTTGTGCCAGACAGTAGAGTGGAACTTCGTCTGGACTGGGCGATGGAAAATTTTTCAACAGACTGTGGTAGGCCGAGGAGATCCACGTCGGTTAAGGCAAGTCCGTTATGATATATGCATCTAGTCCGCAAGGCACGCAACAGGCGAACATTATGGATCGGACATTGCCGAAACTATTGCTGGTATTTGCTTGACGTCAAGGGCCCGGACCGCAGATCCTGTCTGTTCTTCCCGTCCCAGAAGTTCAGACTGCGGGTGACACCGCCTCATGCTCGCCGCCAAGGAAAACTCTGGCGCAACTCCGCGCAAGATCTCGGGGTCGGCGAGGCCATGCTGTCATAGGCCCGTAGCTCCCCTCGAGCCACATAGACTAGGCCTGAACAGTGCATCATTTGCCCACTTGGTTTAGACCCATGGCCCCAGCCACATCCCATCGGGCGTCAGGCACGGAATCCATCGCTCGCCGGCCTCGGGGACGTCCCGTATTGTTTCAGGTGCTCGGTATGGTATAGTAATCCCTGGTTGACTTGCCAATCGCCAATCCCTCGAGTCATGCTGCGGGCATCACGGTGGATACGGTGGTCCTGTTGAGCCCTAATGGATTGCTGATCATTGCCGTCCCTTGATGCGGGGGGCCCTTCTGAGTTCTGCCACTCGTTGAGGCAAACGCATGTGATATACTTACGGGATACCCATCTCTGAACGGATATCTCCAAGCGTATCGGATCGGCCAGAGGATGCATAAATCGGAATAGGCTGTCTCGGAATGAATGTGGAGTACCCAATGAGCATCGCAGGCCAGGTCCCAACCGTAGCGGGACCGAACTGCGAGGTTATTGGAATGGGCACTAGCTGAAGCGCCAACTTGGGGATCTCGACCTGTAGAGTTTTAATGATTTGCTTCCGCCGATCTCACAGCTCTTCCTGGATCCGGAAGATGTTTCCGACCGAGGAGAAGAACCTGTCGTGGATCGCATAGTGCAGTGAGCGGTACGCAGTAGGGGACCTAATTTGGTGAATGCGCCGAGAACTATTGGGTCGACGCAGACCTCGATGCATTCGATGAATCTGGCAATCTGCCAAAGGCCCAAGATCTTGTATCTCGATTCTCGGGATCTGGTTTTGGTCTCGATTCAGATTGATTAATGCCCGGAGGACCGACTTGCCGAGACGCCGTATCCTGGCGCTCCAAAATTGTGCGAGTCGGGCAGTACAGAGAGAGTACAGAGTACAGACATAGAATATACAGTACGGTAACATGCATCCAACGTGGATTCGCCGTGATCGACGCCGGTCCCCGAGGGTTTGGTGCAACCGTCGAGTGGCTGCCATGCCCTTGGATGATCCTGACTCGCAGGGGTCCCCTTCTGCATACCCCAAGCAGGATTTGGAAGGACCTGACGAAAGCAGTGGATGACATACGCACAGATGGCGAGGTATGATGCACATCGCTCGACGGAGATCCGTCTAACCCCTCCTTTGTGCAACTTGGACCAAGCAAATTTCTCCGCCGAGTGACTGCCCTGCCCTGCTGGAAGGGTGATCAAGCGGTCGTGACGATGATTAGCTTCCAGGCGGAACTATATGCATGGCCAGTGTTGCACGGGATTTGCATCTGCAAGTTTCACCAAAGATGGGCCCGGAATCGAGCAAACAATACCGATTAGATTTTCTGTTGGCTGCGAGGGGAGGCAGGTTAGTAACACATTGTCTCTACATCAATTCCAAAGCCAGGGACTCGGTTTCCACATCTCCTGACTGGGTAACGCCGAAAAAAGCTAGACGTCAGATGATGGCCGGGCCCGTCCATGTTGATCGACAGAGTTTGTTAGGATCGCGGGGCCACCAGGTACTTGGTTAATGGCCGATATCCGGTCTGTGCATAGGTCCGTTGGTCTTGGATGGAGGACTCTGCCATGATTGAAGAGGGAGGTCACCAAGAAGATCCGTCCGAATACAAGGGCATTCTGACCCCTGTCTGCACTACCCACCTAGCTGGCTGCAGATATCGATTCTAGGATCAAGGACGGCCACGTAGCTCGGATCATAGTGACATGCTGATCGAGGTATACCATGCTAGCGCTTGCCAATAGTGGAAAGGTCTATGATGTATGATGTACGATAAATACCAACTCCGAGATGAAAGTAGCAGAGGAGGGGGGGCGCAAGTTGACCTGGCAAGTAGGGGTGACAGGGAACAGAATACTACCCATACCCACAGCCAAGACCAAGGCGTAATTGAATTCACTTTCTTGATATTGTTCGTAATTTCCAGGATTGACGCAGGGGGAAGCCATGTGACAGCCAGGGAAGTGTCTGTGTGCTGTCCGGTCTGATAAATCCGGGCCAGCCTGGATCGCAGATTCGGCGACAGGATGAACACCAAGGCTTCCCCTAGGTGAAGTGGATGGAGTGATGTGGGGGTGCTCCAAGAGTCTGGCCAGCGCCCGACAACATCGGCATGAAGCCTGGACACGATCGATGTGTAAGTGAGCAAGAGACTAAGTAAGATGCGTGAGATTGTTTGTCTCGCGGCCTCGATCCTGAGGCCCCTCTTGTGCCTTCCCAATGCGGTATATAGTCGTGCCAATCAGCAAGGTTTCGCTAATCCGTCGGTCCCAGGATCTCAGCACTTTTGTTAGCTGTT